TTGTGAGAGGTGTCAGCTCAGCTGTTGGGCTGCCACTCTTTGTGTCAATTATTTGGCACAGAGGGTTGTCTTGGAGCATTTGTCAGGGAGCAGTGAGTGGTTTGGACCTGAGCGGCAGGTTCCCACATCTGGGGAGGATAGCTGGGAGCCTTAGCTGCCACATGGGGATGAGCTGTTCCAGGTGGAAAGTCTTTCTTGGACATTATTTATAGAGCTGGTGTCAGCCCCTGAAGGCCCAGCTGCTAAGCAGAGAACGGCTCTTTGCCTGGACTGCTTCAGAGCCTTGGGATGGTCCCTTTTTGGGAGAACAGCAGAGAGATTCTTACATTGGGTGACAGCTGGTGTTTACTTTGTGCTAAGATGTGTTAAACACTTTAGGGTTGTTTCCTTTTTTCAGTCGCTAGTGGCTAGTGGCAATGAGCGCCCTTGCAAGACAAAGGAAGGGCAGCTGTTGTGAGCTTCCTCCTTTACAATATTCTGTGAAAAAAAGACAAGAGGCAAAATATGTCAGGGAGGAACTACTGGGTTCCCACCTGAGGATGGACTTTGCTTACAAGCTCCTGGTCTGGCCCAGGGAAAGCCCCTCTAGGCTCCTGTTAGAGAGCCGCCTTTGAAACATTTTTGGCCTCTCTCCCATTGGCTGGGGAACAGTTTGGCTGCTGGGGGGGGGGTCTGTATTCCTGCTTTTGGCCCAAGCGCAAGCCGCAAAGGACCCTTTAAGGGTGCATGAAGGAACTGTTGGGCACCACGCTGGGCCTCGTTGCCTTTGGCCTTCTGGGGATCTAAAATATGGCATCAGGCTGGAAAGGTGACAGAAGGAGCGGGCATCTCCCAAGTGGCACCCAAGGACAATGCAGGATGCGGGGAAAGATTTTCTGAAGATTTGCTCTACCCATTTGGCACAAGGCTCGGTGCAGGATATTCTCCACCTCTCGACTCCTTCAAAGGTTGTGTGCATCTCTGTATCTTCGTGGGGTGCAGCTTGACAGGGTTCGGGGAGCGCCCCATGGTCCTTCCTGAAGAAGCTGCTTTTGAGGTTTGGGTAGAGCAGAGTGGAGTGGAGCATCTAAGCAGGCAGCTCTGTAAAGGGAGTTGACCCCGTCTGTCCTTGAGCAAAAAAGAAGAGGAGGAGGCGCAGCCCTTGGAACAAGGGGGTCTGGGGATCTTTTCTGGGATTGATTTCTGCTGCCCAGTTACACATTTGTGAGCAAATCTTTTGCTACCCCAAACCCAGGTCAAAGGTCAGAGCTTTCTGTCCAGGAGCCCACATGGACCCTCCCATTCAGATGGAGAACCCAGTGGAGATGTAGGATCCTTCCTTATGGTTTGGTGCTGTAGGATCTTTAAAATGCCCCTCCTTTATTGTAAACTAGGGGCTGCCTAAAGAAGACAGGTGCCTATCCTCCACTGGGAGGGCAGTTGGGAGAAGAGCCCCCCCCCCGAACAAAAGCTCTCCTCGTCCGCTGTCTTCATTTCAGCGGAAGCCTCTGTACCTCCAACTCTGTAGTTTCCTAGAGCAGAGGTCCCTAACCTATGCACCATGGCCCACTACCAGGCCGTGGCCTGCTGGCCAGTGTGCGTGCACTCACCCTCACTCACTCTAGCCTGCTGCGGTGCAAACTGGGTACCGTGCAGCAAAAATGGGGCACCACACAGTGAAAATGGGGTGGTGCTAGCATGCATAAAATGCTTCCCCTCTCTTTCCCTCTGATCCGCCAACTGAGAAAGGTTGGAGACCTCTGTCCTAGAGAAGTATAAAGTTGTCTTTCAGTTTCCCAAACTGAAAAAAAATGTGTTCCTTATTATAAATCCAAAATTCACATTACGGGTTACCCTGAAGGAAGGAAGAATATTCCTGATTTGTTTATAGATGTTTGAGTTTGGAGATCGAGAACCTTAATTCAAAACCTGTTGGAGGAAAAAGACAGAAATGAACAAGGCTGCTGGGTTGAGGGTGTTGCTTAGGCCAGAGGTCCCCAACCTTTTGAGCACTGGGGACCGGTTCTCAGGTTTTTCTGTGGACCAGAGGGTGCGTGGTTTTGTGTGCTGCCTGCATCCCGCGGATGGGGCTTTGCTTGATTGTGTGGACCGGTTGCTGGCATGCTGCGGCCCGGTACTGGTCCACAGACCAGGGGTTGGGGACTCCTAGCTTAGGCTATTGGCTGATAGGTGCTCTGGACAGGAGCAATTCGCACTGCAGGGCAGGAAATTTCTAACTGGTTGCTTCAGAACATTGCAAAAAGGTTGCTTCTTCATCCCCATTAAGGCTTATCTTAGTTTACTCTTCAGCCCTTGCAATATCAACACAAACCTCGTTCCTTTCTAGATCAAAGGAAGGGCCAGTTTTAATTAGGCCCTAATGTATGCACAGGCAAAACGAATGTGCTTGCAACTAAAACCAACTAAAACTGTGTCCTTTGAGGAGGGTTTCTTGGCTTAAAGTCCCCACCTCACCCTCAACTGCTGGTCTGGTTGCGGGAGACAAAAGCTGCCTGGCCACACAGAGCCCACCGGGACATCAGTGCGCCCAGCATTCCCATGGGCCAGGGGGAGCGTTGCCAGGGTTCCCAGCCAACCTCTGGAAGCTCAGGCCACAATTGGAAGCGCCAGGCAGCTACTTGTCCTGCTCCGGCCAGCGGCCAGCGCAGCAGCAGGAGCAGCTGACCTCACTTTCCTCCAGTGCCCAGATTCACATTCTTTTGTTGGGGGAGGGAGACATTGCTGAGGAAGGCTATTCATCTGCTCAGTAGAGGAGGGGCGATGCAGAGGAGGGGGTTGCTCGGGGTCACCAGGGCCCTGCCCAGCTTGGCCTGTTGTCAAAGAAGATTTAGGGTGGGCCTCCTTTTCTCCAGCTCTACAAAGAGATGGTTGGTTTGGGTTTCAAGAGGGCAGTGCTCCCTGTCCTCTGTTCTTTTGCTTGGAGGCCAACCCTGCAGAAATGCTGCCCCCTGAATCTGCCCACCCCCTCCCCAGGCCCCCTGCACATCTTGCCCTGCTTTACTTGCATGGAAAGGTTGCCCAGGAGATGTTCTCCCGTTGAAAGCCTACCTACATGCCTGCTCTGGCAGGCGCTGGATGCTTCCTGCCCTTCGCTTCCAAAGGATAGCAATAGCAATAGCACTTAGACTTATATACTGGTTCAGAGTGTTTTACAGCACTCTCTGAGTGATTTACAGGGTCAGTATCTTACCCCCAACAATCTGGGTTCTCATTTTACCAACCTTGGAAGGGTGAAAGGCTCAGTCAACCTTGAGCAGGATCGAACTGCTGGCAGTGAGCAGTGAGTTAGCCTGCAGTACTGCAAAGCCTGGTGTGGGGAACAGGTTATCTGTGGGACCAGACCCTTTCTGCCTTCCCTGACCATGAGCCCTTGATGGGGGGGGGGAGTTGTTGGATTCTGGCCATTTGGAAGAAGTCAGCCCATGAAAGGCTGTGATGGGAGGAGCTTTGCTCACTTTGCTGTGCAGGAACAAGGCCCTGGGGGAGACCAACCCCACCGGTCAGCAGGCCAGCTCTGCCTGGCTCTGTGGGCTCCTTTCTTTTCAGGTTTGGCCCGAGGATCTCAGTGGCTGGCTGGCTTTTCAGCTTCTGTAGAGGGTGACACTAGATATGGGGGCTCAGAATCCCCTCCCTTTTACACATTGCTGTTGGAGCCAGTATTTGCCACATGGGGGTCCCTGAGGGCACTCTGGGGACTGTGTCAAGGAACCCCCCCATTGGTATCCCTTGGGCACAGCTCCTTTAATTTATTTGGTAGGTGGCACCCCGGAGCTTGCCCTGCTTCTTGTGCTTCAGCCCCCCTGTGGCTGTGAGACCTTTCTGGAGCAGCCTCTGCTAAGGGCCTTGCAGGAGAGACAGATGGTTGGGACCCTCCCTCATCTGGAATGCCCCTTCTTCTTTATCCAGGAAAGCTTTGTGTCCGTCTCTCCAGCAAGACAGATTTATGCCTCTACACCTCTCCAAGGGAAACACAATGCTGAAAAACCAGTCTGTCATGCTTTGATCCATGTGTTTCTCAGCATATATACACACACACACCATTCACACTTCTGGCAACTGTGCTGCAGTTGAGCAAGATGGGCGGAAGGGAGGGGGGTCTCCGCAGAGTCCTTGCTTCTCAGGATGCTCTTCTGGCGTATCGTCCCCTTTGGTTGCCTAGCCAGCTCCACTCCCACATGATAGCCATCGCCCTTAGACTTACCTTCTGTTCCATGATGGTTCAAAGCTGCCTTCCTTTCAGAAGGCTGGTTCTACTATAGCTGGGTGCTTCCTGTGTGTCTGTGCATATGAGAGAGAGAGAGATGCATTGGAGGTGCTGCACAACCCTCCTTCCGCTGACAATTTCTGGAGTGCCGGTAATACCTAGGCGATGCTGTGCCAGAGCCTTCTGGACCAGAGCCCTCTTGGACTTCTGCATTGCTGGATGGGGAGAGGGGTTCCAAGGCAAGCACCCCTCCTTTGCTCTGTCATAGGAAATGTTCTTTCATGGCACTCTCTTAGTGACTCTCAATGAGAGTAATGCGATGCTTACTTAAAGGGTTAATTTTCTCTGTGCGGTGTAATAGGAGAAAGGAGGGTGGGTGGGAGGGGGCTTGCAGCCCTTTCATGATGGGAAAAGGGGACTGCAACCATAGTTTTATGTTTCTTCACTGTGGAGGACTGGTGCATTTCTTTACCAAGAGGGCAAACAAGTTGGTTGTTCAGCAAAGAAGCTAGAGAGACTCCAGGCAGGCAAAGCTGCTCCTGCTTGCTCAGTTGACCCCAGGAGCACCTTGCTGATAAGGCTCCCTCTTATCAGCAGCACTGGAGTTTATTGAGGCACAATTTAGCTGTGCTGATAAGGCTCCTGGCAGGGCAGGGGAGGCAAAGGGCTCCTGGGACTCCTGTCACCGCAAGCTAACCAGATACGTTGTGCTGCTGGCTTTTCTTAAATGCACTGAAATGTGGAGGTCAGCCCTTCCCCATTGGGGCTCAGCCTCTCCTCTTCCCTCTCCTTGCAGCCCTCTCTGCTTTTGAAGTCCAGCCTCTCCCCACGGAGGTCCAGGAAGGGGGTGTGGCTAGATTTGCCTGCAAAATCCCGGCCCATCCTCCAGCCATCATCACCTGGGAGGTGAATGGGACAGCACTGCTAATGGAGATGGACAGGTAAGGTTTTAGGGTTTCTCGTAGGCCCCTCTAAATCTCAGAGGGTGGGACATGGGACGTCTCCCTTTCAACCTGTCCTGTAGCAGGTCTCTCCTTGGGCCTGAATCTGCCACCCGTCTTGGCCGTGAGGTGACTCTCCAATCTTGCTGAAGTGCAAAAGCAGCACCATTCACAAGGTGCAGTTGCGAGTTTCAGACAGATGTTTCTTATTTTGGTTTTGAGAAAACGAAAGGGTGACATTTGAGGCCAGTGCTGAGAAAATGTGGCCATGCTTTGTGTGCAACTTCAGGATACGATTCTGCCTTCCAAAATGTTGATTCCTTTTTGCGGCCTCCCCAGCCTGAACTATTCCAGCAGTGGGGGGTGGGGGTGGCCCCAGGGTCCCCTTCCAAAGTAGCCCAGCTGGCTTGCAGAGGCCCTGGCAGGGAGGGGAAGCCAGGTCCCAGGGAAGCACAGATGGACTTTCTTTCCTACTGCCATTCTCTCCTTCCAGGATAACTGTGCTGCCATCTGGAGTGCTACAGATCTATAGTGTTGAGCAAAAAGATGCAGGGAGTTACCGTTGTGTTGCTACAACAGTTGTTGGCCGGCGGAGGAGTGGCGAGGCAACACTCACTGTTGTTCCAGGTATCCAGAAAATCTTGGTACTTTTCAAACATTGCTGCCAGCAAACAGTGATGTTCAGAGTCCCGGCATATCAGGTGAAAAAGGGTCTTCACCAAAGTGCTTCCCTCCATAATTTCATTTCTAAGGCTTAATATTATTCGTATTTGACGTGTGTGAACAACACATTTCTGTTGTATGCTTTTTTTAAATAGCTACCAATACAAAGCTCTTCCATAAGCCGTCCATTATAGCTGGTCCCCAAAATATGACAGCTTCTCTCCACCAAACAGTCATTTTTGAATGTGTGGCCATCGGGAATCCAAAACCAATTGTGTCCTGGAGTCGCCTTGGTGAGTTGTAGACTGTCCACAGTGGCTCTTTGGCTTCCAGCTGTGGGGAAATGAAATGCAGGCTGCATGAGGGAGAATAAGTGGGAAAACCCTTTTGAGTGAGCCACACTCGTTGTTGCTGCTCACAGGTTGGCATATGAAAAGGGAAATTGTCCCTTTAAGTTCTCAGTCGATGCCCCTAAAGTTGGAAAGGAAAGATTACATTAGAGAGAACGGTCGTTTCTGGCAGATAGTAGGCATGACCAGCTTTTCCCAGCTGGTGGGCATCTCAGTGTCACTTGTGGCAGAAGCTCCCGCGCCATCCATGCTAACTGAAAAGAGTCCATTAGGGATAGAAAGCCAAAAACTGCTTATCTTCTGCTAAATGCTTCTTGACATTGCAAGATCAGCTGGTTGTGCAGTCCTTGTGTATCCTGATGCACACAGCATCAGAAGCAGGAGTAGCAGGCTGTTCAATGGGGAAGAGGCCAAGGCCGTGAATCAGAGCCTTTGCTATCAAGGGAGTTAGAGGTCTGCTGGCATTTCTCCAGAGGTTTGACATGGATGCCTGGGATTCCACTTCACAGAGATTTTAGAGGGGAAAAGGCAGCCCGGAGCAGACGTCTGAAATCTCTCTCTCAAAACAGACCACAAGTCCATTGATGTTTTCAACACACGAGTGCTTGGAAATGGGAACCTCATGATCTCGGATGTGAAGGTACAACATTCTGGTGTGTACATTTGCCGTGCTACAATCCCTGGCACACGCAACTTCACCACTGCAGTGGCAACACTACTGGTGCTAGGTGAGGAGGTTTAACTCTGGGCAGGGTGGGACCCCACTGTTTGCATGGGGCCCCAGGATCTCTTCTGCTGATGGGCTGGAGAGGCCCAGGAGAAGGGATCTGGGATGAGCTTTCAAGCCACATTCTGTGGCAAAGGGGGTTGCAAAGGCTTCCTTGGGCCTAGGCGGATCAGGCTTTCTAAGGAGCATCTGTAAGAAATAGGCCTGGGTCCCAGGGATGTACAGTTTGAAATACTTGTTGAGAGTGTTTTAGAAAGGGAGAAGGCGAAATGGATCCCGCTTTCTGTTTCTTACAGCCCCCCCTGCTTTTGTGGAGTGGCCAGAAAGCTTGACCAGGCCCCGAGCTGGCACAGCCCGTTTTGCCTGCCAGGCAGAAGGCATTCCAACACCCAAGATATCCTGGCTGAAGAATGGCCGGAAAATCCATTCCAACGGCAGAATCAAGACCTACAGCAGGTGGGGAAGCAGGCCGCTTGGTTGGTCCTGCCAAGAAGGGGTGGTCCTGCCCAGGCGAGGGGCAGATATGCAGCGCAGGAGCACTGGGCCTGCTCTTGGGAGCATCGGAACAGCCTTCCCTCAGTTTAGGGTTCTGTTCAAGAGGTGCATGAGAAACGCTACTCTGTTTAAGTGGAATCTGATGAGCAGAGTAATGGCATGGCAGGAGCACTCATCACCACTATTAAATTCGCGGGTTAAAGGCATTGCAAGGAAACGAGTAGTGTGAACAGCAAGTCTTCTTTATTCATTCACCAACAAACAGCAACAGAAAAAATGGCGTGCAGGCCTTTTATAGTGCCCTTGCAAAGGCCAGCATCAGTCAATGAATGCAAGGCTGTTTTCATGCCTTGCACATGCGCACAAGGCTGGAGACAGCCAGTCTGGTCCTGGGCAGCCTTGTTGTTTGCCTGGGACCCTTTGCAACATTTCTGAGCCTGCTGAATGATTCAGCAGGCCCAGAACATAACACCCCTCCCCCCTAGATAAAACAATAAGTACCTTTATCGTTATAGCAGCACACATACATGTGTTCAATTGGCAGGTTGTTGTTGTTATATATCATGCCTGCACACAGGCAGACCACTCATCCATTGTTTAATATGTACAAGAATATAATCACAAGGCTCCCCGATGCGTTACAATTGTTTGAGCCTCAGCGGTTGCCTCATCAACAGGTAACTGTTGGTAGGCCTGTGCCAAATCAAGTTTTGCAAAGATTTGCCACCCTTTGAGGGAGGCCAGAATGTGGCTCACCACAGGCACTGGATATGCATGCTGTTGCAGCGTTTTGTTCAGTGTACATTTATAGTCTGCACAAATTCGGACTTCTCCATTAGCCTTCAGAGGCGTTACAATGGGGGTTTCCCATGGACTAGAGTCCACAGGTTCTAAGATGCCCTGCTGGAGCAGCTTGTCCAGCTCTGCATCAGTTTTGTTTTTGAGAGCAAAAGGCATCCTTCTAAGGCTTAATCCTAATGGGTGTGATAGCTGGGTCTAAACGTAAGGCAATAGGAGGCCTCTTGTATGAGCCAAGCTCTGGGCTAAACACATCAGCAAACTCCTTGCAGACTTCTGCAAGGCCTGACGTTTGCCTGCTGTGAAGCCCAGTCACTTGGATTCCAAGAGCCTCGAACCAATCGAGTCCAATGAGACTCGTGCGATCACCCCCAACTACCACCACATCTAGTAGGCCTTCAAAAGCCTTACGCTGCACCTTGAGCTTGGCCTCCCCCTTCACGCTGACTCTGGAATTCTGGAAGTCAGTGAGAATGAAGTTCGATGGCCTGAGCTTTACTCGTAGGCCACTACTGCTGCAAATCCTTTTGAAGGTGTCATGAGAAATTATCGATAGAGTGGACCCTGTGTCCAACTCCATTGATAAGGGAACCCCCTGCAACTTCATGTCAATGTGAAGCTTTTTTTAAAGTGGCTTATGTGTTCCTGTCCTTAAAATGCTTCTGTGCAACGTGCAGAAACTCACCCTATGTTGGCTGGGGACTCTGGTACCTTTCTGAAGCAATTCTTCCTGAGGCTGGACCTTCTGGCGACCCAGACGGAGGCAATGTGGCCTTGCCTGGCACATGCCCGGCAAATGGCGGAGCGTAATCTGCAGTCAGCGCGCTTGTGGCGTCTTCCACACCGCAAAACACCGGGGAGATGCTGGGGCCTTGTCTGGACGCTCCTTCGGCCTCCTCTCCGCTGACTGGTGCAGCCTATCCACCACCTCTTCAGGATCCTGTTCTGGATCTTCTCGAGTGACCTCTTGATGGACAGTAATGGTGGCTGGAGGATTTCTGGCGAGCCGCAAGGTCTTCACAGCGCCGCCCGCTGCTTCTTCAGCTGCAGCCTCTCTCAAGGCATCTTGAAACGAAACATTTTCCTTGGCGAAGATCTTCTGCTGCAGCTCACGACTTCTTAGGCCACAAACGAAATGATCCCACAGCCTCTCTTTCAGATCCTTGAATTCACAAGGCCTCACTGCTTGCCTTAAGGCAGCAATAAAGTCCACAGCAGACTCACCAGGCCTCTGGTCCCTCTGCTCGAACGCGTATCGCCAAGCATCACTGAAAGTTTAGATTAGAAATGTTCTTTCAGCATGTTCTTCAAATCTGCAATAAGACACTGACTCCAAAAGCACCAGGGCCACCAGATTCTCTGCTATGTCAAATGTTTCTTCTCCACAAACACAAAGCAAGGTAGCGGCTTTAAGGCCGTCTTCTCTTATCTGATTGACTCTGAAGTAATTCTCCACCCACGCCACGTATGAGTTCCAATGCTCTGGGTGGGAAATATCAGAGTCTGACAACCAGTCTATCTTAGACATCTTAGCCTTCTGCAACCCTCGTCAACGCCTTTGCTGCAAACCTTTTGTTGGAAAGGGGTCTTTCTGCTGAGCTCACCTCCAGCGATTCTGTATTGGCAGACAGAGTCGCGATTCTGGATGCCGAACTTTCCCCAATGCTTCAGGACTTCCCTGGTGAATCCTATCTTCTTCTGTTGGTAATCTTGCTTGCAGCGATCTCACCTTCGTCACCACTGTTAAATTTGTGGGTTAAAGGCATTACAAGGAAATGAATAGTGAGAACAGCAAGTCTTCTTTATTCATTCACCAACAAACAGCAACAGAAAAAATGGCGCGCAGGCCTTTTATAGTGTCCTTGCGAAGGCCAGCATCAGCCAATGAATGCAAGGCTGTTTTTGCACCTTGTGCATGTGCGCAAGGCTGTTTTTGCACCTTGGCATGTGCGCAAGGCTGGAAACAGCCAGTCTGGTCCCGGGCAGCCTTGTGGTTTGCCCAGGACCCTTTTCAACATTTCTGAGCCTGCTGAATGATTCAGCAGGCCCAGGACATAACAACCACCTTCCCAGCACTGCTCTGTGGGCAAGGCTTAAAGGCCTGGTTGACTCACGCACTTATGAACCGGCCTTCTCTTTATCTGGTTGAGGCATCTTTTGCTTCTCACCTGCCTGCCTGATTTGGCTCCCTTCTAATGCCTTCTCTTTTCATCTTTCCAGTAAATTGGTTATCAACCAGATCATCCCTGAAGATGATGCCATCTACCAATGTATGGCCGAGAACAGCCAGGGCTCTGTCCTTGCCAGGGCACGCCTGACAGTGGTTCTCTCTGAAGACCGGCCCAGCGCGCCTTGCAGTGTCCATGCAGAAACCGTGTCGAGCTCAGCCATTCTCTTGGCCTGGGAGAGGCCACTGTATAATTCTGACAAAGTGATTGCCTACTCAGTGCACTATATGAAGGCGGAAGGTGAGTGGAGCAGGGCTGCTGTGGGCCCACGGAAAGAGAGCTTCAGCGCTGGGGCTGCTGGGAGGCCAGGAGAACAAAGGGGGAGGTGAAACGTTCATGGGGCCAGGAGCCTTCTGGGTCCATGTGGGACCAACTGTGGAGCTGCTTCTGTATGTGAGTGACCTTCAGGGGTTTCAGCAGCAGGTCCTACCTGGTCAGAAGAGGCAGCCATATCTTCCTTCTCATCGTATTGTAAATTTTGGCATTTATTAAAATATTTTTTAAAAAGATCACCAGATCTTTGGAAAGATAAATACTGCATAAATTAGTTGGATGATGGACTGAAAAGCTGATATTGATTCATTCCAGTGAATGGCTATATTTAACTAGTGTGTCTCTAGGAAAAAGATCCATTTGGGGGGTGCAAGAATTGCTGGCAAAGTAACGGTAGGTTCCAGCATATCCTGGAAGGGGGGGGCCAATATCAACACAGGAGCAGAAACAGGCTGCTGAGTCCCACCTGCTTGATCCTTGTGGGAGCAGAAGGCTAGCTTTGAGAGACCTTGAGCTGGGCCCCAGGGTGGGGCTCTTGAGGGACCTAATTGATGGGAGAGGGGTGGGAAGGGATTCTCTCTTTCTGTTTCCCAAATAAGGCAGATAATTTTGTGTGGATCAGAGGCATCTTTGCAGCAGTTCTCCAACATGGGAATTAAGCTTTCTCATAGTTGGTGTTGGGGGGGGGGGCAAAGAAATGAGGGTCTCTTGAGGAGACCTGCTCTGGAAGATGATTTCTTCTTCAAACTTGGGGGAAGGGTAATTGTGGGGATGGGAAGAGCAGGGCTGTTGCTGATGCCTTGTTAGTGATTAAGAAAGAAAAAGGTATGGTCTGGGATGCAAGTAAAGCTTTCATGCGTGGTATTTTGATAAAAATGAATAATTTGCATAGACAGAAACAGACTCAGAAACGGAAAGACTTGGAAGAGGAGATTAAATTAAAAGAGAAACTTTTAATTTCAAATCCCTTAGATGAAAAGGTTAAAGGAGCTTTAAAATTGTTAAAAACACAATTTAACATGCTGATGGCTGATCAAGCTGCAACTAATTTGCTATTTATGAAACAAAATACATTTTGTAATGCTAATAAACCAGGGAGATGGTTGGCTTATCAGTTAAGAAAAAAACAGAAACAGAGGAATATAGATAAAATAAATTATAATGGTAAATTGGTTTATCAGAAAGAATTGATTAAGAAATCTTTTTTAGAATACTATCAAAAATTATATAAGGGTACTAATATTCAAATTACAGATATAAATAATTATTTAGGCAAAGTTAACTTTCCTAAATTAACAGAAGATCAGGAAAAAAAGATCAACGGTTTAATTACTAAGGAAGAAATTGTTACAGCTATTAAACAATTGAAATTGGGCAAAGCGCCGGGTACGGATGGGTTGACATCTATTTATTATAAAGCTTTAGTAGAAGAGATGATTCAACCGTTGTGTGAACTGTTTAATAATTTATTACAGGGGTTAGAGATCCCTCCATCCTGGCGTAATGCATTTATATCATTGATTCCAAAAGATAGTCAAGATCTTACTTTGCCTAAAAATTATAGGCCTATATCTCTTTTAAATGTGGATTATAAAATTTTTGCAAAAATTTTAGCTAACAGGCTTATGGGGATCTTGCAGCAGTTTATACATAGGGATCAATCGGGTTTTATAACTGGAAGGTATATGAAGAATAACGTTAGACAAATTATTAATTTATTAGAGTATTTAGAAAAGAATAACCAAGTCTCTGCAGGCCTGATATTTTTGGATGCTGAAAAAGCCTTTGACCAAGTGAATTGGCAGTTTATGCTGTGTTTAATCAAGGAGATGAATTTTGGACAAAATATATTACAAGTATTATCCAATATATATCAAAAACAGACTGCTCAAATTATTGTAAATGGGGGTTTGTCAGAGGCTTTTGTAATAGAAAAAGGAACAAGACAGGGATGCCCGTTGTCTCCGTTATTGTTTGTTTTAACACTGGAAATTTTGTTGATTAAAATTCGGGAGTCTCAAGAAATAAAAGGAATAGAAATTAATAAAAAAGAATATAAATTAAGAGCCTTTGCAGATGACTTGGTTGTTACTTTGTCTCAACCTGTTTCTTCGGTGGTGAAATTATTACAATTGATTCAACAATATGGACGTGTTTCTGGCTTTAAAATTAATAATAATAAGACCAAAATACTAGCTAAAAATATGACTAATGGTGATAAACAGGCTCTAGTTAACTTAACAGACTTTGAAATTGTTGATAAGGTAAAATATTTGGGGGTTACATTATCTGCTTCTAATGTAAAATTGTATAAAAATAATTATGAAAAGCTGTGGATGGAGGTACAGAAGGATTTAAAAAACTGGAATAATTTACAGTTATCCCTTATGGGCAGAATTGCAGTTATTAAAATGAATGTCCTGCCAAAGTTTATTTTTTTGTTTCAAATGTTACCTATTTTAAAGAACGAACGTAATTTAGATGAATGGCAAAAAGGTATTAATAAATTTGTTTGGGCAGGGAAAAAACCAAGGGTGAAACTTAAAATAATGCAAGATTTTCGTGAGAGAGGTGGACTCAAGGTACCAAATATGAAATTGTATTATGATGCTGTAGTATTGACATTGATTAGCGACTGGGTGAATTTAACAAATACAGAAATACTTCATTTGGAAGGCTGGGACCTATTTTTTGGATGGCATGCCTATTTAATATTTAATAAAAAAGTGGATTGGGTTTTTAAGTCTCATATTATAAGAAACTCTTTGCTAAGAGTGTGGAGAAAGTATTATAAAAGTGACTTCAAAATACCATTATGGGCTATACCTCGGCATGCCATAGAAGGTATAAGGAAAGGGGTAAATATGGACAAGGTCTCTTACGTACAGTTACTAAGATGGGATGGCCAAGACTGGCAGTTAAAATCTTTGGAAGAATTAACACATGAAAATTTAACTTATTCATGGTTCCAATATAGACAAATAGTGGATAGATGGAAGATGGATTGTAAAATGGGCTGGCTTAGAGAAGATGAAATTTTTTTAAAACAAGTAAGAGATCAAAGGCCAACCCATATTAAGAGAGTTTATGGGGTTTTAGTGGAATTAGATTCAGAACCTGAACTAGTTAAAGATTGTATGATTAAATGGGCACAGAATATTGGTGAAACGATTTCAATGGATACTTGGGAACTTATTTGGATAAGAAATGTTAAATTCACACAAGCGCAAAATTTAAGAGAGAATTTTTATAAGATGTTTTATAGATGGCACCTTGACCCAAAGAAAATGTCCATTATGTACCCTAATCTACAGCCGAAATGCTGGAGATGTGGATATTTGGATGCTACCTTATTACCATATTTGGTGGACGTGTAAGCATATAAAAGCTTTTTGGATTAAGATATGGTGGAATATTCAAAGAATTTTTAAAAGGAGGGTAAAATTTACTCCGCAATTATTTTTACTAGGTATTGTTATTGACTGTGATGCTAAGGAGGTTATATTGATGTTAAATTTGATTACAGCCGCTAGGTTGTTAATAGGACAATATTGGAAGAAGGAATCTTTGCCTACTTTACAAGAATGGTTTCATAAAGTTTCGTATTTGGCAGAAATGGCAAAGATTTCGGCTTTCTTAAAGGAGCAATCTCAAGAAAAATTTTTTGCGGTATGGGAAAAATGGATAAATTTTATACAACATAATTTGGATATGGAAAAATATTATTTAGCCTTTTTATAATTTGTAATGATTGTTTTTTCTTTCTTTCTTTCTTCTTTTTCTTTTTTATATATATACATTTTTTACGTATTATTATTCATATATATTTTTTTTTTATATATATATGCTTTATTCTTCGTCTACTTTCTTCTTTCTTCTTTCTCTCTCTCTCTTCTTTTTTTATTTTTTTTTTCTTTTTTAGTATATATTATTCATTTTAAAGTTTATGTTATGCATATTATTATTATATATATTATTACTGTGATTATTATTATTATTAATTATTTTATAAATTGCAAATGTTATTTTTAAAATATTTCTTAAATAATCCTATATTCAGTTCTGGGAAGTCGGGGGGGGGGGTGGGGTGGTTGGGGAGGGGAGGGTGGATTCTTATTTGTAAAACTTTTGAAAAATTTTAATAAAAAAAAAAAAAAAAGAAAAAGGTGGAGGGAGCAGCTTTCTCTTCCCTTGTGTTGGAGCCAGGAGCCGCAGCACCACAGGAGGCCTTGCAGCCATTCACTGCATATAGGTTCCCTATGCAACAAGTCAGAAATCATGCCTAATTAACACTCCTTTAATTGGAGGCTTGTGAGGTGCTGATGAACTTGCCTAATTAAAATGCTATCAACAATTCAAAACTGTAGGAAAATCAACTGGGGGAATGTCAGCCCATTGCCTCCATTCTGAAGTGGAAGGGCTGATGCTGCTTCAGACGGTGTGTGTGTGTGCGCGCCTTTTACAGAGCGGACAGGCTTCGGGTGCTAAGTCGGGTCCAGAGCAGTTGCCAGCTCTTTCCTGCTTCAGAGGCCATTGACAGGCTGAGCCGGACATCCAGCATTTGGACATAAATTGCCACAGACGGTTTCCCTAGAATACCACTGAGCAAAAGATGCTCAGCTCTGTTTTAGATAAGAACCCATTTTTGATCTAAATCTCACCCATTTTCTACCCTGTTCATGCTGTTTAGTGGCTTCCAAGGGAGCCTTCTACCCTAATATGCTCATGCTGCTGCTATTGGCCCGTTCTTTTTGTGTTCCAGGCTTAAACAATGAAGAATACCAAGTGGTGATTGGAAATGATACTACCCATTATATTATTGATGATTTGGACCCTGCCAGCAACTACACCTTCTACGTCGTGGCCTATATGCCCCTGGGGGCCAGCCAGATGTCTGACCACGTCACTCGCCATACATTGGAAGACGGTACTGGCTTCCTTGCTGAAAAAGCTGCCACGAGAGACCCAGAACCCGGGGGGGGGACTGGTTGCAGCAGTTTAATCCATAGAGGATGACCCCCCTCCTGGGTTTGGTCAGACTCTGTAAGGGAGGTTCTGTTTGCATTCTTATGACCACCAAGCTGCCATAGCCCAAGGGGATCACGGTGGGGCTTGAGTCCTTTGGAATAGCAGGAACAGGCATGTTCTGCACGGAGCCCCCCCTGGATCCCTTTTCTTCAGCAGCAGAGGCCTGACTTGGCCTCTGCCCAGTTCCAGTGCTTTGACTAGGAGAGTCAGTCTCTCAAGAACAGGGCCCTCCATATGAATTACAAACCTATGGAAACAAAACATGAACAGTGGAAGTGTGAGAAGCAACAGGGAAGGATCTCTGTCAAGCCTTCTCTCTGTCTCAGTCTCCTCTCTCTCTCTCTGTTCCTCTGTCTCTCTCTCTCTCTCTCTCTCTCTCTCTCTCTCTCTCTCTCTCTCTCTCAGAAAGCTCAGTTCCTTAACTCTTTCCATTCCAGCATGCAGCCTCCCTCAGGCCCTTGGAGCGGCTGACTCTGTCTTCCATCTTTCCTCCTCCTTAGTCCCGCTGAGAGCTCCTGAGCTCAGCCTGACCAGCAGAAGCCCCTCTGACATCCTCATCACCTGGCTGCCCATCCCGGCCAAGTACCGGCGAGGGGAGCTGGTGGCTTTCCGCCTCTCCTTCCGTCTCAGCACGGAGAGCAGCATCCAGGCACTGGAGCTCCCAGGAAGCACCTACGAATACCTGCTCCGGGGGCTGAAGCCCGACAGCATCTACTTGGCTCGTATTTCTGCTGCCACAAAAGTTGGTTGGGGCGAGGCCTCTCTGTGGACTTCCCATCGCACCCCAAAAGCCACCAGTGTCAAAGGTGCCCCCTGTTTTTCCACCAAATGAGCAGCAGAGCTATTCTGTCTGAATAGAGTAGTCAGGGGTTGGCCAGTTTTATGTAGACTGAGGGAGCTTTGGATGGGCTGCTCCCAAACATTGTGGCTCTTCCTTCCTTAATAATGTTTGTGACAAGCAAAAGGCAAATAAAGCCACAGTGGGAAAGGGGGGGGGGGTTTAACAGGGAGAAGATGCTGCTGCTGCTGCTACTAAGATTGCCAGAGAGTCCAGTGTGAGCTGGCTTTCTTCTCAAGCACTGGGGCCAGGATATGGTGGACCAAAGTTTGTTTTGTGGTGAGCTGTGAGATGGTCAGCCATATAATTTCAGCAAATAAATAAACATGTCTAATTTTGGCAGGATTGCAATGCCTCCCACCCCCTTTATCAAACCAAAGGGTGGCAAAGCACTAATGTGAAGTTGCCAGTCTGTAAGACTGGCTATTAGATAAAGGTATAAGTTCTCCCCTGATACTCTTTAAGTTGAGCCTTTTGTATCCATTCTTTCCCAGTACCAAAGTCTCCTGAATTGCGCCTGGAACCTCTGAATTGCACAACAATCACTGTGAGGTGGCAGCAAGAGCTTGCAGATGGTGCTGCCATCCAAGGCTACAAGCTGTACTATAAGGAAGAAGGCCAGCAAGAGAATGGGCCAATTCTGCTGAGGGCCAGGGACTCCATCTACACCATCAGCGGCCTGGGTGAGCACGACTTGACTCTCTTTCCCGATGACCCTCTCAGCTCAGGAGGGAGGGCTTCCTTCACTGCTATCAGGGGCAACAGAGGGCAAGAAGGGTGGTCAGTGAAGGCCGGTTGTGGCCCTCATGAGGTAGCAGAGAAGTAGCCCAACTTATTCATGGGCAGTCTGGGGTTGGAGGAAGCAGTTAGGGGGCCATATTTGCTGCCGACACTAGGATATTGTTGGTGTTGGAAAGGAAGAAGCAGCCGAATGCTCACATGGTTGTACTTAAGCTAAGCTAAAACTGCATGTGGCATACTGGGTGGAAGCAGCTGAACCTTGTGTATAGTGAGGGCATCCGAATGGGCAGAGCCTGACCAGGAGGCATATTGGAAATGTGCTGGGCATTTCCATGGAAACACACCCAGGACAAGCGAGAGAGTCCCAATTAAGGCTGTGTCAAGTTTTCACTGGTATCATCCATTGCAGAGATGGTGCTCAGTTGAGCTCCCAGACATTCAAGTGGGGTCCCTTGAGGGGGCATTAACAGACACAGTTCACAGTCATTTTTCAGGCTGTTCTATCAAGCTGGCAGCCTGTGGAGTAGCTGCCTCTGAAAAGCAGCCCTTTCCCCACCCTACTGGCTCCAGGAAAGCTGCCTCTCACCTGCCTTGGCAGGGCCACCCCCTTCCCTTTCTGGCAGGAAGATGCAAGCAAGCTCTCTGCCCCTGGAAGCCAAGGGTCTTGCACAGACACCCACGTCCCCTCAGGTCCCAACTGCCTGCGTGGTGTCCACTATTTATTTTTGAATGCTCCACATTATGTCCTTGAATTCTGGGCTGCCCCACCAACTCAATCCCCTTGGTGATGGTGCCCAATGTCCCAGACACTGATTATTCAATAGTGGTGGTGGTTCTTTGAACTCATATGGCTGTCTGTATTATTGCTTGGAAACTGGGTTGGTATCTTTGACACTCTTCATTTGATCCTTCTGACATTTTTCTGGCATTGAAATTTCCTGAGGCGGCCCTTGACAGATTTCTCAATGTATTGCTTGGGCAGCGTTTGAGGAATAAACACAGACTTTTTTGCTTTGCGGAAGATCCTAGCCCTGGAGCCAAGTGTGGTGAGAAGGAAGATTAAAGGGGAGCACAAGAACCATGCTTACCCGTGGCCTTGTGTCTTTTTCCCTATGACTGGCTGGGCGAGCCTGAAGCCTTCTGATTTGTTTGGGAGAGGAGACACACACACAAGGGAAGGCAATAAAAACCTCGTGGAGGCTGCTTTTCTAGAGGGGCTTCTGTAGGTCCTCCCCCCTCTCTGGCTCTGCCAATCTCCTGTCCTCAGATAATCCTCTTAGGGTGGTGCATACAAGGTGATTGAAGAGGAAAGTCTGTCTGACCCCATGGCATGAACAAGGAGCCAGCCTGGGTAGGCCTTGCCACAGTGAAAGTCCATGGCTTCTGCAGAAGTCTCTGTTTTCTCAGACCACGTCAATCAATCCTGATGCTTAAGTTGCCTAGACTCAAATTTGTCTAGGCTCAACTCTCTCCACAAGACTTCTGTGCTGGCCATGAGCCAGGGGGTCTCTGTTGATGAATCCTTGCTGCCGCATCCTCCACCCTTCCTGTAACTTCCCTGCTTCTGCTGCCAAGATGCCAGCTCCCTCAGTAGTATTCTCTTAAGCTTGGTGCTAGTTAATGAAAGAGGCTGGAGTCACCTCCAGATGACCAGAAAGCCACCTCTAGGACCCCTGATGGAAGTTGAGGTTCTGGGCTCCCAAGAGGAAAGACAATCTCTGCATTTTTATTTTTTAATAAAATGGAAATTGTAAGGCTGAAAGAGGAGTTGCCAAGCGGAAGATCACCTCAAGTCTTTTGGAAGCTGCCTGAGGGTGAAAAGTCATCTTTGATGGGAACCCAGAGTTTGGAGAGCGACAGTTGCCTGCTGCCTGGACAAAACACTCTTTAAGCTCCTATGTTGCAAATTCTGCCATTGCAGCTCATTTGCTTAAGCTTTGTTTTTAGCTCTCTGCTCTGCTACTGTGTCAACATGGGTAGACATGTCTGAGCGGCTACTTGATGCCCAGGAGAGAGAGATGAAGAATCTGCTGGGAGGTCTGAGGTAACCTTTAGCACTGGATTCTGCCCTTATTTCTTTGCTGCGTTGCCACTTCTGGAGCAAAGGAGAAACTCAAAGGAAAGCTTCACACTGCTTCCTTCTTTCCAACTTGGGATGAGCAATAAGGTGGCCCTCCTTCGGTGACACCTGGACTTCCTGTGAAGTGGCCAAGGCTGGCTCTAGAGAAAGGTCAGGAGGTGTGACCCAGCTGGAGTTGCAGGAAATCCCTGTTCGTTCTGGGCCTCCAGGGCCAGAGCTGCTCCTGGAAGTCCTCAGACAACATCCTGTCTTCTGTAATGTTCTCACCCTACAAGCTAAGCAACAAGTGACAGTGATGCCAACTGAGACAGTGTTTTCACTCTCTCACATGGGAGGATAGATTTTTTTTTTTTTTGAAGGCACTGAAGGCTTCAGGGGAGGAAAATGTGAGCTGCTCCTTCTGTGCAAGAGTCTTGCCTTGGATTAGGCTTGAGAGCTCCTCCTGATGAAAAGATGCCCCAGGCCTTCATTATACTTTGAATGCATAGTAGCACTTGGCAATCAGCAAAAGAAGGCGGCAACATCCAGGGGAGTCAAAGAGGGTGAAGCAGGTGGGTTTCACCCTTGGTTCCTCAAGAATCAGCGGTCCTAAAGAACTCCACAGCCATCCTAGCATGAAATTAAAACATTTGAGGGGAGGCCTAAAGTGGTTCCTGCCTCTCAGTTACAAGATTGATGTGATGGTCAAGCTCAACAAGAGTTTTGCTGCTATGTGCCTTCTAAGGCAGATTTGCACATTCCTTTCTGTGCTCAACATGAGTGTGTCATGAAAAATGTGGCCAAATTGGGTTTAGGGCTGGTTAGCATCCTTTCTTGTGGTGCAGCTGGAAGCAGAGCTATGGGCACTTCAAGGCTTTGTCCATCTATGTGGGAGTTCTTTGCAAGGGTGGAAGGGGAGCTCTTCCATCCTGAGGATGTTTGGGCTTTTATTCTGACATTTTTCCATTATGTTTTCACTCCCAGGGGAAAACACAAATTTATTTTTCTTTCTCTGTGAAGAATCTGTAGAATGCAGTTGTAGCTAGAGACTTGTTCTTGGTTATTTACAATTTGGGAATTACACTATATTTCCTTGAGATAAGCCCTGCTTTTTTCAATCCCAATTTAAAAAGCAGAGGCTTTTGAAGAGACCCGTCTGTCTGAGGAAATGAAATCAACAGTGTCCATTGATCATCGGGAGATCAATCAATCCACTGGCTCAGGCGCTCATCACTGAAGGTCTGGCCACGTTGGACAGGAGAGACAGTTTGTTAAGCTGCCATTAGCACATGAAAGGGGATTCAGAGTTAGAAGGCCTGGGTTGGTGCCTGCCTGTTCTGTCTGAGTTCTGTTCTGACAGACCAATATGGAACATCCGAACATGGATTAAAATTTTAGTTGTCTCTGCTCATAGGTTTTGTTGCCATCCAGAGCTTAAGATTTTGAAAAGGGGGTTCATACAAATTCAAGGAAAGTAGAGAGATTTTCTGACAGTGGATATGTCCTGCAATTGGCAGCCCACCAATAGGGGGCATTTCTTGGTTTGGCTAGAAAGGATTTAGGGGAAGGGCTTGGACTGCAGACAAAAGGCTGTGGGATTATCTGGTCTCTTTCCTTTTCTGCTCCCCCACCCCCTTGTGTTCCCCTGGTGTGTGTGTGTGTGTGTGTGTGTGTGTGTGTACTTTTCTAAGGCAGCCAATTCTTGTCTTCTTCAGTGACAGCTTGCACAGCTCATCTGGACTGTTGTGCTTTGCGGGAATGGCCCATGGTGGTTTGTGCAGCTGGATGTTGAAACAAGGGCTTCTGTTTTAGTGGGCAACAAATGGGTGCTGTCCTCCCCTGGGGCCCTTTCCTGGGAGATGGTTAGAGGTGGGCAACATAGCAAACTCCTAGCTGTAGTCTCAGGCATTCTGGAAGTGTTTGGTACTCACTTTCCTATATTTCTGTATTGTTATTGCCACTAAACTGCAAAAATTGTCAAGTTTCCCCTTCTCCACCAGGTGCTTTTGGCCCATCACTTCAGGTAGGATGACCGTGTCCTCTCAGGGGCAGCCTGGAGGTGTGGAGGCCCTCCTCCTCTTCTGTGTAATTTCATTTGAATGGTGTCGGGAGAGGTGAGCTATATGAGGCCCTAGTCTCATCTTACAAAGTGGGGGATGAACACCAACAAAAGGGAGGAAGGGGCTGTTGTGGCACAGCAGGGGAGACCAAAATGAGGCCCAGGCTGCTTTGGGGAAGTCTGGCTTGTCTTTTTTCTTCTTCTTTTTTTGCTTTTGGCTTCAGCGTCTAAGGAGGCTTGGGGTTCTGTGCTACTTTTCTTAAATGTTTATTCAAGCTGAACCCCATAGTGGGAGCTTCTGCTCTCTGAAGCTGCTGGGCAGCGGAGAACAAGCAGTCTAGCATTTCCCAGTTTGGACATCCTATCAAACTGGTTTGTTAAACAACTATTGGCTAGCCTGCTTCAGGCCATGGCTTGCTAAGCCTTGGTTGGAAGCATTTGAAAACCAAGATTTGCAATCACTCTCACAAGCCATAATTTTGCCTCTCAGGGTGTGTTGGGCATTTGAAGGCAGCAGAGGGATTCCACACTGCTTTGTTTAGATGTTTCTGTACCACCCATTTCTCAAGAGGTGAAACACAATCCCCAAGTGTAACTAACTCAAAGGCCAATAAAAGTGAACTAGTGAAATCAACTCTCACAAAAATATCCATTTTGAGGGGAAAGCACTCACCGGATCAGCTTTGTTCTGTTCTGCACACTTTTATTGTTGTGAGGCCAAGACCCATCCTTTCCATGGGGAGCATTTGTCCCAGGGAAAATGGAGGCACTTTTAGCAAGCATTGGGGGATTTGTGGGAAGGCATTTTGGGGAGGAGGGGAGCAGGGCCTTCCTTCTGCTTTTGTGCAAAAAGAGAAGCCTCTTCAAAGTGGTGAACCATCAGGTAGCCATCCCACCGGGAGCTCTTGGCTGCCAAAAATGAGGGGTGTGTTGCATGGTTAGGGCATCCTGTATGATCAGGGGTGGCAAAGTGGCTGCTGCTGCAGGGATCAGACAAAGGCAGGTAAGGAGCTCCTCAACTGCGTCCTTCCATACTGGCATGAGAAGCAAAGCCTTTCACATTCATTTGGAATGAAGCCATTTTGGACTGGCATCAGAGCCCAGAGTGTGCCCCAGCAGCTCCAGAAAGAGAGACGTCCCTCTTCTGCCCCTTCCTGTGGAAGAACAGAGCCCAACACGGGTGGGGAGGGAAGGGGGAGCAAGAAGCCAGCTTTCCCTGGGTCAGATTCTATGCTCCTGGGAAGCTCCAGGGATTGGGCTCTGCAGTGGGGAAGGCAGGCGAGAGAGGAGGCATTGCCAGCTCAGCCCAGGGGATTTTTTCAGCACCCTTTGTTTTCCCAGCCAGCTGAGAGGTGCCAGAAATGCAAACAGCTTCAGGATGGCTTCAGGTTGCAAGGATGGACTTTATCATTTATAATGTTATTTTGCATACATACATACATACATACATTCTCTCTCTCTCTCTCTCTCTCTCTCTCTCTCTCTCTCTCTCTCTCTCTCTCTCTCTGTGTGTGTGTGTGTGTGTAAAATATCTTGCTGTTGAAGTCAGCAGTGCCTGCAGAGCTGCCCCCCCTTCTGTAGCTGACCCTCTTTGTGGTGGGATGGATCCTGTTTGCACTCAGCCTTTGCACCCCTTCTGAGGGTCAGGTTTCCTTCCGTCAGGCTGTTCCCACCCTTCCCCCTCGCCAGGCAACGGTTGCTTGGGAGAGCCCCAGGTCCTGGGTCAAAGGCCACGACCCAGATGTCAGAGCAGCCTGGCTGCTGGCCTCTTCTTGAATGATTATCTGGAGTTTATTGTGCAGCAGGGGGAGGGGATTGTCTTGGGGGTTCAACAATGGCTCACGGAAAGACAAAAGTCTAAACTGGACATTTGGCGGGGACCCTGGGCCCCTTTTCCTGAAAGGCACAGGGCTCAGCAATTCTTAAATCCCAGCAAGGACATTTGCAATTTTCCTTGGCTGAACTTCGTAGTTTGTCCTAAAAGTCAGTGGATGCTGGCAGGCAGCCTCCCCAGAAGCAGGGCTGCTCCTGAGGCTGATTCTTACCCAGGAGTCTTCTATGCTGTCCCATGAAGCCCTGCTGATTTTTGGTCTAGAGAGGAGCAGAGGTCCAGCCTCTTGGCAAACTATCATCACCCCCATGTGCCTAGCTTTGACAAACTATCTTTAACTTCAAGATTTTAAAGATCCAGCTAATAAAATATTACCTCCTGCCCATCCTTTGCAGAGGGAGGCAGAGATGGCAAAAGAACTCAAAAGGGGGGAATGAAATCTCAGCCCTGGGAAAGTGGGATGTGTACGAGAGCCCCCCTCTCTGCATGGAGAAAACTGGTGGGCCTCAAATGCCTCTTGCTTGACAGCACAGTCAGGGTTAGCCCTTGTCCCATCTGATTGCTGACTGCCCCCTCCCCCTTGCCTTCCCAATCCTTTATCATCTGGGATGAGACGGTGCTGAGGAGAGGAGAGGGTTCGGGTTAGGCTGACCTCGGATTCCTCCTTTGTTTTATCTAGTCCTGACCTATGGCCTCATTTCAGGCCCCTTTGGAGACTCTCAAAACAGCAGCTGAAAGACGAGGGGGCTTGGGGGGCTCTGGAGTGCTGGCTTTCAAAGGAAGGCCAGATCCCCTTCTCGGAGGCAAATGGTCTTGGCTCAGATGTGGGAATGGTCCCCGTTTCTGGCATGGAACCCAAGGGGTGCTGAGCATAAATGCTCCTTGCAAGACTCCAGAGATTTGACCTTCCCACAGAGGTTTCAGTTGGGATGGCAATGTTTTGCCACCCCTCCAAGAAGGGGAAGGGCCCCCTCTGGTGTTCTGCTGTAGGAAAAGACTGGCCGGATATTAGTAGATAGACCAGAGGACAGTTGAGAGGAGGGGGGACAACGCTTTGGCTGGCTCAATCGTCCTGTGTGGCAGGGTGGACTTTGTTTCCCTGACTGCCTCCCCCATAGCCCAGCAATTCAGGGATGATGCTTCTGAAGGGAGGTTGACAACAGGACTATGAAGCATCAAAGCTCCACAGACTGTAAGGCTGCAGCTAATTCCTCCTGCCTCCGCAAATTCAGGGGAGGCAGAGTTTGCGCCCTCAACTTTGTTCCAGGAGGTGTGAGCATCCGACTGTCCCATTCTCAGCTCTTCCAGCTGGTGGACGTGATGCATTGCTGTGTTCATGCAGTCATTGTTCAGGGCCTTTGGGGAGACCAGTGGCCATGGAACAACCAGACATGATCAAGAGCAATAATGAGCCAAGGGGCAAATTTGGGGTTGCTGCTGGAGGGAGGAGGAGGACTCCCTAATCAGGCCATGCTGGCTGCAATTTTGGGGCGTCAAGAGCACCCAGTTGGAGGAAGCCAATCTAGAAATCGAGGATCAGGATGTTGTGTTTCCCTCCCAGTGTTGGGTCCTGCTGTGCTAAGCAATTGTTCTTCAACCTTATCCAGACCCCAGAAGGAAGTACCATGTCAGGCTGCTGGCATACAACAGCATGGAGGAAGGCTACGAGGCAGACCAGACCGTTAGCACCCCCAGCTGCGTATGTGAGTCTCCAGCTTATTTTTCTGCTGTAATTGTGGCACTTCAGAAGCTGCAGAAAATGTCTCTTAATTTGGGGGGCTCTTTGCTGGCTGGACTTCTGGTGCTGACCCTGAAGTCACTATTGCTCTTCAAGTCCTGATCTGGTTCCCCCACGCTTAGGGCACTCTCCTCTCTCTGCAGCTGTGCGGGACCGTCTGGTGCCACCCCCTCCGCCACCCCACCACCTTTACGCCAAAGCAAACTCTTCCTCCTCCATCTTCTTGCATTGGGGTCGGCCTGCCTTCACTTCAGCACAGGTCATCAACTACACTCTCCGCTGTCACCCGGTGGGGCTGCAGAATGCTTCTTTGGTGCTCTATCTTCAAACGTATGTGGGCCTTCGCCTGTTCTGTCTTCACCCTGCTTCCCTCTGAGGAGCTGGCCAGGATACCACCCCCCACCCTGCCATTCACACAAGGCAGAATTGATGCCTTCGCCATGGCTCCTGCACCAGACAGACCTTCTCCATGTCTGGTTTTGAGGAAGCCTGGCAGCTGGCATGCATGAAGCACCAAGACAGTTTCTCTCGATTATCATGTATTTAAGCTGAAAAATCTCCTGCTTGGGTTCTCTCAATGGGGACGGTGGAATCTGCCCAAGGCCTTTTGTGGGTACTGGTGGCTTTGTGTGAGGAGAGTGCCACTGACCAGGCCCTACCACCTCAATCCAGGCAGAGAAGCAGCCTCAGGCCCTGACTGGGAGGAAGGGGAGCCCTCCCCCCCCCCGCTGTAGGGCCAGTCTAGTGCTACACCTCTCCCATGGCAATGCTGAGATGCATCCTCCCTGTTGCACACTCAGCAAGAATTGCAAAAGGCAGCAGGCAGGGATGTCCTGCTAACTGGTTCCTTATGTCCAGGTCAGAGACTCACTTGATGGTCCAAGAACTGGAGCCAAATACCAAGTATGAGTTTGCCGTTCGGCTCCATGTGGATCAGCTCTCCAGCCCATGGAGTCCAGTGGTTTACCACACCACCCTCCCAGAAGGTGAGGAGGTTGCTGCTGCCTGGCGCTCATTGACTGGGAATCCACTCTTGCACACAGAGGAGCCTCTCAGACTCCACCAGAGAGGTCTCTGGAGCTCCAAAGGCTTCATTGACAGCCTATCTGTCCCCACAGCCCCAGAGGGTCCACCTGTAGAAGTGAAGGCGACAATGATTGAGGAAGATACAGCCTTGGTCTCCTGGAAGCCACCAGCTGGCATTGGAACCCTTGTCTCCCGATACACCATTCTGTATGCCTCCAGGAAAGCTTGGATCGCAGGCGAGTGGCAAGTCCTTCATCGGGAAGGTGAGTGGGAGCCTGCAGACTCTGGGTGCCAAGATTGGGGCCTTCACACTTTCCCCCAACCTTATGGCTGCTACTTGTCAACACAACCTGGAGGTGGCAGCCGTAGACTGCTGGGCTGATGGCTTCAAGTGATGATCTGGAGCACAAGAAAAACCTTGGTATTCGGTTGCCAGGCTCTTCTTTTAGAAGTCAGGCTGTGATAATAAGGGTGATTTTGCTGCCACTCCATAACATGATGACTTCTTGGCCAGTCGTAGATCTCACAGGGATCCTGCACAGTGAAGAATCTCAGAAAGAATCTCAGGAGCAGAAACAGGCTGAAGGGTTGTGCCAGGCAACCTGCAGTTTGGCACTGGTTATCCAAGGAAACGGAAATGGTTGGCATGTCATCTTCTCTCCTTCTTCCCTACAGGAACAATAACCATGGCTTTATTAGAGAACCTCAGGGTGGGAAGTGTCTACCTCATCAAAATTGCTGCATCCAACGAAGCGGGCGAAGGGCCTTTTTCTAGCGCATTGGAACTCGTGGTCCTGCCAAAGGAGCCCTCAGAGGCAAACCAAAGACCGAAACGCCTGGATTCCTCAGAGGCCGACACAAGTGAGCCCCTGGTCCAGCCTGCATGTATCACACAGTTGCTCTGCTCCATCCTCTTTCTCCTAGAAGGGGCAACTTGGCATATTGTGGGATGGGCTTCCTTGCTCATTGCTGTCCCACCAAGATCCCTGGGATAGAAGTACCTGTTTCCTTTTTGCAGCTCATTCTGGCTCTTACCAGTTGGACCAGAAGTCAATGACGGGCATAATTGCAGGTGTCTCCATAGCCCTGGTATGCATCTTAGTCTGCATTCTTGTCCTGATCTACCATGGCAAAGTGAGGTAAATTTGTTGTATGTGTGTGAATGTGACTAAGTGAGTGAAAAGCTGGGTGGGAGGTATGAGTGCCAATGTTGGGTATGTGTGAGTGCATCATAATCTGTGTAGCGAATCCTCACTGGGATGTGTGCAAAGTGATGGTAGAACCTCAGGTTTGAATCGCCTAACCTCAGCCCTAGGGACACAGCCAGAGAAACCAAGTGGCCCCTGTTCAAGTTCTTGCTTTGCTGCCCCATTCTTACCACCAACGTAGGCTGCTGTGCACCTTTTCTGTCTCTTAGCATCTTCCCACCATTAACTTGTACGTTCCCAAGGAGTGGTGGATAGAGAAGACAGAGATTATAGGAGGAGTTGCAATATCAGGAGGAAATCTTTCTTGTTTCTTTCTGCCCCTCCCCCATTGTCCATTGCCTGCTCAGGGCTTCCACTGCCCTCTTCATTCAGAATGGGGTAGCTGTGACTAGAGCTTACCAAGCGGTCAACTTTCAGCTAGAAAATCAGGTTAACTCCTGGTTTCCTCTTGCCCAGGAAAGCAACCCCTTTCAAAAGCAGCCAGCCCAGCCCTGATCCACTCCCTTGCAGCGGTAGCCATTCTTCTACGCGGAACCGTGAGGGAGCCAAAACTCTGCAAAGCCTGGCAGAAAATGAGCGATCACTCTTGCCCAGGATTGCAGGGGGCAGCTTTCTGGATACCAAGGTACAAAGGATACATTTGTTTGCTTTTCTGGCTCAGCTGCAATTCTTGAGAAGGCTTATAGCAAAACAACTAGCTAATCTCATTGCCGAATGAAAGGGTGGAAGATGTAGGGGAGATCTCATGGGACAGGGCATTGCAAGGTTTGGAGGCTCAAGCCTTTGACCTTGACCATGAAGGAGGAGACCATTCTGGTGGATCTTAAAAGGGAGTGAGAAGGTTGCATCAAGAGGGGTCCTGGATCTAAATTCCCCAGGGCTATGAAGGAAAGGAAAGAAATAAAAACTGGGCCCTGAGCAGGAGTTTGCACCAGTCATTGTGACTTTCTAGCCTAGCTCTGTATGCAGCACGTTTTATTCGTGTATGGTTGCAAATAGTAATACCCTTCCATATGGGACATCCTGTCCAATCTTCCCAGTTTTCTAAGATCTTGGGGAGGGGTCCTCATGCGGGACAGGCTGCCAGGTTGACAGGCTGCTAAAGCTAATATGTGACCTCTTTTGCCTTTGGCTCTGTCCTAACTTGTGCTGTGTTTTCCAAGTTTGGTGGTTTACCTGCATTTTTAAATAATGGCAGCAACAAGTGGGATAGATATCCCAAAAAGGCAATTAGGTGACCCCTTGGCCTCCCAGAAGGACTGTGGCTCGTCTGGGGGAGAGTTCTTAGGGTCTTTTTGTCTTCTGGCAGAAATGCAGGTCCATTCACAAAGGGGGTTGGCAAATGGGCTTTGTCCACTGCATGCTTACCCAGGAGTAAGTCCCACGACATTCAACAGGGATTGTGCCAGTGGGTGTCCAGCAATGTGTCTTCTGACCACGGTTGACCCTTGGGGAATGGACCTGGGAGCCAGTCTGTGGGCAGGCCGGCCTTGGGCCCTTTTCCTTTTCCCCAGGGTAATGGAAGACTCTCCTCCCCTTCAGGGTGGAACTGACCTTATTATAAACCGCTTTGGTCCAGTCACGAAGAAGAGCACCCAGAGGAAACAGCTCTTCCTCCATGGCTCTCGGAAGGAGAAAGCAGAGGAGGTGAGACTACAGCCCCACTGACCAGAACAGAAGAAGGCCCACCTCCTCGGGAGATTGTGGCCTCTGTTGTGGTGCTGGGCCCCCTACTCTTTGCTGACTCCTCCCCTGCTGCAACATGCTAAATGCTTGGAAAAGGGGGGCTTCTCCTGCATGTCCTTCTCTCCAGCGGTGGCAGCCAAACAAAAACACTGTCCTTGCAGAGGGGACCATGTTTCAGATCTCACCTCCCTGTGAATTTAGCTAATACCCTGGGCACTCCCCCCTCCCTCAGCCTGGCAATATCCTGATAAGACATCCACTGTGAGATTGCAGTTAGGCTGCACCTGTGCATGAAGCTTGTGCTCTTGGATTGCTTACCAAGCGATGGGGCTGCCCTCGGAGGCATCCTGCGTGCCCAACAGGCTTTTCCAGAGCAAAGGGACCTTTAAGGCACCTCGGCTTGTGCCGGGAGGGGCCGGAGGGTCCTTCACCAGCTGGCATCCTGGGGCTTTCAGGACCCACAGCAAATGCTGCCAGTGCATCCTTGTTTGATTTCTCCTGCTCCTTTGGAGAAATCATTTTCCATTCAGATCCTCAGTCCCAGATGCTGGTAATGTGCAAGGACCAGTCACTGTGCTCAGCAAGATCAGTTGCTGCATCATCATCATCATTATTATTATTGTTAGATAGGGTTTCCTGCCTGAGCAGGGGGTTGGACTAGATGATCTCCAAGATCCCTTCCAACTTTATTACTATTATTATTATTATTATTCCCAAGAAGGCTACTTGCTAAGTGAGGAAGGTTCCATTCAGAAAGCTCAATTGCAGGGTGAGTGGCCCACCTTCAGTGGGAGCTGCATCAAACGTCCAGCTTTTGTTCTTCCTACAGGCCCCGAGGCAGCTGGCTGCAGCAGCCTTCCTGTACCAGTCAGGGGCAGCCATGCTCATTGGTCAAGAGCAGCAGCCAAGTGCCCAAGTGATCTGCAGCCTGGGAACCGACACAGAGCATTCAGCCAACAGCCAAGGCAGCCACGAGACTGGGGATTCGGGAAGGTTCTCCCACGAGTCCAATGAGGAGCTGCATCCCCCTCCTGCCTTTGGGGCTGCAGATTCCTTCCCAGGCAGCGACTCACACCTGACAGCCAGATGTCCTGTTCCTAGGCCTCTGCAGGTGCCGCTGGCTGGCAGTGGCAATGAGTCATCTTGCGGGGAACAATGAACTGGGAGGCCAAGCTTTCCGTGGGATGCCCAAGGACTAGCAGGCAACCCGTGTTTCTTTGTATTTTCCTTCCCTAGTGAATGTCCAGTGTGCAAAAATGTGAAAGGAGAGCAGGGCGGCTCTCCTCTCTGTCACTGGAGCAAAGGTGACCCCTTTGCTTGGATATCTACCTCAGCTTGCCAGAGCAGATGCCAAAGGAAGCAACCACACTACCTCACTGTCTGGAAGCATTGCTCGTGGCTGCATGACTGGTGATGGTTTCCTGGCAGCCCCAAGTCCTTTCCCTGAATGTATGGATAGCGAGCGTGTGTCCCTGTGAGCCAAGGAGTTGTGCTGGGAAGCATAGGGGGTTGCCCCACTGGCCTCTGGAGGAGCAATCTCCAAAAGAGGGCCACTTCAGGGGCCAGCGGGGCAGAGGCTGCAGGCAGCCCTGGGGCCCTCCAGGGGCCACCCCAGTCTCAGGGTCCCACCTGCCTTGTCAGTGCCTTCTGGGGTCCACAGTGGGGAGACAGGGAGGCTTTCCACCTGTGCTGTGTTCCCTTGGCCAGATGATTCCCCCAAGTGTCCTGGTGATAATGGTGCCTTCCATTAGATCAGTGGTTCTCAACCTTTCTAATGCCGCGACCCCATAATACAGTTCCCCATGTTGTGGTGACCCCCAACCACTTATATATCACCAGGTGCCAGGGGCGTGGCCAAAGAAAAGGGGAAAAAATGGCAGACAGCCTTGTTTGGCGACCCCCGTGAAATGGTCATTCGACCCCAAATGGGGTCTCGACCCACAGGTTGAGAACCACTGCATTAGATAGTTTTGAACTCACTGCTTGCCTTATGAAGTTTCTCTGGAGGCCAGAACGAGGCCTTACATGTGCTCTGCAGGTCAGCTTGGGGTCCCCCATTTGTTTTCCTGGCTGGTCCTGAGCATCAGAACCCATAAGCCTGGGACAAGAGCCCCTCTCCCCTTTTTGTTCCCACACAGCTCCTGTTTTATACTACCTCCTTTTAAAGTTATTATAGTGTTATTGTTTTCCTGTGCTCAGGGTGCAGTTTATTTCTTTTAAACTGTCTTGTGTGTTGTAAGGCAAACTGACAGGGTATCTCATGTTTTGTTTTGTTCTGAAGTTAATGAGCGAGCGAGTGAATGAGATGATTAGCAAAAGATAGAGGTATTCACCAAAATTGTAAGCTGACTGGTACAGTTCCCTTCTGTTTCCATTCAGAAAAGGGTTGGCCAAACATCTCAGATGGGACTCCCAGATGGGTCTCTTGCAGGTGACAGGAAATGTCCATTTAGGACACGAGGCTGGTTGTGGATCTGAATGGTGGTGGGTTTAGTGAGAGGACCGACGGCCTCCTTCCCAGCTCTCCCTGCCGCACTGTGGGGCTAACGAGCTGGCCTGTGGCCTTGTAAGAGCCCAGAGGCTGCCGTGTCGGCTGAGAGCTCAGGCCAGGCCAACATTGTCTTTACCACCACTTTTTGGATGCAAAGGCTTTAAAGAAAATAATGATCTTGTACCAAAGAATGCTCTGTGGAAAGAAAGCTGCATATTTACCCCAAAAGATAGTTGAAATAGTTAAAACTGCAGCATCAAATAATTTTAATGCCTAAGTAGATATGAACCCAAAGGAGCCGAGAACCAAATGGAGATTAGGAGTGGACTACGTGGTTTTACAATGTGACCTTTAGTATTGTTGCTGCCAGAACTCTTTTATAAAAGTTGAAGTAAGACCCTCTTCAGCTCCAAAGACTTCAAGTGTAATTTTGTTTTCCTTCAGCAGTTCTATTAACAGAAAGAATATTTCTGAATGTTCATTTATACTGATTGAAGAAAAGGAAACTCATTTGCCAAAGATGGATTGAGAGGCCTTGTTTGGTCAAAGCTGAGCCTGCCACACCACCAAAGGATGTCTACTCGGGTGGGCAGCTTGCTGAGTTTTGTAGCAATACATTCCAAGGGCCGCTGTGCTGAGGGGGGGGGGCTTCTGCAAATACTTATTTGACATTTGATATTGACATTTTTGGACCTCTTCTGGGGATAGTGAGGCAGTGCCGGGGCATTCTAGTTTTGGCAGTTGGCAGCTGAAGGAATGCCCCTCCCTTGAGCCCTTTGGAAGAGCCCTCGGGATGGAGGAGCCTGCCCTCACTCAGAGGTGGGGGCGGAACAGAGGAATCCTGGTCCAGGAAGGTGCCCTGATGGCCTCCTTGGGTGTTTCTGCTTCTCCTATAGAGGGTCCTTTTCTCCCAAGTTGCCAGAATGCCAGCTCAAGAGAGGGAGAGGGATTTGCAAGTTGGAAATAGTTTGTGTCCAAGGTTGCAGCAAATGAAGAAAACCAAAGATATTTAAGGCTATCTTGGTGTAGAGGCCTGTGCTAGGTAGGTAGGTGAGCTTTCTGTACTTTTGTTTTTTTTGCTTTGAATTGGCATTATCTTTTCAGGTGACCCCCCCATCTTTATCCAGAGAGAGGGGATGAATGATCTTTCCTTCATCTTCGGGCAAACCTGGGTTAGCGTGGGGTAGGGGTTGAGGGTGACTCTCGCCAGAAGGAACCTTTGGATGCTTCCTAGCAAAATGGCTGCTTTTCTTCCATCTTCTTTTGAATCCCCATCAGTTCCTCTGGGACATCCAAGAAAGCATTTAGAAACATGATTTGAATTCCAGCAAAAAACCTCCCCAGTGCATAGGATGAGCTTGTGCCATCAGCAACCTGGACAGGTAGAATAGTTGGTTCACGTGGAAACACCTGTAACTAGGTCCTCCATCCTGAAGGAGCAAAAAAACGCTCCTTGAGTTCTGCTTCTCCTGTAGAGGGTCCTTTTCTCCCGAGTTGCCAGAGTGCCACTTTTCCAAATATCAGTGCAGGGCATATTGTCCATGCAGTGCCAAGCAAAGAGTCAGGTCAGGTGCACAAGGTGTCTGTATATGCAGTTTGCAGGCAGTTGAATGTGACTCTTCCCCCTTCCCCAGGCAGCTGGGCGACCTCCTGACCTGTATTCAGGGACACAGCTGAGTTGTGTGGATTCAGCCACAATGACCTGCAAGCATTGTCATTTGCGAACCTCGCCAGTCATGGCAGGTTCAGCAAACCTTGTTTCCATTCGTTTGGGAGACCCTTATATCCCAGGTTTCAGGTTTAAGATGCCTGTCTTAATTTTGTTCTGAACACTGTCCTGAAAGTATTCATCTGTTTAAAAAGAGGTTTATGTTTTTCCATCTCATCCTCGGGGTGCTTCAGAACCCTAGCTGGCGTCGTCACCGCAAGATTTGCTTTGTGTAACATTTCTTTGGGCACATCTGTTTTGCTGCTGTTTTTACCCTTCTTGTTCTGAAGCACCACCCCACCCCAAAAGCAGGGCAGTGAAGCCTCAGGAAAAGGGGCTTGCACACCTTGGCTGCCTTGCCTTGATCTCAAAAATGGATGGCAACACCACCCAACTCTCACTTGCACCTTGGGGTAATTCACCGAATTCACTTTCCATCAGTTTGGAAGAGCAACTAAAACCAGAGCAGGAGGGAAATGTTGTCTCTGAAGTATCTGAAATCAATCACATCCAGGTTCAGTTGCGCATTGGAGCAAGTGTGAACCTCATTACTGGGGTGTACTTTGCTGACTCCTGACTTCTTTTGGGCAACTTGGCACATGGAACTTCCACCCTCCCCAGGTGGGAATTACCCCCTCCCCCCAGGGGAAAGCCATCTCAATCAACCCACCACCTGCTGCATCAAGCCTGGCACTTTGGTAAATGGCTGTTTAAAACACTTCCCTATATTCTTGAGGATGTGAATGAATTGCCAGTGTGGGAGTCCAGCGAGGCTTTTTGGCCGAGGGTGTTCTGGCTCCTGCCACTCTTGCTGTTTTCTTGAAGGGCCGTCAACTGCTGGCTGGCCAATGGGGGAAACGAGCTGAATTGTATTAATTTTATATTTGACTCAGGGGATCAGCTCTGTGAACTCTGTTGTGTGAGGACAGTTGGTGATGGTCTGATAATGAATGTACTTTTTAATATGTCTTTTTAAAACATTTTGCTTATGTGCTTTTTTTTTTTAAACCTTTTGATAGCATAGTGAATATTTAACTGTGTCCTTCCTCTTTCCCCTCACTTGTTCCCAGGCTTGTCCTGATGCTAGCACAAACGTCATGCCAAAAATGAGTAGAAATTTAAATGCCAAAATGTTTATGAAACTGCTGTCTTATACAGATAGATTGCACAGTTGAAATAAAAGTTTCCTGTAGTAATTGGCGGCCTGTTTCCCTTTGAGGGCTCCATTCTTCTTTTCCCAACTCTTCCGCGGCGCACATAGCGGCGGGACCCCGGGGACGGGAGGGCGCGGGAAACGAGCAATAAGGACAGAACCTACGCATCGCGGGAGGGGGGGGCACGCGCCGGGACGCCACCAACCCCCAATTCCGGCCCACTGCCGATAAGTGCCTCACTCGTAAGCAGCCTTCCGAAGCAGTGGGCGGGCAGGGGCTCTCTCGGAGTCCGCAGGCAACGGAGCGCGGGTGGGAAGCTCGAGAGATGCGGCGCTGTCCTACCGGGACCACCCCCGAGGCTCCAAGCGGCCCGGCCGGCTGAGCAGCAGCTCCTGGCAGGGGCGGCGCGAGAGGAGGGGTCCGCCCCGCCGGCGGAGGGGCCGGGCTGCGCATCGCGGTCGCCGGGTCGGTGGCTGCCTGGGTGCTGCGCCTGCCCGGCGGGGCGGGCCACCATGCTGCGCCGGCAATGTCCGCGGAACACGAGAAGGAGCCCGGCGCGGCGCTCAAGAGGCCTCGAGGTGGGTGCGGCGGCCGGGCCGGGGAGCGGGGTCGGGGGGAACGGGTGCTCCAGGAGTGGCGATACGGAGCTTGCGCTCGGCTCTTGCAGGGGTGGACGGCGGCGTGGAGGGCTTGGCGGGCGCTGGGCTGCAGCTGGGCAGCCCCGACAAGAAGCGCAAGGGCGGCGCGCAGGTAAGCCGGGGCGGCGGCCCGCTTTCCCGCCAGGCCGGGCCGGCGTTGGGGGGGCGGAAGGCGGGTGCTGGGAGACGGTGCGGGGGCCGCCCTCCCGCGGGGCTCAGGGGTCTACTCTCGCCCCCCGCAGGGCACCCCCTTCCCTGCGCCTGCCTCCGAGTACGCCCCGCCGCCCAACCCGAGCGCCGAGCACTTGATCGCTGTCAACCCCTTCGACGACAGCTACGCCGCCGCCGTCGCCTACAAGCCCGCGAGTGGCCCCTACTTCGCCGGCCCCGCGTATTCCGGCTTCGGGGGCTACAACGCCTTTAGGATGCCGCCTCATGTACTGCCCAGACTGGCGTCCCCGTACGGGGCGCCCGCCTTCCCCCTCCGCCACCGGCCGTCCCCCTTCGGCCAGAGCCCGGCAGGAGCCGCCTTCAGCAGGGCTCCAGCCGTGACCTTCGGGTCGCCAGAGAACGTGGCGGGCTTCGGCTACCAGCCCTCCTACAGCGCCAGCCAAGCCCTGACTGGGCCCGGCCTGCCCTTCCGGCCCAACCCCGGTGAAAACTTTGGTCACATACCCTCGCAGAATGCAGGCCCCATGCCTCCATCTGCCAGGCATTTGGGGCCGGGCCCCAACCCTGCCTTTGGCAGCTCCCTGACGGAGCCCAACCACTCTTATGCTCTGGGGCTGAACAGCTACAATCAGGAAAAAGCTTTCCCAAAACTGGGGGTCAGCAAGCATCAGCCTCCGCCCCAGCAGCACCACCCCACCTCGCAGGGAGCAGAGGGTCTGCTGAGCTCAGGAAGCACAGATGTAAAGGCCAGCCGGCACCAGCACCTCCCAGTGGGCACCCCAGAGGGGGTCCTGCCGAAGCACATGGAAAATCTGAACAGTGCCCATGTGAATGGGACCCCTGCTAAACCCCGCCTGCCCCATGGAGGTCCTGAGGGAAGCAGCTCAGAGAAGGGTGGTGGGGGCGATGGCGGCAGTAAAATCCTGCTGCACCCCCCCCAGCACGACCACCTGCTCTCTGAGCCAGTTTACCCATGTGGGATTTGTACCCACGAGGTGAATGATGATCAGGACGCCATCCTCTGTGAAGTCTCCTGTCAGAAATGGTTTCATCGGATCTGTACAGGCATGACGGAATCAGCATATGGCCTGCTGACCGCAGAGGCTTCGGCAGTCTGGGGCTGCGATACTTGCATGACAGACAAGGACATTCAACTGATACGCACCAGGGAGGTGGTGGGACCACCAGCCCTGAACACTGACGTCTGAACAACCCCCCCCCCCCCCGTGGTTTGTGAAACTCCATCTTTCCACACATTTTGTTATATGCCCAAGTGCATTAAGTTTTCATCAGAAGAACTTGAGGTGCTTTCTTCCTGACAGTGAGGTTTAGGCCTACAAAAGGGCTGCTTTTGTAAAACTCTTCAGTCTGCAGATGGAATGTAGTGGAGGAACCATAATGTCACACAATATATTTTCAGTACCTGCCACTATCTTAACTCTGTTTCTGCGGTTTCTCCAGTTGAAAAAAAAAAAAGCAGTTCTAGGGAACAACTGGGAAATGATTTGTATGTGAGCTGGAATTTATCTAATGAGGGTAACCCAGCTAGTATTTTTGAATTCTACTGCTATTTTTATAGTGCTTATATTTTATAGTGCTTATTTCTGATCACATTAGCATTATGTGCAGTCTCTCTCTCTCTCTCTCTCTCTCTCTCTCTCACACACACACACACACACACACACACACACACCCTGGCAGGTAATAATTGAGTGTGAGTTACCATGGCTACCAGCCATGGTAACCAGGTAACCAGGGGGTACCAGCATGATTGCGGAGTTTTATCCTGGAGATTAAGATTAGGAGAGGCAACCCCACAGAAGCTTCTTGAGAGGAATAGCAGCAACCAAATGGCCACCATCTGTGGGAGACTGGCTGCATCAGCCCAGTGGCCATTTTTTGGAAACCATCTTGAGCATTTGGAGGGGACTTGGATTCTCAGCTGCTTGCCTAAGGAAAAGTTGGTGGAAAACTGACACACCATGTCAATTCCTTTGTGCATAAGTTGGATGGGAACATTCATACTGTTTCCCTCCTTGAGGGAATCTGGTTGGCCATCCCAGGCAGTGGGGAAGTTTCCCAGGTAGCAAGCTGTGCAGATGAATCCAATTCTAATATCTCCATTTAGCAAATGGCAAGATGCCCATGACTGAAGATCAATCCAACAATAAACATGAATGAACAAATGAACACTACACTAAATATTTGTTTTCCTTTAGTTTGTCTTGGAGATAAATCAGAATGGATCTGTATCTCTGGGCTGGAAACAATTGGAGCAAAAATAATTTGGGCTACTTAAGCCAGAAGTAAGTGATGGAAGTCAACTTAGAAATCTAGTAGGTATCTCAAGAGATTTTCTTTTGTAATTGATTGTAGCTTCCATGCTCCTGGAATTTGGAGGACAAACACTCCCTCTTGTGACTAGTTCTCCCCCATTCCTGGTTCAGGTGTCTGTGTAGCTTTAAAACACCTGGCCATCTATTACCTGGTCCAAAGTAGAGTCTCAGAGCAGGCAGGAGTTTTGCTGCTGCTGCTGATTCTACAGATCTGGCCCTGTGCTGCCCCCAACACAGAAGCCACCCAAGTTGAGAGGAAAGTACACAACTTGTGAACCCCTTTCCCTTTTTCCCATCTGTCTGTGCCCTAATTATGTGTGGAATAACACTTCACACGTTTACAAATTATGGGGATGTTTAAATACCCTTAATGTGGGACTTTAGTCCTGAGTTATTTTTAAAAAATAAAATCAGTGACTTTTCATTTTATTTTTAATAGGAATTTTGCTATCCTTCATGCTTAAATGTGTACCTTGTTATATATAATAGAGCCTTGCTTGCTAGTAATGTGTAACATACATACTTGGCAATGTGTCTTTTCGGTTGAATGTGATTTAATTACTGTTTCATATTAAAACTTGTCTTATGTATGCTTACCTATACCTGTTTTGGGGATATCAGTTGAGTAATTTTTATACAATCTCAAATGCGTTCCACATTGGTGACATTTATTTTTGCAGCAACTTTTAAAATAAAGAACATGTCTGAAATAACACATGCAATAGGACTGTGACGCGTGGCAAAGTTGATGTATGTAATTCAAATTGGAATCGAGTTCCCAGACTTTGTCCGTTATTGTTCCCTTAGTACGAAATGAAATTACTATGTAATACAAATAATTTCATATCATGGTGCCTGTGTGAACTACTCTATAAAGTATAGGAATGACGTTTCTGTTTCTATGTTGATGGATGGCGAGCTGAGCGGACCTCACGCCAATGATTAAACCGGTTTTTGATGTATTTTGTCGTTCGTGGAATTTGTGTCCGCTCTGATTGCCCTCTTCTGGGAAACGGGTGCCGCAACACCGTCCGTTTCCCTTCAGCGACGGCGAACGAGCACGGGCCCGGGGCGCTTGGCCCGCGGACGGACCACTGACCTCGGCGCGCCCGAGCAGGCACACGCGGCTAGAGCGATTTCCGGCGGAAGTCGGGGAGGGACGGCGTTCCCGGCAGCCCTCGCGCCCAGCGTCCTGGCAACGGCCGCCATGCCCGTCTGGGTGCGTGACTTCAGCTGGGAGCAGACGGCTGAAACCGTGCGCCTGACCGTGCCGCTGAGGGCCGCCCGCCGCCACGGCGTCTTCTGCACCGAGCGGTACCTCAAGGTGGGCGCGGGGGGCGGCCCGGGGGGCACTGCCCGGCGGCAGACGCCATATAACCCGCTGCTGCCCGCCTCCCGCAGGTGAACGCGCCGCCGCTGCTTTTCGAAGCCGCGCTCTTCGCCCCCATCGACGCCGAGCGCAGCCGCGCCGAGATCCGGGATGGCTGCGTCATCTTCACCTTGCTCAAGAAGGAAGCGGCCCCGTGGCCGTCCCTGCGGGCGGAGGACGGTGAGGGCCGGCCTGGGCCGGGAGGCCTCCGCTGCGGGTGGGGGTCCCGCCTAAACCGTGCCCTGCAGTCCGTGAGGCCGCTTTCTCTCTCCTGCCCCGGACCTTTCCAGCCGGCGTGGCTTTTTCAGGGAACGAAGCAAAGATGCGGGAAATTCGTGAGGAAGCCGTCCGCCAAGCTCAGGAGGAGGCCCGAGCGAAAGCAGCGGCGAAATCTGCAGAGAAACGGGAACGCGGCAAACTTGCTCTGGATGCCACCATCAAGGTAAACGGCCCTCCTTCAAAGAGATAAAGCACCGCTAATGAGTGTTGTCAAAGTCCGCCTGGTTTGCCTTCCAGCCTTAGGATTCTGAGCAACCCAAGCCTCTTTGATGGTCTGTCTCTTTCCTCCTTCCTTTTCTCCCCTCTCCCCCCAATTATACCACATGTCTGAGCCATCTCTTCAGAAGTACCATTCCTCAAATAAGGGTACCTTAATTACAGGTGGAGATAATCTTCGTCCAGCGCTTTACCACACTGTTATGTCTAAGCTTTGCATCTTGTTGGCCTTGTATTGTCTTGTCTGAACCCCCATTGATTCTTTTTCTTTCTCAAACCATGGCAGCTTCATTCCCTGGCACATCTTTTGGTCTTTTTCTTATTGCAACTCTTCTTAAGTTTGGGCCAACTGGCCTTCTATTCTTTGTGCAAGAATTGAAGTCTAATTCCCCCTGTCCTATTACACTTGTCTCTCCGCTTCTGTTCATAGGTCTCAGCCTCAAAGTTTCTCTCCACTAAACTTGGGTCCTCCCTTCTTTTCTTCCTTCTCACTCACCTCTTTTCTATTGGAGTGGAGCTCTTGCTTTTCCTATCACCCATTGGATGGGTTATCAATTCTGGTGAACATCCAGTCTCCACCTACTTCACTCTTACGTGCTAGCAATGTCTACATATATGTATATGCAACTCAGAGTCATTTGTGATTGGAGCGACCCATAGGCCTATTAAAATTAATAAATAAAAGGCTAATATGACAGGCTTGTGGAAATTAGGAGGTATTATACTATCTGTAGGTGAATGAAGAATTATAATTAAAAATAGTTTAGCTGTTCATCACCATTTGCTATGAGAAATCACTTCAGATACATTTCTGAAAATCTATATTACGTTCTGATGATACTGTGGAGAAGAGATGCAGGTGCCTTTGAGTTTTATGGGACAGGCTACTCCTCTAGTTCTAAATTCTGCGTTATATTTAACTTCCCTGTGGCCTTCTGAAAACAGTGTCTCTAAAAGTAGGAATCTTAATTACCTGCCTGATAAGAAATCAATAATGAGGAAACTTGCCTCTTAACAATAAATAATTCCAGAATGAATGTCCTATAATTCAAACAGCTAGAAGAAGCAGAAAGAAAAAGAATAGAAGAGCTAAAAGAACAAGAACGGAAAAAAGCCACTGAAGAGATTGAGGTGTGGAAAAGGCAGAATAAGATGCAAAAGAAAGTATGTACTAAGTTCCAGTTGCCAGATAAAAATACAGAAGTCCCCAGAGAAATAAAAGAATGCCAGAACTTGGAATCTTTTGCTGGAAAGGGAGTGTCCACATCAGGAGCATTAACTAAAGGTATTAATGTTCTCATTATGTTACCATATGGACATTGCACTTTCTTTCATGCTTTGCTATGGCTGTTTGTATTTATTTAAAATATTTTAAAAAATATTAAAAGCCTCCCATGTTGAATTTCAGTGTACAGATTCACAACGTATAATGTGAACTAAACATAACCCTTTCAAAAAACCACAAATACTATTCAAAAGCATTTTTCAAACAACGCTGAACAATTACCGTAGTGCCTTATTTTGTCAGCCTGAGGAAAGGGTTAAAGACAAAGGCACTTGCAGGCATTCAGCCTCTGAACCCTGCTTCATGGTCTGCAGTGATATGACTTTGGGGAAAACAGACAGGGTGTGATGGTTACATATACAAAAGCATGTTTTAAACCCCAGCAATAGTAAAAGTGTGGCAAAGAATCTCAGTCTGTCTTCTCCCTAACTCACTATAGTGTTAAGAGGGAGAATGGGGAGAACCCGGCTGGCTGGGAGACGTTCAAGATTCTGTTTCTGAAGCTTATATCAATGAAATATAATCCCATTCAGATTTCTGGGATCTGCCTCAAAATACAAGTGTACACCATCAGCTCTGTATTCTTTTTTGTGTTTTTCCTCTATCTACCTTTCTATATCTGCAGACATCTGCCTTATAAATATCAGAAACAAGAGACATATCTCTGGATAGGCTCCTTTTTCTTCCTTATTGCTACTGTTAACTATGAACAGGAATATAGCATTAAACAGCTTTTGTGTTTGACTGTTACAGGTAGAAACTATGGAAATATGTTTTCAGAAAAGATAAAGGAAGATTCAGTTCCTTCTCCACGCCCTCTCGGTAGCATTATGATACATTTTACACCTCGTATTTTTCCAACAGCCCTTAGAGAATCACGGATCCCGGAGGAGGAAGAGGTAGGGGGCTTGGCTATTTTGTGCCATGGAGAGCTGGCATTCAGAGGAGTTGCAGCAAGTTATTGGAGAAGAGACGATGCTTGCTTCCTCTACTATTTTTCAGCATCAAGATTGAAAAAATAAATATTCAATGTCCTTGCACAGCAATTTGTCTTGGGCCATGCCTCATAAAACAGTGAGGAACTATAATGGCTTGGGAAGAATACGATTTTCCCAGTCAATATTCTCCTTCCTTTTTCCTGCAGATCTGGAATAAATGCTCCCCAATGTTTCATGATGCATGGCTTGAAGCCGTAGGCCCAGGGAAAGGGGATGGTCTTATTAAATACTCTGGAAAAGAAGAAATAGGACCAGGAATGGATCTTCAGTCCCACTGCATTACCTGTAGAGATCCACAGAGCCTTGGAGACTCCATATAGGAACAGTTCCAGACAAACATACAGAATGCTGGCAGGAATAGCCAACACCCTGTAGAAGGATCTTGACAGACTTGAACATTGGGCACTATCTAACAAAATGAAATTCAATGGTGAAAAAAGTAAGGTTCTACATTTAGGCAAGAAAAATCAGATGCACAGGTATAGTATAGGCGGTACCTTGCTCAATAGTAGTAACTGAGAGGGATCTCGGAGTCCTGGTGGACAACCACTTAAATATGAGCCAGCAGTGTGCTGCAGCTGCCAAAAAAGCCAACACAGTGCTGGGCTGCATTAATGGAGGGATAGAATCAAGATCACCTGAAATGTTAATACCACCTTATAATGCCTTGGTAAGGCCACACTTGGAATACTGCATCCAGTTTTGGTCACCACGATGTAAAAAAGATGTTGAGACTCTAAAAAGAGTACAGAGAAGAGCAACAAAGATGATTAGGGGACTGGAGGCTAAAGCTTATAGGGAACGGCTGCTGGAATTGGGTATGTCTAGTTTAATGAAGATAAGGACGAGGGGGGACGTGATAGCAGCGTTCCAATATCTCAGGGGCTGCCTCAAAGAAGAGGGAATCAAGCTATTCTCCAAAGTGCCTGAAGGCAGGACAAGAATCAAGGAGAGAAGCAACCTAGAACTAAGGAGAAACTTCCTGACAGAACAATTAACCAGTGGAACAACCTGCCTCCAGAAGTTGTGAATGTTCCAACACTGGAAGTTTTTAAGAAGAGACTGGACAACCATTTGTCTGAAATGGTATAGGGTTTCCTGCCTGAGCAGGTGGTTGGACTAGAAGACCTCTAAGGTCCCTTCCATCATCATCATTACTATAATTACTAGGCCTACCTAGAAGGACTGGCATCACCTTAATAGCAGTATAGTCTTGGAGACAAAATGTTAGAAAATGGGGATAATACATAACAAGTTGTACTTGAAGGAAAAATCTCAAATGCCAAAATGTGTACAATAAAGTGTAAACTCTGTTTAAGGGAAGTCAGTTATAGAGAGACATTTTATGTCTTCACTGTTCTAATTGTAGATCACAAAAATAAACATTTTAACTGCAAACTGTCATAAATTAGGGGAAATACAACATATACCAACTGTAGAGAAATGTTGTCATTTCTGTTCAGGGATTTGTTTTCTGTTAACAGAAATCACAGAAGAGGCAGCCTCTGCAAGAGCAGGATGTCAGTAGCAATAAGCTTTGCTAGTTGCATGGAAACTTTTGAGCCTCTCTGAGTAGAATCCTAGGCAGGAAGGGCTTATTTTGAAGCCATGCCTCTCTGATGGCTTACCTAGGAGCATCTAGCTGATGTGTGTGTTTGTGTGCGTTTTATTTGCAGTGGCTATGTAAACAAGCAGAGGCTCGCAGGATAATAAATGCAGATATTGCTGAGATCGAGGATTTAAAAGAAGAGGAAAAGAACCCAGAGTGGTTGAAAGACAAGGGAAAGTGAGTTTGGAATGGACTTCCTAAAGGTGGTCTCCAAAACCTGCTCTGGCTTAGAGTTGGGGGAGAAGAGGGCCAGTTTGTTGGGTTTCAATATTTGTGTTCATTAGTATGCAGCCGTCTCTCTCCTGCATTCTTCTTCCTTAAACTGAACCAGAATAGCAGCTCCTGAGTGCTTCCTTCTGTAACAGCATTTTTAAGGCAGTCGTAGTGTAACTGGGCTTTTCATTAATTATAATGAAATGTGTGTGTCATATATGCATACCAAGATAAGATGGTTAGGTTATTGTTTGTTTGATTTTAAGACTTCTCTTTCAGTTTCTTATAAACCTTACGGAATCAGCAGTGTGTGTAGTATGCTGTCAATAAGTAAAAAAATACATTTGCTGAGTCACAAAGCCTGTATATATGTTCAGCTCTTACTAAATAAGTGGGCAGTTGACATAATCAGTTTATGGTCCTTTAGTAAAGATGCCAAAGTTTTAAGCCCTGTTGGAAATGCAGGAGCTATTCATTTGTTCACATGGATCTTTTTTTTAGCAAAATGTTTGAAACTGGTAACTATCTGGCTGCCGTCAATGCTTACAACTTGGCAATTCATATTAATAATAAGATACCAATCTTATATTTGAATCGAGCTGCTTGCCACCTGAGGCTGAGAAATCTACATAAAGCAATTGAGGATTCCTCTCAGGTATTTGACCTTTATAGCCCTTTGTAGCATAGGATCACACTATCTGGGGATCCCCTTTCTTTGGTCACATCAGCCCACCCCATCAGAGCTGGCAGGGAAGGCATGGTTCCCACCTGAGATAAAATCCACTTAAATTTAGAGGGTGCCTTTTGTATCAAGGGAGCCACTTACAAAGCTTCCACTCAAGGTTGCTTTTAAAGAGGATATAGTTGTGCTCTTGAACAGATAGAAAAGACCTAAATCAGTGGTGGCGAATCTATGGCACGTGTGCCAGAGGCGGCACTCAGAGCCCTCTCTGTGGGCATGCATGCCGTCACCCCAGCCCCGCCACCCCCGTAGCCCCCCCCACCAGCAGCCCCCCCCCCCAAGGAGAGTCACCCTGGGCACAGCCTGCATGGAGCAGCGCAGCCAAGGATGTGGCAGCTGGGCAGTGGGGACAAGAATCCGCCCTCGCACCCCATCACATGCAGATGATGCTGCAGGGCGCAGACAGAGGGCGTGGCCACAACACTGCTGGGCCTCCTGGGCGATCTGTAGTGGGCCGTGGAGGCAGTGGGTGGCCCTGCAGGCAAGAGAAGCAGGGGCGGGGCAGGGGCAAGGCCGTTTTGGACACTTGGTCTCTAAACAGTTCTCCATCACTGACCTAAATGATACACTTACAATCAAAGACAGGTTAGCTCACACTCCATCTGTATATTTTATTTTGCCAGGCCTTGGATTTGCTCAGCCCTCCTGTTTCCAACAATGCCCAGGCAAGATTGAAAGCTCACCTGAGGCGTGGCACAGCATTCTGTGAATTGGAATTGTATACTGAAGGTACCTTTAGAAAGGCAAAATGCCTTTACTTTTGTGTTCCATTATATTGCTGTCATTTTCTCCTTACAAAAAGGATTATGCAGGTTTAAACGCAGTGCTTCTTGAAACCAATAGAAATGAGCTACTGTACTAAAAATATTTACCTAAAATATTTGCGTTTATGGGAAATCGAGGGGGGGGGGAAATCTTATTTTTTAGGCTCAGAACATCTGTTCCTGTCAAACTTCAAATTCTTTCCTTTTCCAAGTCCAGTCCTGCATGAATCTGTTGCCTGCTAAGCTTCATTAAGAACTTGTTCAACAGCTTTCTTGCATCAGTCTTTTATAATTTCTACTATCCTGTATCCTTTCTTCTCCTATCTCGTTAGGCTCTTCTTGTCAGTTGTATTGTTCTTGTTTAGTCTGGGAGAACAATGTACAAAAGTTCCATATGGCGTATGCCAAAAGATATTAATCACAGTAGCTATTTTTCAAAAACCATCACCACCAATATAGCTTGGCACATTCACATTCTTCATTGTTATTTGTGAAGTGTGATTTGGGATTCTAGCTTATGATTTTGCAATCATTTATAAAATGCTAATTGTGGAGATGGGGTTGGTGTTTTGTATTTAGATTAAATTACTTGCATTTTACTAAACTTCACATATCCTACTGATTTCCTATATTAACAGGCCGGGAAGCCCTGGTACTCGGTGTCTGAGGAGTTGTGTTTTGGACCCTGATCCTCTAGGCTTACCTAGGTGTAAAGCTATTTTGTGGGAGGCTGTTAATGCTATTACATAAATGTACATTATCTGTAGGACATGGTATGTGGCTTCAGAGACAAATTATGGGTGCTAATTATTACTCTAGGCCTTCAAGATTATCTCGCTGCTCTCAAGATTGAGCCTACGAATAAAAATATAGAACAGGATGTGGAGAAGATTCGGCGCATAATTCAAGGCAATGAGTAGAAAAATTCTCCTGGCAAGTTTAGAAGGTTTATTTTGTACTGGATGTCCTCCTCCTCCTCCTCCTCCTCCTCCTCCTCCTCCTCGGCTGGAGCCTCGCTCGCAGAGCAGAAGGGCTGGAAGACGCTCCGTAAGGGGGAGGGGGGGATGCTCCTGTGCCCAATAAAGTCGCCGCTGCTTCCTTCGTCTCTCCAGCTTCTCCCTGGCGGGGCGCGCGGGAGGTGGGTGGCGACTACACCGGCGAGCGGTCGGCACCCGTGTTGATCCCGTTGTGCTGCGGCGGCCCGGCGGCGGCCAGGCGGGCGGTGAAAGCGCTCTCTCGCGGGCAGAAGCGGCAAGGCGCCGTGGCCGAGATGGGCCGCAGGGCGCCGTACTCGCTCGCGGTGGTCTTGTAGAGGAGCGGTACCGCCGCGCTCAAGCGCGTGCCCGTCAGCAGCGACCGCGCGTCCGTCAGGCACGTGAAGACCGGGTTGGCACCGGGGGCGCGCAGCGCCCTGTCTCCCCCGGCGGCCATCTAACCCGGCGGCGGCCTTTGCGGCGAGCTCCCACCCGCGTCGCCAGGGCAACGGCCGGGCCCCGCCCTTTGTTGATGCGCGGGTCCGCCCGCCCTCGGCCGCGCTCCCCCCTGGGGCGTGTAGTCCCGCAGCGGCCAGCCTGCCGCAGCGCCGGGCGGAGGAGGACTACGCTTCCCGGCGGACGCCTCGCGGGAGGCGCAGGCGCAGCGGAGTCGCCTTTCCGGTCCCTGGTTGTTGTTCTGGAGAAGCGGGGGAGGCGGCCGGTTGCTGCGCCGCTCCACCAGGTAGGTCGGTCGCATCCCCTGAGTGGCTCGGACCCCGCGTCTTCCTAGCCGGCATGCCCCGCCAAGCGCGGGTGGTGCTCTTTTCGCACAGGGAGGGCTGGCGGGGCGGAGCACCGCTGCTGACCACCGAGGGCCGCCCCGGGCCCGAAGCTGAGCCGGCTTGGGGAGGGGAGGGGAGGGGGCGGCCTCCCTGATCCGACCCTTGCATCCCTCCGGTCCGCGTTCCCTCCCGCAGCGGGGGTCTCGGCCCGGGTTAGGCGGCCGAAGAGGACGAGGCGGAGATCTCGGCCGGAAGGCCGCCCAGTTTCTGTTCCTGGCAGCGAAAGAAGCCCGGGAGCTGAAGAGCGTCTCGTCTCGTTTTCTTTCCAGCTCCTTGAAAATGTCAGAAATTTCCAGCGACAGCGATTCGTCCTGCGGCTGGACGGTCATCAACCATGAGGTACCGGGCAGACTTCGGGGCCGGGGCTGCCTTTCCGTGCTTGGCTTCGGGGGCGTCTCGGAGGAGAGCGCGCCGGGCCCTCTGGCGAGGCGCCCCTCGGGCCAAGCAGGCCAGGAGAGCTCCGTTCGGGGAGCGGACGGTTGCAGCAGAACTTCACAGGGAGAGTCGGTTCCTCCTGCTCGTGTGTGGCTGGCTGGACCTCTTCAAACTTCCCATGGCTTAAAGACAGCCGGATTTTTCCCACCGTGTCTCTCTCCGCCCCACCTGCTTCCATGAGGTCTGTTGAAGCGGAAGATGAGCACCGAGAGGCTGCCAGTCGAACTGGGGGGCCTCGCGCTAAAGAAGGGCCCTTTGCCTTTCGGGCCCTGATCTTTCTGGAAAGGTGCTTGAGCACAGCTGACCTGGAAGCAACCCCATCACAGCAAGAGGCAAATCATGGCCCCACTGTTGGCCTTCTTGAGCGTTCCCATTAAAGTCCACTTAAAATCCCTGGTATCTTTGGCCCACTTCTCTCAGGGGTTTTGGAAGAAGCCCCTCACTGGAGAAGCTCTTCCGTGGGACCTAGGAGCTGCTTGCGTCAGAGCTTCCGAAGGGCAGAACCCCTGGGAGGCCCCTCGAACAGAACAGCACAATCCGCATTGGAGGAGTCTGCCACACAAAGCAAGGTTTGGATTTGGTTTCAGGAACCAAAGCAAGCCAGACCTTACGAGGAGGGGTGGTGGGAAGCTACTTGCATTTCCTACCGGTAGTAAAAGATAAAAGAGAGGAAGAACAGTTCCTCTGAGTCCTGGCACCAGATATGTTCTCTGGTTTTCAGATAGAGCAGGAAAGCCATCTGGAATTCATTTCCAAGATTCCTGGTGGTGAAAAATTCACCTGTAGCCCAGGGTTTCAGGATGCTTGAAGGTGGCATGACTGTGTTGGCTTAAAGCAGTCCACCTCCCCCAATTTCAAAAAGTGAGGATAAGCCCCCCACCCACCCACCCCTGGTATAAGTCAGGCCCAGGCCTTTACTCAGAAAGACAGAATAACCACTGAAAACAGGCAGTGGCTGACGAAGGCCAATGAGAGCTGCAGCGGGCATTCCCTGCACTCTATCCTTATCTGCACGCCACTTCCAGACCCTCGCCCTCCTGTGGCCCGAGAAGGCTCTGCTGCTACATCAAGCAAAGTTTGGGAGGTGGCATGAGAGTGTTTTGTTTCCCAGAGGCCTCCCATCTTCCCACATTTATTTGGGGAGCAAACAGCACAGTTGGTAAGAATGCACCTGCTTGTGGAGGACTGCTAGTTGCCCATCCCTGCTCTTAGGTTCCAATGCGGTTGTAGAATATCAGGGGACTCTTTCTGGAGCTTCCAATTCAATCTCCAGTGAGCGTGTTTGTGTTTTAGGGCAACGTTGAAGCAGCACCACCAGACTCTGATAGCGCAAGTGGCCACGAGGAACTGGCCTCCGAGGAATTTCTGTCTCCAACACAAGCAGAAGACCAGCAGCAGCAGGCTGCCGGTCTGCAAGGTGAGGCTGGACACAGGCTGGGCAGCATTCTCATTTGGGCCAAAGGGCTTCTGGGAATTGCACGAGACGATTGCTGAGCCAACTGAGAGATCTCTGGCTGCATGGATCGAGAAGAGACTTGAGGTTCGGATGGTCAGGGATGAAATGGGAAGCTTTGTTTTGACTTGGGTATTTGAGGATAAGCTTTGTAATGATCTTCCCTGTGTGGAGCATAAACAGGCTGGTGGGATGGCAATGGGAAGCATTAGGAACACTAAAGCAGGCCAGTTTTCCAGTCACTAGTTTGTGACTGGAACTATATCAGCCTTAGAGATAAAGTTTCATTAGTAGTATCATTCCCAAGCTGTTGTGGTTCCCATGGCCAGATTCTTGTGTAATGGGTACAGTGGACATTTATGCCATATAACTGATGCTGTCTGGTTCAGGTTTTGCAGGGGAAAGCTGTGATATACTTAGATTGGCCTGAACAGCGTGAGTGTGTTCAAGAGCAGAGATGTGCATGAAAAAGGGTTCTGGGAGAGTTCTGTGTGCAACCTTGTGTGTCTTCATCCTTTCCTCCTGCAGCTGACTTTGGCCAGGGTGATGGGGCACCAATGAACACTACAAGCCAGCCCCGCATGGAGCCCAGCAAGCTAGTTCCTGGAGTAAGTCATGATTCAATAAAGGGCTCGTACAATGGTAGCTGTCAGCAGAAAGGTGAAATATCGCAGGTGCCTCTTTGGCAGAGCTTGCGCCAACGGAGGAGACCTAGTTGATCTTTCTGTCCCTGCTGTGTTGCCTGTTCTGATGACAGAAGGTTCTGACCTTGCTAGAGGAGTGTCCCTGTGAATGTGCCCTAAATTAAGGCATGTTGGGTACCGATGTTATTCTCTGCTGGGATTTCCCTGCAAGAGGCTGGTCAACATTTCTGGAGGCTTCCCGCCAGGAGAAAGCTGCAGTCCTGGGGCCATAGGAGATAAAGGTAGTCAGGAAGTTGTCACCTATGGAAATGGTGTGCAGGAAAGCTGTGCTGCCCCTTCTTCAGAATAGGTCTTACCCAGTCCTGATACGGGTGTTGTCTCTTCAGCTTGCTGGGCCTCAGAAGCCCCATGTTCAGAGCTTTCTCTCCCAACCGACGACTGTTGTACATCAGTGAGCAAGCTGTAGAAGCCAGGCCATCTGTGTATAGATTCTGAGTTAGCCTCGCAAAAAGTTATAAATTTAATTTTTCAAGTTAGTAATAAAATGCTGCTCATTTAACATTATATCCAAGGATGAGAAAGAAAAAATGCTGGATGAAACTTCCTGCGTGGGAGCAGTAAGTGATGATTCAGATATTGTGACTCTGGAGGTGCCGAAGGTGGAAGAAGTTGGAAGCCAGGAAGAAGCTGCCTCGGGAGAGGAGGAAGGTCAGACCTCAGAAAATTTCTACATGGGTTCCTCTTCTAGCAGCCAGTATACCTTTTGCCAGCCAGAAACAGGTATGTACAGTTCTTTGTCTCTTGAAAGCGGGCAGCATTCTGTGGAAACGTAGAATGTCCTGAAGGCAATACATTTGCCTCAAACATTTCCCCCAAAGTTGAGTATGTCCTTGAATTGTTTTGACTAAGAATGGGAAACTAGTTTTTGCCATAACTCTTTTGAGCATTCAAAATAGCTCATGTTTTTGGATCCTGTTGTTAGGACTCTTTTTTTTTTAAAAAAAAAAAATCTCCCTCCTGTATCATTATATTGTTGAGTGTAGGCTTCGTCTGGCTCTCTGTTTAATCACTTGAACGCCCTGAAAGATATTATGCCATAAATTAGAAACTCCCCTCTCCAATTAAGTAGGGCTAGGTCTTCTTCAGGATTTCTTAGCTGCGTTAATCTGGTTGTGGGCTATCGAGAGGCTTTGTCTGGAAGAGTCAGTCCCAGTCTCCTTGCCGCTTCTGACAAAGAATGCTGCTCTACAGAGGTAGAGGGGAATCTTTGTTATGGGACACTCACCTTTTTCATTTAAAATAAAGGTAATTGGGGATTTTTATTAACCTCTATTGGGAAGCAAGATGGAGCATACAGGAGTATTTCTAAGCTCTTATTTAGAGCTGTTGTGTTGAGTTAATATTTAGCCTCAGATTAAGCTTGATTCTCTTTCTAAGTTTAGAGTTGCTTTCTGGTCTATAACCTCTCAAATAGATGATCTCTTCTAATCACAGTCTATCTGAGAAGTGGGTGTCTTAAGTCAAGCCATCTCTGGCATTAGAATAACTTTTCTTTCTCTTCAACCTCTTCTGGGAGGAGATGCAGACTAACTGCCAGTCAGTTAGGTTAATTGAAAACAGGGTGATGAGAATCATAGTCTGGAATCTCTGGGGTCTTACAAACAAGCAGCTGCTGTTTCTTTCATAGCCAGGCCTAAGTCAAGGCACATGAGCTGTGCCCCTTTGGTGGTGGTTGGAGTCTGAACAGGCAGGGCTCGAAGGAGGCAGGGTCCTTCCCAATGCTGGTGCTCTGGGTTTGGCCCTTTGCTGCATCCTCTTGGTTGGAGGTTAAAAATCTTTTCCTTCTGTTTTGTATACAAAAGCCGATTGGTTGGAGCAGCTTTGGATGGTGGTCCTGTGGTGGTTGAGTGGATGGGGTAAGGAGCCGACATCCGGCCTGGCATTTTGACCGGAGCTGGGGCGTGCTTTCATGCTTTTGAAGCAGAGGTTGCATTTCCCCACCACTCCCTTATAGGGAAGAATTCGTGGGGGTGGGGGGGGAGGTGGTAGAAAAAAAGGCCCCTCCAGAAGAGAGAAGCCAGGGCTCTTTGAGCAGCCTTACCTTAAAGATGAGCATGAAAACAGTCAAGAGTTTGGGGCAAATTAAAAGACTAACATAAACCTCAATTCAGAAATCCCAGATCAGTATAAGAAAATGCATTCCCCCTTCCTGTTGCAAGACTGACAGAGACACTTGTACCATTTCACAGCCTTAAATTTAGTCAATTTCATGCTTTTGGTTTCTGTTTACCGTGTCATTGTGCGTGTGTCTGCGCACATGTATAAGCATGCAATTTTTCAAGTGTGATGTGCTTAACAAAATCCTGTGCATAGTATGAAGACTTACCTAGATAATGAGGTTTCTTGTGCTGGCCTGCTGTCCCTTGAAGATGAGGCCCAGCTTTCTTGGCTGGAGACAGAGACGCCCTTCCCAGCCCCTAACAATAGGGAGCCCTTGGTGGCCTTTTGCCCACAGGCAGAGAACGGAACCAGGAGGCAGATTCATGGGAGGGTTTCCCCACACCTGACCACTCGTGCAAGAGGGAGAAGCTTCTCTAACCAGCTCTCTGACCAGATTAAGTCTTGGCGTAAGTTTTGGTCCTGTTGCTTTGGCTCCAATCAGAACGTTTGGCCTTGCCATGCCCTCAGCTGGCAGTGGTCTCTGGAATTCATGGGACCCAAAGGCCAGTTGATTTCTGAACTATATTTACCCTGCATCTGGCGCAACAGCAGCTTGTTGAAAAAGAGCTGCATTCAAAGGGATCAAAGGCTTGCCCCTTCTGTTGAAGGCCAAGGTTTTATTTATAAAATAGCTCCAATGTGATATGACTGGCCAGTACAGGATCTGCCAAGGATTCAATCCCAGAAAGTCTGCATGGACACAACCCTCAAAGCAAAGCAGGCATAGAGAGTTTCAGATGTCTGCTTGATGGCTGGCCCCAGCAAGTATAGAGATTCCTCTGCGGAATGCTCTGGAGAACAAGGGAAGGCGCCGGTGGGCAGAAGAGTGGCATGGAGCATGGAGGGGAGGGGGGTGGAAGCGCCTGGCCTAGGCAGGCCCCCTTTCTGGCCTGTTGCTTGGGAATCCCAGAGTTGTTTTGTTCACTGCTTGCATTTGCTGCCCAGTTTTTCCACTGCAGCCAAGTGGAGAGGAATCCAGCAGTGATGAAACCAGTCATGGCTGCAGCCCCACTCTGAGGCGCCGGCGGGCAAAGAAGAGGCTTCTCTCCAGCTCAGAGTCCGAGGAAGGCCTGCCACCTCATGACCTAGAAGTCAAGCAGGCCAAGCACCTGCTGAACAGCAGCCTGAACCGATGCATTATCCTTGCCTTGGTGATTGCGGTCAGCATGGGCTTTGGACATTTCTATGGTGAGTGCGGCGGAGTATTTTAAGGGGCAAAACGGGAGCCCTAAGCTTTGGAAATGCTGAGAACTCTTGTCGGCCTCACACAGCCCATCCTAGGCTGAAAAATGCAAGGCTGCTGCTTCCTGGGGGATTTGGGGCCAGTCACTGAGGCCAGAGCCTCGCAGGGGTGGGTTCTGTGGGGCAAAACAGGAGAGTCTAGGACAGAGGTCCCCAGCCCCCGGGCCGCGGCACACCAGAAATTGGGCCGCGCAAACAAGCAAAGCCCCATCAGCGGAATGCATGAAACCATGCCCTCTCCAGTCCGCGGGAAAACCTCTCCACGGAACCTGTCCCTGATGCCCAAAAGGTCGGGGACCTCTGGTCTAGGGCATACGCTGTCCTGCAGGAAAGGTAGGTTATAAAGGAATAAATACAATTCAAAATCAGAACTGCTGGGAAAAAACTGCATTTTTTCCTAAGTGAGCAAAGGCCTGATGAGGATAGTTTTAGGTAACGCTTAGCACGTGGAGATTCCAAGCTCGAGTCCTCCACAGCCGAGTCATGGGCTTGAGCCAGGGACTGCCTCTTGTGGAATAATCCCTTCTGGGAGGAAAATATGGGAGATCCATTGGGCAAAAGTAGGCAATTTCTGCAGTGACCAATCAGGCAATGACTTTTCAGAGGACTCGTGCAAAATCTAACACTTCTAACCTCCTGCTCCGTGCCCAGAAATAAAATAAGGATTATAGCTAGCTGCAGTGGAGGGAATCTACTTCCAGTCCCACGCGAGCTTGTGGGAAATTCCCTTCTGCAGAGGAAGACTTTACACAACAGGAGCCTGTGTTCCTCAGATATAGCATTTTGTGTGTTGCAGGAAAATCCTTGGGTGATATACTTGGGTACTCCAGGCCAAGTCACATAATTACTATAAACAAACCAGCTGAAAAACACAAATATCCTCCAGAATTTTCCCTTAGATGGGAACCCAAATTACGGGCAAAAATTTGGTTTTGTAATGAACTGGCTCAGAATCAACTCAGAATGAAGCAGCAAAGCGGAATCAATCAATTGTTTATTGGTTTCTGGTTGTCCCAAATTCTCAGGGAGAAAACATTACACTTACCATCAGAATAATGCTGATATCCATCTGCTTTTGTCTTTAGGGAAATTTGAAGGTAAGAGACATGAATGAAATGTGCTGCTGTAAACCATCTTTGCCAGATGTGCTTGTTTTTGTTTTTACTCTGCAAGGTAACCTTTAACTGACCTTTTTCCTGGGACAATGTTGCCTGGCCTAAGGTCAGTTTTGCACCTTCTACCTTTCCTCAGTGCTGCCTTTCCTAAGTGTCTTTGCTGTTGCTCCTTTGACATGGGGCCGTCTTTTCTATTTGTTGAGGCATTGATGCCTTAACTACAAGTACCGGCTGAACGTGGCTATGAGTCACTGACATTTCCCATTCCTCTCCAGGTTGATACAGCTCGGTGCAACCACTGTTCCAAAGAGGGCTGGTGTAGGCTTGCCCCCCTCCTCACTCAGTTCACTCTTTTCAAAATAGGTGTTAAGCAGGTGATGGATATTCCCATTGCACCTGTGCACTCATAGTATACAATCTGTGGTTTTAACAGTATCAACCTTTCATTTTATTAAAGCTGAGCATTTCAATCCCAGATAATAGTTCACTTTATAAAATAAAATTAGATAATAAATAATAAACTGCCTAACTTCCCATTTTTCTTGTCAGATAAAAAAGAAAATTTTATGTTTCAAGGTACAGTTCAGATTCAAAAACAGCAGGAATTGGTGGAGAAGACTCATGAAGACAAACTGAATGATATGAAGGGGGATCTTTTGCAATGCCAACAAGAAGGAAGTAAAACACTGTGTGGGGTAAGGAGAATGTTCCCTGCAGATCAAAAATATCTCAGCCCTGAACATTTACCCCCCCCCCCTTACAACGTTTTGCAGCTTTGTCAGTTCAAGTAGGCAAAAACACAATGCATATTTGATGTCCTTCATTGAGCTGCAAAGCCACCAGTCACTAAGTCTGAGGCAAAAAGTGAAGCCAAAAACTTGCCCACATCAAAACACAAAGTGCAGAGTTGAACTTCCTTGCACCTCGTGCCCTTCCTCTGGAGGAATGCTTTCTATTCTAATTCTGCTGCTGCTAAATTGTCCTGTTAGCTAGGAGCACAATCTCTTTTTCCTTCTATGCAACCTGTGTGCTTTTTTCCCCCCAGTCTCTGAAGGAGGGTCTTGCAAAGTGCTGGCTTGAAACGCAGATGGAGAAGAAGTCCTTTGAATCCCAGAAACATCACCTTGCTTCAGAAAATCAGCATTTGAGGGAGTCTTTACAGAGGGAGGAAAAAACCTTGGCATTGCTACAGGAAGAGCTGAGGAAGCTGAGGGAACAAGTAAGACATTTGGAAAGCAAAGGCCCTGGCCCGGATTCGCTGGTTGTGACTGAAAACCAAAAACTCAAAACACATTTGGAAGAGGAAAAACACAAAATGCAGAGCTTTATGAAACAAAAGGAGACTCTACTGGCTGAAGCTCAGATGCTGAGAAGGGAGCTCGATAAAGAGCGTCAAGTGACAGCAGCACTTCGGGAAACGTTGGAAAAACTGAGTGCTGAGCAAGGGCCACTGATGGCAGAGGCTGGTTCGCGTGAGAGCCGAGAGATAGAAACTCTGCGAAGAATGTTGATTGAACTGGAGAAGAAGCTTAGCTTTGAACAGCAGCGGTCAGATTTGTGGGAGAAGCTGTACATTGAAGTTAAAGATCATGCAGAGAAGCAACAGGGCGCAGAAAAAGCCCAGAAACCAGCTGGGAAAGGAGGAAGCCAAAGTAAAGCCAAGCCAAAAGCAACCTTTTTCGGTTCTGTAAAAGAAACATTTGATGCAATGAAGAATTCTACCAAGGAATTTGTACGCCACCATAAAGAGAAAATCAAGCAGGCCAAAGAAGCTGTGAAAGAGAACCTGAGAAAGTTCTCAGATTCTGTCAAGTCTACCTTTAGACATTTTAAGGACACAACAAAAAATATCTTTGATGGAAGAGAGAAGGAAAGGTCTAGCGACAGAAGATATGAGACTAACAGAAAAGGGAGGAGGATGCATCAGAGGGACGGTTCCCGTGAAGGTCCTGCAAAGCCGGCCCAGCACCAGGCTCCAGGAAGCCAAAGGCATTTCGGCCATAGGAGACAGGCTGAGGACACCCAGCCCCCCTCGCCATTATCCATAGACACGACTTCCGGACAGTGTCCCAAGGGCCCTACTGGTAGCCCAAAACACCAGACCATCCTAAAAGGATGTTCTAGCATTTTTGACTGTGCCCACCAAGAATTTATTAGCCTCTTTAACAAAGTCCTGGATCCTATTCGGGCTGATGAATTTAATCAATTAATGCATAAATATTTGCAGCAAGAAGTAAAGAACTTTCATCATTGGCGAGAACTAGAAATTTTCATCAGCAGCTTTTTCCATAACGGTGTCTTTATTCATGATCAGATGCTGTTCTCAGATTTTGTCAATGATGTAAAAAACTATCTTGAAGACATGGAAGAATACCAGAGAGTCAGTGACAGAGCATTCGAAGACTTGGACAAATATATATACCAGTACTACTTTCATTATAACCAGATACCTCTGTGTGGATCCAGGTAAGTGCAAAATCTGGAGGGAGGAGAGGGCTGCACACTGGGGGTGAGAACGGGGATCCTAGCGATGCTAGGAAGGCTTCTCTCCAGCCAAGAGGTGAAAAGGGAATCCCTGCACAAGTTACAAGCAATATTGGCCTGTTGGCCAATTTCTTTGCCCTATCAAACAGTAGTGTCAGAATATTAAAAGATTAGGGACTTCCACAGTATTCCTTTCAAGCTAGTATGCTCCTTTGACAAGGAGTTGAGGCTTCCACTTGCTTTCCCTCTTTCCGCACACCATCCCAATAAGCCCCCCTCTTTCATGTTCTCCCACAGCCCTCAGCAGGAAAGACAAGTTCCAAAGCACCAGCAGCGCTCTAAGAGGGAAGGCCGATGGCAAAAGCAGGGCCGGAGCAATGGGAGGCACACAGCAAACCTGGAGATTGAAGTGGGGCGGCTCCCTTTTGACTCCAAGTACTGAACAGGTGAAGGAGCCCTGCAGGCTGGCAAAAAGCCTCCACGATTGGCCCGTGAGAGCTTTCACCAGGGCACAAAAATCCACTGGCTTCATCTCCATACTTCATCCTGCCTTGGGAAGCCTTAATTAATTTGGCTGCTTTCTACTATTACAATAAATAAGCAGGATAAGCAGTAGCTTTAGACAAGTTGTAGACTAAGCTTTTTTGCACTTGTTGGTACTTGGTTCTACTAAAAGATATGGTACAGATTTCATCTCATGTTCCAAAAGCACATCTTGATAGCCGTTTAATTACTCTGATCATGATGGGATTTGTTGCATGGTCTTTCTGATCATCTTGCTTTTAAATCTGCACATCTGTACATTGTAAAAAAAATAATAAAAAGGTGGTTCCAAACTGTCTATGCATGTAGTCTGAGCAGATCCGAAACCTTAGCAGAAGGGTCACGCAAGGCCGCCTTTGCTAAACAAAAGCACTGGTACCTTCCGCCTCTCCAGAGCCAGACTTCAGACCCATACTTCAGATCAGGGGTCGCTGCTTTGTTGCTTCTCTCGCATCAGCCCCATCCCCCATCCCTTAAATCAGTTTGGTCAATCTTCAAAATAATTTTTTGAACACATAAATGTGGCTTCCAACACGTCCTTGAGGCAGATGGGTATGAAAGAATATGGCACCTTTTACATATCTGTTTGAAATCAGAAATGATGATATTTCCTGTAATTAAAATACAGTTAAAGATTACATAGATTGCATCTACTTTGAAAAATGTTCATTCAATAAGCAACTTGCTTGGGAAGCTGCAACAAGATTAGTAGATTGCCTCCTTTCCCCTAATCTTAGTTATTACCCATTATATGCACCAATGAAAAATGAAGGGCAAAAACTCATTTTGAAAGAAAATGGTACTCTCCCCTCCCCCCATCAATCGGAGCAAAGTCATATCCTGCAAAGCACCTGGAATGTGGTTGATGAAGTAAAAGAGCCAGTTCACTTTAACAGTATAACAGTATAACTGAGTTGGAAGGGACCTTGTAGGCTTTTTACCTCAACCTTCTGCTCCAGCAGGAGACCCTATACCATTATGGACAAATGGCTGTCCACTCCCTTCTTGAAAGCCTCTAGTGATAGAGCACCCACAACTTCTGGAGGCAACTTCTGTTCCACTGATTGTTCTACCAGGAAATTTCTCCTTAGTTCTAGGCTGGATCTCTCTTTTATAAGTTCCTATCCATTACTTCTTGCCCTGCCTTCGGGTGCTTTGGCGAATGAAGCAGCCTCAACTATTGGAAGTTCGCTATCAAGTTACCCACAGTCCTTCTCATTGTTAGATTAGACATACTCAGTTCCTGCAGCCATTCGTCATGTTTTGTTCTCGAGTTTCTTTGTTGCTCTTCTCTACACTTTCTAGTATCAACATCATTTTTGTATTGTGACTAAAACTGGACACAGTACTCCAAGTGTGGTCTTATCAGTGAAGTATAAATCGGTACTAACACTTCATGTCATCTTGCTACTATCTCTCTGTTGATGCAGCCTAGGATTGCATTGGCTTTTTTGGCAACTGCAGCACACAGCTGGTTCATACTTGGTGGTAGTCAGTTACTGCTGTTGAGCCAGTAACCCTAACCTATTCTATATCTGTGCATTTAATTTTTCTTCCCAAAGTGTAAAATCTTACTTTTCTCACCTTTGAATTGCATTTTGTTGGATAGGTCACAGTGTTTAAATCTGTCATGGTCCTTCTGGATCTTGAGCCTATCTTCTAAAGTGTTTTTATTTCCCCCAGCTTGGTATTGGCTGCAAATTTGGTGAATTCCCCCTTTATCGTCATATCTAAATCATTTATGAAGATATTGAGGAATATGAGGCCTAAGATGGAATCTTGGGGCACCCCAACTGCATGCTTCCTTCACTGTAACTGTAGTTCCAGTGTGGTTGGTCAGCCAATTGCGAATCCATTTGGTGGTGATGCTATCTATCCCGTATTTTTCTATCCTACCAAGAAATAGACTGTGGTCTACTTTATCAAATGGCTTCCTGAAGTCCAAGTATACCGTATCCAGAGCATTTCGTTGGTCCACTGATTTAATCACTTTTTCAAAGGAGGCTATAAGGTTTGTCCGGCATGATCAGTTTTTGACAAACCCATGTTGGTTTCTAGTAATAGCTCTGTAGTAATTACAAATAATAATTAGTAATCATTATTACTAAATCATTAAGTAAATAATTAGTAATAACTAATTTAGTTGCATTTATGATTGGGGGGAAGAGGCTTCTGTGTATTATTTTGGTCTCCGCTATAGAAAAACTAGGATATTGAAGATAATTTTGTTTTACTGCAGACAAGCCATTACAGCAGAGTTTCTCTTCTATGAGTCATTCAATACCCCTGCAGCTATATGACAAAAGACTGAGTGCTAAAATGAGCTGGCAATGCTCATACCAACCTGGCTGAGAGTAGGGATGCCAGTAGTCTAGCTTATTCTAAAGGAGACTAACATTATCATGTGCTATTATTAGGACATCCAACACAACTTGTGAAGGGAGACAGGGAGCGGTGGCGCCTCAACCACAATGCATCTCCTTACACAGACTTTACATCCTTAGACATGTCAGAACATACAGGCCACCTTTGGCAGTGAGGCCCTGCTGATCAGGAGACTCAGGCTTCCTTACCTGCTCAAGTACATTGAAGAAGACCAAATGGGAAGGTAGTTGCGTAGCATTAGGAAACTCGTTGTTGAGCCACTGGAGGGGGTGAGAGTAAAATAAGTCAGCTTCATCCAGATAGTTGCTTCTTCCCATCAAATCTGGAGGGCACTGAAGAAATCTTATTTGCAGTGGACAGTGAATATGGCTAGGAACAAAACAAACAAACAAACAAAAAAAACACCCCACAATGGTTGAGAAGGGGAGCTGGCTCCTCTGCCGTGCCTGCTTTTGTTTGTGTTAAAAAAAAAAACATCAAAAGGGTTGGGGACAGAGATGAGACATGCATGTCTATGTCCAAAGGGACTATGTCTGCAAGGCAACAGATTCACCTGCCTTGAAATAAAAATGCAAGGTGGACTGCCTCCTGAACATGGTCCTATCTCTCAGCCTTGGGAAATGCCATTTCGGTGTAGGGAGAGATAGGTTCTCTGGTAGACAAGAACCTTGGCCCTTACCTGTATAAAGGAGTTGAATGACAGGGCATTAGCAGGAGAATGGATGTCTGTTCTCGGGCCAGAGGGTTGCAGAGCTCCCGGAGGTAGACCATCACATCAAGAGTGCCACGCTGATGGACCAAACCAGTGTAGAGGGCAAGAAGCAGGCTGGAGCTCAGCAAGAAAGAAACGGCAGCCCTTCTCCACCTTCTCTTCAGTTGAGCCAGAGAATGCCCTACGGAAATGAGCTAGTCAGGAGGGCCAGAGTGTAGACATCATCCAAAGCACTGCTCAAGAGAATTTGCTAAATGGTGCTGGACCAGGAGAAAGACAGCATTGGTGTGGTCATTTCTTAGATGGCAAATAATTGCCTGAAAGAATAGGGGCCACACACAATGCAAACCCTTGAAGTTGCTGTCACTTCAAGATGTGAATTACTTGAATGAATAAGGCAACCTGTTCAACTACCAAAATATCAAGAAAATATGGTAGAAAACGTCTCAAGTAGGGGAAAGTGGCTTTGGCTTCTGGGCAGATGGCTACCGCTGCCACAATGCATGGGATGGGCACCTGCCATTTTTACAGAACATCTTACCAGGACTGGCATTGTACAACAGCTGACTACTCTTTGGAAAAGGAGAGTGGGACTTCCCAAAAGAGTATGATATCCGTCAAGTCAAAGTGCTTACCACAGAAGAGCATACAGATGGGTAGGATGGAATAGATAAATCGGAATTCTTTGTGACGAAGAACGCTGTAAGAAATGGACAGGGAAGGCCATCATGGACACGCCTCCCCCCCCCCCAACTTTTACCTGAGTAATTAAGTCCAAGACGTCACTTCCTCAGAAAACCTGGAAGGCTCCATCCTGCCTAGAGGCTCCCCTTTGCTTGGCTGATTAAGGGCAAGCTGATTAAGCTACCTTCGGCAGGGCTGGGTAGGGCAGGGCAGTAAAGCCTTAATCCCAAGCGGCAACAAGAGCAAGGGCATGAAACAAGCCTTAATCTCAGAACAGGAACATGGGGTACCTGTAGGCTGTCACAGTCCAAAGCACAACAACCAAGAACACACGATGCTTCCTCGGGGCACTGAAACAACCATGGAGGAAAAAAGGCAGGTGAGGACCAAGGATCGCCGGCAGGCCCTGGGTGAAATACCAGTGCCAGGAATGGGATCCGTAGAAGGTGGCCAGCTCATGCAGAACGTTGAATTTCAGAAAGTTGAGGGGAACTACAACCCACTGCAGGAACGAGAAAAGGAACAGTCAGGTTGCCCCATAAGAGGAATGCCTGCAAATTTTCCCTGCATCCCTTGAGAGAACATTCAGGAGCCACATCAACCCAGGTCTCCCTTTTCCAGAGCGAAAAAAGTAAGGGTCAGGTCTGATTAGAGCTTGCATGGGAGATGGCCAGCTTGGCAGCGCTCTAAGCTTGGCTGGGAAGTTGGACGAAGGCAAATAAGTGCCAACTATCAAGCTCAACATGTTGCACAGTCTCAAGCCTGGACTAGAAGACAATTTGCTTTGTCTGGCAAGGGCTGGCAACACTGATGCAACCACTTTATCCGACACCTACACCACCACCACCTGCACACAGTTACACCATTGGAAAAGAGCTAGGAATCATATGAAGGGGAGGGCCTGCAACCTCCACCCTGCATTTGTCTAATCCTAAAAACGACCTGGGCTCAAGTCTTTCACCAATATCTCCTGTAAGCCCAGCGCCTTCCCCATTTGAAAATGGGTACAGATAAAAGGGGAGAGACACTGGGACAGACACAGGAAAGTAAGACGAGACTGGTGGCCCAGTGCCCATCTTATAGGCTGTAAGAAGAGCAGAGCTCAGAGAAAGGCTGTGAGGGGGTTCAAGATTCAGCAGCAATCCTTGGAGGCATCTGATGACACCAGCTTACCTTGCCAAAAAATATCCTGTCAACTACTAACGAACCTCCCAAAGCAATTAGTCTGTTAAAAAAAGAAAAGCAAGAGTTCCATGGCAAAACAACAGGTTCTCTCCTGCCCAGGATCTTCCCCCTCATGAGGCCCTAGATGGCCCATATATTATTTCCCGCACCCGGCCACAGACAACTTCTTTGCTCTGCTCTTTCCCATCCACCATTCCAAGCACAGCAGTTCCTGGAGTTCAACAATGCTTCCTTTCATTTCTGTGTTGTTGAACACTGTTTAAAAGGCAAGATGTTCACTGTGGTGATTTTAACGAAATACAGTAAAGACCTACTTACCCCACTGGAAGGCAAGCACCCCAGAAGAGGCGCCTCTTGTTGGACTCCTTTTCAAAGTGCCAAAGCAGCAGCGGAGCCCACAGAATGGAAGCTGTTGGGCGAACGATGCACGCCAGCGCAACCAGGGCTAGGTAGTAGCGGCTGGAAAGGTGGCAGATGGGAAACTTCAGAACAGCTACAGGAAAGACACCAAGATGGGCACCCAGCCATAATAAAGCCCTAGTGTTTACTCAAATGTACGGGTACATGGAGTTACAGCATTCATCCATTTTACAAAAGGGAGGAGGAAAATAGGAAGGTGCAGGGTCCTTGAACTCAAGGCTGAAAAAAACTTAGGAAAATCAGAAATTTTCTGAAGAAAACATGTTGGGAAACCAGCCAAGCACAAGAAAACTTTGCCTGAGAATAACAATGACCTTTAAGTTTAAAGGTTTACTAACAAGTTTCAGCTTATCTATTTGTCTGACACCCCCCTCCCATCCCATGGTACAAAGTTTTTCACCTGCTCTCCATTTTGGTGCCTTCCATGGGATAGTAGCAAAGAGCAAAGATGGTGAGAACCGCTTCCATAGTGTTGGTGAGGGTCCTGGTACAGCAGTACCATGTAAACCAAGAACACAACTGGCAAAAGTACTGGGAACAAAGCCAAAGAAGAGTAGGTGTGTGATGGGGGGGGCTCAGCCATAGCAAATTCTTTTGCCTTGAAGTCTGCCAGCAGAGATCTCCCACCACTGGGTGGCTGGCAGACTGAAGGGAGAAACCGAGACTCACCACCCATTTGGCCGTCTCAAAGTGATCCAGCCGCTTTGCCAAGGAATATAACTTCACATCTGCAAATGCTGCCAGAACTGCCTGGAAAACCCTAGGGAGCCAAATCTGTTAGAAAATGAGACACAAGAGCGTGGAGATAATTTTTGCTTCTTTCCAAAGAGAAATCTGATATTTCACTAAAATGCAAGTGAACATTGAAACAGAAAGCCTCCAAAACTACATTTAAACCAGGAAAACCAAAACCAGCAAAGATTTTATTGACATAGACATTTTCAGTATCACCATTTGGGATTTTTCAGACTGGCCATGCGCTTTTAAGTCAAACACTTTTGTTAGACTGTAGTTTGAACTCAACTGTTTTCTGCTAAAAGCCTTACATCTAAGGATGCTAAAAAGCTGTTGCCCACCCACCAAGCACGGGTGTGACATTCTAATGCTTACCTCAGACAGCTTTTGAAATGGTGGGCAGCTTCCCTTGGCAACACACGCCCAGGGGGGCCTGACCTAATTAGGCTTTTTGGGGTGAGCATCATGATGGGGAACCCCGAGAAGCAAACCCCCAAAGAGCAAGAATTTGGCAGCCAAATGGCTGACTTTGGACCGTGCCTGGGGAATGGGCTTTTAAAGTAGAAATTAGGAGAGAAGACGCCATTTCCTTTTGTCCCTGGAGATTCTCGGTCATCCAGATCAGTTGTTTCATATGTGCTTTTTCAAAAGGCAACTGGACCTCCTCTTCTCAAGCTTTGGCAGCCCACCAGCTGCTCCCGGGGGAGGGAGAGGGAAGAAGGCAGCCCACCCCCCCTCACCCACCCGGCGCGGCCCCTCACCAGTAGCGGTGCCTCGTCCTTGCCCAGCAGCTGCAGCACCTTGAAGAGGCCGGCGAAGAGCAGCGGGTAGAGAGGGCTGCGCAGGCCCTCGGCCCACTCCCAGGTCAGGCTCCCGTATCTGGCGCGCCGTTAAGGACTCCACCGGAGGGATGGGCAGAAGGGCCCTCCCGCCGCCCACTCCCGCCGTCCCAGGATACCCGAAGGCCGCCCGGTGCGCCACCTCCAGCGACTGCCAGTACTCGTCCGGGACGAAGCTGGTCCGCACCGAGAAGCAGCAGGCCAGCCGCACCGCCAGGCTTAGCGCGAGGAGCCCCCGTGCGGGCGCGGCACCGGCCGCCCGCTGCTCCTCCCGCCCCTCCCGCTGCCCCAACTTCCGCCTGCGAGGCCTCCCGGCAGGCGTTCTTGCAACCGGCTCCATAGCGACCACCATGGACGGGAGGGCGCAGGCGCGGAAGACGGTTCCGCGCGCCTGCGCAGCAACAGGAAGGCAACAGTCGCAGCCATGCGTGGGTCGGAGCCGCTGGTGCGCCTAGTGGTGGTGTTCGTGCTGGGCGTGGGCGGCGGCATCTACAGCGCCGAGCCGCTCCGGAAGGAGGCCGCCCGTCTGCGCGCCCTCTCCGACTGCGAACCGTCGCCGCCGCCGCCCGGAAAGGCCCCCACGCCGCCTGCCTAGGGGCGTCCCCCCCGAAGCTGCAAGAGCAGCCCGCTCCCGGGGGAGAAACGAGGCCATGCCCCCTCGCCGGGCCCCTGGGACTTGTAGTCCGGCGCTTCCGGGCGGAACGCAAGCTTTCCCTTGGGCGGGCCTCCTTCCTGCCAAGGTGGCCTTTGGGTGGATGCTGCGATCTCATCCTGTAAGCCGAACGGAGTCGGGCGCGTATCGTTAAGTGCCAGGACGCTCAGGAGGCGCCTTTTCTCTTCTTGGACGTGGACACGTAATAAATTGCTGGGAAATGGAAATGTTGGGCGCGGGTCTTCCTTTTCCCGTGGCTCTGCCACTTTCGCTTTCGGGGAAAACCCCGTTTTCCTTGTCTATGACTAACTACATAACAGGAGCAGAAATTACAGAATTTTATGTTCATAGTCGAGTGTCATTTATTTTATTATCCCGCATTTATTACCTGATAAGGAAATTATTCTTTTAAATCACATGAAATCGCCCATGGGTAACTAATCCTGCTACCTGTCAGTAGTCCTAAACATGCAGCCCGCAGGGAAAATTTAACACCCGCCCAGCCACACCTGGAGGCAGCCACAGCGGAGATGCTCTTGTGCAAACCGTGCGTCTTGCACAGGGGTCCAAGCTGTAATCTTTGCAGGAGGAAAGCTGGATCCAGGGCTTATGGCTCTCTTCTCTTTGCAGTCCTGGATCTGGAATGGGCTGAAGTAGGGAACAACCAACTGGGGCAAACCACACAAAAGGGCCGAGGTTTGGTTGCCAGCCAGCCCGCCCGCCCTCCAAAAGACTACCAAACCCATAGTCAGCAACTGCAGGCCCCTACAAAATATTCCCCTCTGAATGGAGCAAAAGGGGCTTCTGCTTCTAGAAAGACGATTGTTCCACCTGTGATTGGATACAGTGATGTTGCTGCTTCATGCTACCTTCCAGGTTGGAGTCACTACTGGCCTGCAAGACCAACTTCTCTGGGCTGGTTGGGGCAAAAAATAGCTTTTTCCTAGCCCTCGGCTCAGCAATTCCATCTCACCTGATACTTCCACCAGTATAAAGGAGAGCTGGGAATGGCAAGGAGGGCCCCCACTCTCTGCTGAAGAGCCCTTTAACAGATGTTGCTGCAAGGGGCTCCAGCCAGGGGCTGAGCTGTGCCCATTTCCCTGGAAGTAAAAAACATGGTCCTAAGTGGTATCACTTGATCAGCCAGCCACATGACTGTCAGCTGAGGATAGCTGGAGGATAATAGCCAGCCAGCTGGCTTGCCTGTTGCCAGAACCCTTGAGCATCCAGTCTATTTCTAGAGCCTCCAGCCACTTCTACTCCCAAACCCAGACCTGCCAGGACCTCTTTCCAAGCAGGTATGTGCTACTCATGTTCTCAGACACTGAGCCCTTCTTGGATAATCTTGGTTTCCTGCTGTTCCAGAACAAATGCAATGGTTGACAAGCTGCAGGAAATATTTCCATCCGGTCATCCTGCAGGTTGACTTTCAGCTAATCAACTCTGCACACTCTAGGATGCAGACAGCAGGAATCCCCTTGAGGTAAACATGGCAAGGCTGGCACAGCAAAACAAGGCCCTGACAGCTTGAATGGCAGAAGCAGGGGTCACTCAGTCTTCTGAGCTTCGGCAGCATTTAAAGCACCTTTGCTTTAAAAAGTGGTTTGGCTGCAGTTGCCTTGATTCAGCAATACACGTCTCATTAGGAGAAAATGACTTGCATTCCAAGGTGGAGGCTGTGCTGCTGTTTGGCTGTCCTGAGACCATTGGTGAACCTCGAATATCCATCTATGCTGATTCATAGGAATAGGGCCTGGCCCATCTTGCCCAGTCTGTTTCCATGGTGTCCACCAATTACTCAAGAAAGCCCACTGCTCCCACCAGATGTCCCACAAAAGCAGCCTCGCTACGAGTCATTGGTCCTCCGGACTTCCTCAAAATGGTCTCACTGATTTTTGAGGCCAGTGCCGCATTTTGTGGTAGCAGATTCCAAAGTTCATTCTACAGACTGCCCAAACAGGATGGCAAATGTTGGAATATTCATAAGCAGGAAGAGTCATGTGGTAACTCAGTCAGCCAGTGGGAAGAAAGTGCTACTGAGTCTGTGCAAAAAGTATTGAGTTAGGAGCTGGATTTCCAGTCTCAGGTCTGTCTCTGTATCTCTCTGCAAGAAGTCTTCAATTGAGCTATGTTGCTGTAAAGAAGAATGTATGGTATTGTAAATATTTTGATATAAATATAAAGAAGTTATTTTGAATCAGCTAAATGCAGTCAACTGTGAGAGCTTCTGATTTATTTTTTCACCAATAGAGAAATTAAAGTTCTCTAACAGGTTATGGGCCCAGAGCTTTCTAAGGACTGCATTGTAATTTAAAGCTGGAAGAAATTGCCTGTGTTTAGAAAGTATAAGAACAAGGCAGAATTAGCAGAATGGCTGCAATGGAATTTAAGGAAAGCTGTGTGCCTTGTTTGGGCCAGAAGAATTACATTATATGGGTTGCAAAAATGGAATGTTTGCTGAAAGCTAAAGAGCTGTGGTATATTGTAGAAAATCCACCACAAGTATTTGCAGCTGCTGATCAGAAGAGTCATGATCAAGCAATAGTTTATTTCATCTTGAATTTAGACGATGAACAATTTCTAAATGTTGCAAATTTAAAGACTGCAAAGGAGATTTGGTTGAAGTTGAGAGCTGTGCACGTGAATGTTTCTGCATGCAATTGTCAAGAAAACTTTACAGGGCCTGTTTGCAACCAGATGAATCTGTGGAAAAGCATTTAAATAAAATGCAAAGTTTATTTTGGGACTTAGAACAACGTGGGATTAAATTCCCTGAGTCCCAGAAGGTTTTATTGGTGCTGAACAGTTTAGATAAAACCTAGGACACAGTTTCTGCCATATTTGAGTGTAAAGAAGAGCAAGACTTAAATTTTGAGGCTTTAAAGGAATGTTTGCTTAATGAACAAGAAAAGCACCATTTTAAAAGCAGCCATGAGGAGGTGAAATTCCTGAGGAGGGGGTCCAGACTGCAAGTCTCCAAAGAAGAAACATTTTGCAGACAGAGAGCTAAGCAAGAAAAGAATTGCTACATTTGTGAAGCAAACAACCATCTGAAAAGGAACTGTTTGCAAAGGAACAATTTGCAGCAAAGGACCAAAAAGGACTGATTTGCAAAAGTTTGCTATAGCAACAACAGAGACAAGTGGCTAATAGATAGTGGGGCAAGTCAAACAATTGTTAATGACTCTGAATTATTTTGCAGGTTTGTTCCAGTAGCACAAGAAGCTGTGGCTTTGGCAAATGGCCAGAAAGCAAAAGTCATCCGAAGAGGCGATGTAAAAATTCCTTATTTGGAATCAAAGTTTACTAATGTGCTTTGTGTACCTGAGATGGAACATAATTTGTTAAGTGTGTCTAATTTAGACAAACAAGGTTTTGAGGTCATTTTTGTAAATGGGAAATGTCTCATCAAAAGGAATGGGAATATTTGTGCAGAAGGCATAAAGGAAGATAATTGCAGGGACAAAAGGTTCAATGTTCCCATATATTTAAGAATGTTGCAGAGTATGATTCATGTGTTCATCTTCTGCATAGCCATGCAAGCTTTAAAGTTTTGCAGCAAATGCAAGATTTTGCAGAAGGGCTAAATTTGAAGGGATGCAAAACATATTTGGACTGTGCAGTATGCAAAGCATCGAAGTCAAAGGCATTCCCAGTTAGTAAATGTAGCACAAGACAAACAAAAAGAGTTCTAGAGCTGGTTCATGCAGATCTGGTGGGACCTATGCAAGCCAGTTTGGGAGGAGCAAAATATGCACTGGTAATTGATGATTATAGCAGGTATTCATTTTGCTACTTGCTTAGAGTAAAGACAGAGGTGCTACAACAATTAAAACAGTGGGTAAGTTTTGTAGAGAAAGGTACAGACAACAAGTGTCAGTGGCAAACTGACAGAGGTACTGAATTTATGTCAACTAAATTCCAACAATGGTTGGGGCAGTTGGGGATAAGACACAGATGTACAAATCCTTACACAGCAGCAGAGAATGGTGTAGCTGAAAGAAGGAATGGTGTTTTGCAAACAATGAAAGATTCATTATTGGAGGATTCTGGTTTGAGCAGGTCATATTGGGGAGAAGCCATATTGACTGCTAATTATATAGTTAACAGGCTGTGGAGTTCCTCCATTAATAACACTCCGTATGCCATTCTATATGGGAGAAAGCCATCACTGGCACATTTGAGAATTTTTGGAAGTACTGCTTTTGGAAGTACATATTCCAAAAGCAATCAGAAGAAAGGGACAGCAAAAGGCAAGAAAGCTTAGGTTTGTGGGCTATGAGCCAGGGTCAAAAGGATATTGTTTTAGCAATGGAAGTAAAAGAATTATAATTTCAAGGTCTGCTAATTTTGCAGAACAAAATTGAGACAGAATTAATGCAAATTCTGGGTATGTCTCACTTAATGACAGTGATCTGTTTAATGATCTCATCTAATGATAAAAAAATTATTGAAGATGTCAATGTTCAGGGAGGAGAGGCTGAACAAGACATGAAACCAGAAAGACTTGAGACACAGGAGCAGTTAATACCACGTAGATCAGAGCGATGTAATAAAGGAATTCTGCCAGCAAGGTAAAGGTTTGCAATGTGTGGTACGAGCCAAGAAGTTATAAAGAGGTGTTGGCATTAGCAAAAGCTGAACAAGAAAGATGGAAGGAGGCCATGGATAAAGAGATGAAATCCATGGGAGACCATGAAGTATTTAAATCAGTGACTTTGCCACAGGGAACCAAAGCTGTGGGTTGTAAGTGGGTAGATAAGAAAAATAATGATATACAGTATAAGGCCAGGTTAGTGGCACAAGGTTTTTCACAATTAAAGAATGTGCACTATGATGAAGTATTTGCGCCAACTGTGAAAAGTGAGAGTATAAGATTAGCACTGGCGTTGGCAGCGGCATATAAGCATAAAATCTGGCACTTTGATATCACAACTGCATTCCTTAATGCTGAGTTAGAGGAAGAAATTTATATGATCCAAGCACCAGGCTATTTATGGGCTGAAGCAGTCAGCCAGAAACTGGAATATCTGTTTAGATACTGCTTTAAAGGATCTTGGATTTAAAAGTTGCAAAGCTGATAATTGTATATATACTGGACAGTTACAAGGAGGGAATTGTATCTTTGCTTCATCGCAAAGGATGCATTACAAGTCAAAGAATTTGCTGATAAATTAGGAAAGAAATTTGAATTAAAGAATATGGGAGAAATAAAAAATCTCGGTGTAGAGATACAGAAAAATGAAAAAGATGGTTATATTCTCAAAGGAGAAAAATTGAGCAGTTATTGGAGAAATATAATATGAAAGATTGCAATACTGCTCCCACACCCATGTGTGCGGATTTTTATAATAGCTTAAGTGCGGACAAAGGTGAAACCTGTGATCAAGAGATATATCACTCGGCAATAGGGAGTTTGTTATATGCAGTAAGCATTTTGAGTCGTTTTACTGCTGCACCTACGAAGTTACATTGGATGCATGTAAAAAGGGTTCTCAGATATTTAAAGGGAACTATAAGTTTGGGTCTTCAAATACAGATTACTGAGGAATTGAAATTAAAGTGTTATGTCGATAGTGACTATGCAAATGACATAAATACAAGGAAATCACATTCTGGGATTATAATATTGTTTGGAGGGACTTTGATTGGATGGAAGTCCAGAAAACAAACAACTGTTGCTATTTCAACAGCGGAAGCAGAGTTTATTGCTTTATCTGAATTGTGTTCTGAAGTAACACGGTATGTACAGTTGTTGCAAGATTTAAATATTAATGTAAAAGAATCTGTAAAGGTAAATACAGATTATACAGACAATGCTGCCTGTATAAAAATGGCAACTGGTGACAGGGTGAAGAACAGAAGTAAACATGTAGACATTAAGTATTGTAATGTCAGGGAAGCTGTAAAAGGAAAATTGATTAGTTTACATCATTGTTCTTCTGAGGATAATTTGGCAGACATGATGACTAAACAATTGGGTAATGTTCACTATGGAAAATGTATTAATAGGTCTGATGTCTCTTCCTGTCATGAAAGGAGGAGTGTTGGAATATTCATGAGCAGGAAGAGTCATGTGGTAACTCAGTCAGCCAATGGGAAGAAAGTGCTACTGAGTCTGTGCAAAAGGTATTGAGTTAGGAGCTGGATTTCCAGTCTCAGGTCTGTCTCTATATCTCTCTGTAAGAAGTCTTCAATTGAGCTATGTTGCTATAAAGAATGTATGGTATTGTAAATATTTTGATATAAATATAAAGAAGTTATTTTGAATCAGCTAAATGCAGTCAACTGTGAGAGCTTCTGATTTATTTTTTCACCAATAGAGAAATTAAAATTCTCTAACAGCAAAGGAGTTGAACTCCACTGAAATAAGCCATCTGGGCAGACTGCAGGTCCCCCATCCACAAAAGAATTTCTTATTAGTTGTGCTCATATGAACGCAGTCATATTGTAAAGCACTTTGTTTAAACACTGTCAATAGGCCCTGGGGACCTCTCTTTTCCATTATTTCTGCTTATGTCCTTGGTCAAAGGGACCAGGTCCTCATTTTGCAAACTAACACAGGGGAAGGGGGTCTCACTGCTAGGCAGCAATTGCAGGTGGGTTTCTTCCTTCTGATGCCCTCAGCTTGGATCCAGACACAAGCCCTTGAGTCTCTTTTGAAAAAGATGTGAACTCTTTGCACTTTGGGGGGGGGTCACATATGTTCTGCTTTGATGAAAGCACCTAAAGCTTGGAATCAAACTGATTTAACAAGAGAAATGGCTGTTGTTTTAGCAAGAGACTGATAAGCCCTTGACAACACCACTTCCTAACCGAAGCCAGCCACACCACAATGTTTTTCCTTTCATTTTTTGCAGCTCCAGATCCCTTCTGTGCTGTAGAGTGGTGGCACGAGAGACTCTGGGATTGGTGCATTTTACCCTTGTAGTTGTCAGGCTACAGAAGCGCTTCTGAAGGTCTGCCAGTGTTCACTCTCCCCTTGGTCTGCAGCCAAACAGTCTCCTCCCTGGCTCCTCTGTCCAGTTCCCCTCCTCTTCCTGCTCCAGAGGAAATCCTGCAGGGCCGGCTTCTTCTAGTTCTGGGAAGTGGGAGAGGCATTCTGGGCCGGCTTTGTGGCGCAAAGGATGAGAAGCAGAACAGATCTAGTGTTTTAGTATTCGATGAAATTTGAGCTACTGAAGCCTTCAGAGTAAATGCCCACATTTGCACATGCGTGCACATGCCCCTCCAGCATATGGGAGAGGTCTTGCTAAAGGTAAGTGGGGAGCACCCTGCTAAACTGTGAAGCTGCCTCCTCTCACAGCAGCAGGAGTGTCTGGTCACATTCCTCAGGACACCCCTCCTTGGCACCTTTGAGTTTATGCAGCAGAAGACACCCCTCTCTTGCATCTGCCCCCTTCCATGCTACACCTAGGTCTGAATCCTTCGGTCACAGAATCCCAATCCCTTCCTAGACTAGCTCCTCTTCTACCAAGCCTGTTTGTTAGGCCTTGGTGAAAGCATCTCCCTCTGCAGGGCCTGGGCTACTCGGGCACAAGGCTGCTCTGTGCATTGGCCAGTTGGACCCGCTCGCTAGGTTGCCTTCAAAGCCCAGGAGGCGTTGAAGGCAGCCTCAGCTCCTGCAAATGAGGGCTGATGGCACAGCCCTGGTGCCCTTGGCTGGCCTCAGGAAGCACACCTTCCACCCATCACAGTCTCCAGGTGACACGTAAGCTGCTGCAGCTGCTGTTCCTGGCTGGGCGAGCAGGTGGAGCTCAGAAGGCCAGCCCAAGGCACTTCTGGCAGCAGCAACAGCAGCACGAAGGTGAGTGGCTAGCTCCTCTTGGGTGCTTTGCTGCAGGGTGTAGAGCAGTGGTTCTCAACCTTTTTAATGCTGCGACCTCCAACCGATCGTAAGTCGAGGACTACCCAACTGGTCGTAAGTCGAGGACTTTCCCTGCCCGGGAGCGCCGCGCATGCAAGGTGCCGCCCCCTGCGCTGGCCAAGGCGTAGCTGGCAAGTGGCAGAGACGGTGCAGGCTCAGCAGGGAGGGGTGGAAACTTCCAGACAGCTCGCCTTCGCTGCAGACAACTTGCAGCACCGTTTGCAGAATGGGACTTTTGGCAGGCTCAGCAGGGCAGAGACAGCCTGGACAATTCCTATTCAAGAGAGTCTATTCTATTGGCTTTCAAAAGCCAATAGAATAAAAGGGAGTAGCACAACTAAGGAAAAGGGGGGAAAAATGGCAGACTGCGTTGTTTGGTGACCCCTGTGAAATGGGGTCCCGACCCACAGGTTGAGAATCACTGGTGTAGAGGGACAGGAGGGGGAGGCCCACTTAGGGAGAGAAGACTGCTGCCTTCACCAAGAGAGTTTCAGCCTCGCTACCTTTTGCAAAGCAGCAGCTGAGGGGGGGATGTGGCAGCAAAAGCAACATCCTGGGCCTGGGGTCTCTCCTGGATGCCCCCAGCTCAGCCATGAAGCCAGGATGGTGGAATGACCAGGGAAGACTGAGGAAGGTGCCAAGCAGCGGAAGCGAGCAATGCCCTATGCAGTCCCTTTCCCTTTTTAATCCTCTTCCAGCATTCTGCATGGAGGCTGAAGTCAGCCCAGGCAAATATGGCATGCAGGCCCATTGGTCAGCAAAGCAGCTGTACCAGGATGTCATGGACAAAAAGAGAAAGCTTGATGTGTCTAAGAAAACCCGGCTCACAGAAATCTGGGGGAGGTTGTTTGCAAAGACTCCTAAATTGAAAGATTAGCCTTCTGGCACTGCCTTTCAATTGGTATAGTAGAACACTAGCAGGGCACCCTCCCTCCCACCAGTGTCAAGCTGGGGGTCTGGCGCTGCATGGCAGTGCAGGGTAGCTGAGGTTGCCCAGGGATCCCCTGCAAAGGTTAATTTGTGTGTGTGTGGGGGGGAGGTTTCCTACAATCTAGACTCCTGGAGACAAGGCTCCCCCTTTCCATCCCGAGTGCTGCGCTGCTAACACTCCTGCCCCATCCGTATCCTGGATGTGCTGGTCACCTCTTTACCAGGCGCTCTGGGAAGGATCCCCCTGACATCAGTCAAAGGCTTCCAGGCTTCCTCCTGGCAACTCAGTTGCAATCCAAATAGACAAAGGGAGGAGGCTACTGATTCAGTATTTGTGGAGGGAGGAGGCGCCTCTACTTGGTCTCTTTCAGAAGTTCATCCTGATGAGAAGCCCAGCTGGGAGCACCAGCTCCTCTAGTTCGCCATCTCACTTCCACTTCCCAACTGTCAAGATCAATCTGAAACCCAGTTTGCATTCTGAATTATTAGGACACCTGAATGGAAGGGATAAAACATTTTTTTCTCTCAATAATGAAAACATGCAAGCAAATAGGCAGGCAAAATCTAACTGCAAGCAGCTGCTTGGGTCTCTTGACCAAATCCTAAATTTGTCTCTGTCCTTGAGGAGGAGGAAGAAAGAGATGACTAGGGTGCGTTCGTGCTGGGCTTAGGGACAAATGAAGTGTTTATAGACTCTTATAGACAGCCTGAAAGCAACTGACAGGCGTCTGGGGGTAACCTCCGAGGAGGCGGCTGTGGGAGTCTGCTGAAAGTACATGGCTCCCCTTTTCCACTAAGAGAAACTCTGAAGACAAACATCTTCCTAGTATTACCTGTGTGGAAAGCCTGTCTTTTAATCAAAAACTACCAGGGAGGGCTGTATACCCCCATCTGCAGCAGAATCTTTTGGAATGAGTGCTGGGTCCCAGATTAGTCTTGACCCTCCAGTTCCGTTTAGAAGGCTTCACAGCTATATCTATTGCCCTCAACTCAACACAATTCCATACCACAACATCCATAGCTCAAATGGCAGAGATCCAAAGAGGCCTTTGGATGCCTATAGTGCACAAAAGTCAACTGCCAACACAATTGCACTACCTGTGCACAATTGCACTACCTGCTACTTTCCCAGCCACCAACTTGGCTTTTCCAGCCACCGACAGTTCCAGCCCAGGACTCTACAGTGTTTCCCCAAAAATAAGACTCGGTCATATGTATGTATGTATGTATGTATGTATGTATGTATGTATATATGTATGTATTGCTCCAAAAGTTGCATTAGGGCTTATTTTGAGGAAAACACAGTAACTATGCACACTGCATGGGCACTAAACAGTGAGAAAAACCACCACTTAGGACCAGACCCGGCTGCAGAGAAAATGTTGATTGGTTACCTTGTTCTCACACACTGGCTGTAATCACAGAAGCTTCTGAGCATCAAAAGAGCCAGCATCCCACCCCTTCTCAACTGCCTTCCAGTCAGCCACTCTTCCAAGAGTGGAAGCTGTGGGAAACAATGCCCTCCAATCTTGTGGAATCTAGCAGAAGACAGCTAGTGACCCAGGCTCCCTCTTTCTGCCTGTCTAAGCAGGGTGTCATCTGCAAAATCGCCACCTGGTTTTTTGCTCTCCTGCACAAAGTTGTGGGTTGTCCTTTTGAACTGCTCGGGCAGGCTGATCATGCCTTTCTTGTGACAATTTTTCCTAGTGACAATCTGCTTCCAGTTGTTCACATCTGGCCTTCTTCAGGCTGATGAACTGGAGACTTTGTCAGTGGCTGATAGAAACTTTCTTTCCTCCTGTAAGATTTCTCTAAAGCAGCCTTACTTTTGAATCAGCCCAAGGAGAGCAAAGCTTTTCAGAGAGCTGGTTCAATCCACTGGCAGAATGCCATACCTACCACCCCTTTCTACAGTATCGAAGACAATCCTGCCTCTATCACAGTGAAATTAGGGCCCTTCCTTGTCATTTTCCAAAACAGAGGAAAGGCTGTCTTCGTTCCAAGCTCTCAGCTGTGCTCTGGAGGAAATTAATGCCAGGCTTTCCCTGTATGGGGCCATCTATAATCCTCCTCCAGCTTAGAACCTTGCTTCTTGGGCCTCCAGTGTTTCTGTGTCCAACAAAAGACACGATGCTGCCAGGTCTGAACTCCTCAATATGATTTCTGCAGGCAACTTTGAATTTTGCTGCTTCCTCCCTGTGGATATGCAGCTGCTTTGTCCAACGAAGTTCCTGTACATTAAAAGCAAAAAATCTTTCATGATAACTCATTCTGAAGGGAATTTTGCAGATTCAGTTGCTCAAGTTTGGACATATCAGAGGCAGGGTCTATGCATGGGTGCAAGGAACATAGGTGCTACTGCTGGGAGGGCATATGGCAAACACCAGCTGAAGCTCTGTGCAAGTTGTAGCTGCACTATATAGACTTGCGCTACAAACATCAGCATAATAGAAGGGGAAACCAACGTGAAAGCATTCTCATTTAATAGGGGCAACATAACAGGTTGGAGGGCAGAAAGACTGAGATTCTGAGAAACTAGGGGGACGGGAGGGCATGGGTAGCAAACATGGACTGCAGGAAAATATTGCAACAGGCACGTGGGAAGGAGCCCATGGATTTAGCACCATGGATTTACCTATACAAACATCAGTGAAACACCAATCTGTTTACTTTTCTAGAAGCTCCACAAATGAAGAAAGCAAAGGATCTATTGGCTTCCTGAAAGCATTGGGGGAGGGGGAGGAAGAGAGAAAGATCCCTAAAGCTACCCTGGTTTTGTCAGCTGATGACTTGGAGACACTCACAAATCCTTTTGGAATCAGGTGTACCGACCCAACAGTCCAGATGGGGTCAGTGGCCGAGGGCAGAGAATACGTCTTCAGTTGTGGGACACAGCAGGGCAGGAAAGGTGAGCATGTTTGAAAAATGGACTGACCCACCCTCCTTTGCTACCCGACCAATTTGGCTCCTGGCAGATCCTTGATGTATCAGTGCAGCCAGATGTTGGCTGTCCCAGCACTGGGTATTTTCTATGGCTGAAGAACACTGGCAGAATCTAAGCAGTCCCTATGGTTCTTTATAATGATTTTAGAAATGGCCCTTAGTAATTAAGTTATTCTTTCAAGTTTAAACTTCAGACCAATATTTTGCTCTTAATTATTAAGTCTAAGAAAGACTCTGGGCTCTGGGACATACATGGATGTGTCCTTTTGGTATAAAACTCTGCCAGCCTGAGAGGAGACAGGAGCAGGGTAACGCTTGGCCCTTCCTCTTGGTAGGTTTCGTAGCTTGACCACCACCTTCTTCAGAGATGCCATGGGCTTTCTCCTTTTCTTTGATCTAACCAGTGAGCAAAGTTTCCTCAATGTCCGGAACTGGATGAGTAAGTCTCACATCCCACTTCTGTAGGCAGAAGTGGGGCAGGGGCAGGCAGGCCTGGGCTAAGGGGAAACTGTCAGCAGGAGCCAGCCAAGCTACAAGGGAGTCCGATGGGAAGCCAGAGAGTTACTCGCTGCCCCAAAGCCAGTTGGAGCAGAGATCCGCCTGGCAGGGTGTAAGCGCTCTGGCCTCCCCCAGAGAGCTTCTCCTCCAAAGGGGCCGGTGGGTTTTGCAGGGGGGGCTCCAGTGCCTCCACAAGCACTGGGCCGGCCGAGCCAGGGGCTCCAGCCGCAACTTCCTTTCCCGTTGCCGGCAGGCCAGCTGCAGACCCACGCCTACTGCGAGAGCCCCGACGTGGTGGTGTGCGGGAGCAAGAGCGAACTGGAGGAGCAGCGCGTGGTGAAGGAAGGCGACGCCAGGCAGCTGGCAGGCAAATACCGGCAAGTGGCTTCCGGTTGGCCCGGCCACCTGGGCTGGGCGGGGTGGAAGGCGCGGGCGGGCGGAGGGCCTGGGATATCCCCGGCCTCTCCTCCTGGGCTGGCCTGACGCGGCCCGCTGTGCTTGCAGGGCGCCCTACTTCGAGACCAGCGCCGCCAACGTGGGCCCGGCCGTGGAGTCGCTGCTCGGGCTGCTCATGAAGCGCATGGATCGGTGTGTGGACGGGCCCCACGCTTGGGCCCCCAACGGCCCCGCCGAGACGCCGCCGCGGCCCGCCAGCGGCTGCTGAAGACTCCGCCGCGGCCCACCCGCGCCCGGCAGATGCGCAATAAACCAGTCCGTGGGTCAGATTCCGCCTTTTCTTGGGCCACCGCTTCGCCGCCGCTTGATGGGGGGGGGCGGAAAGAGAGGCGGGCCGGGCTCCTCCTTGACAACTAGCGCCTCCGCACCACAGCCGGGAGAGACGCTCTCGGAAGGCGGAGCACAAACCCAGTCGCGTCACGGCACGGAGAGGGCGTGGCAACGTAGCTTCCGGCGTGGATCCTCCCACTAGGGGCAGTCGCTCGGCGGACGGAAGGGAAACCGAAGGGGCGACTCTTCCGCCTGCCGCAGGGGGCGAGTCCGGCGCCTGGCGCACGCGTAGTGGAGCAGTGAGACGAGGCGCCACTCTATCCAGACCACCGAGGCGCTCTTCCGCCTCCTCCTTAGCCGCCGCCATGCGCGTGGAGAAGTGCTACTTTTGCTCCGGGCCGGTGTACCCGGGTCACGGGATGCTCTTTGTCCGCAACGACTGCAAGGTGAGCCGCAGACCCCGCGGCCCCGCTCCCTCCCTCTTCCGTCCCCCCTGAGCTCGGCTGTTTCCCCGCAGGCGTTCCGGTTCTGCCGGTCCAAGTGCCACCGGAGCTTCCAGAAGAAGCGCAACCCGCGGAAAGTGCGCTGGACCAAGGCCTTCCGCCGAGCGGCGGGCAAGGAGCTGGCGGTGGTGAGTCGGCGGCGGTGGCGGCGGCCGGCGGGCTGGGACCGAGCGTGAGCAAGCCGTCCCTCGCTCTGCCTCGCCCTTCTCTCTCCCCACGCAGGACCGGTCCTTCGAGTTCGAGAAGCGGCGCCACGAGCCCGTGAAGTACCAGCGGGAGCTGTGGAGCCAGAGCGGTACGGCGGAGGGGGGGGCGCCCTTCTTCCCGGACGCGGCTCCCCCTCCCGCTGTTGACGCGCGGCTGTTTTTCCCTTCCAGTGGAAGCGATGAAGCGAGTGGAGGAGATCAAGCGGAAGCGCCAGGCCAAGTTCGTCTGGAACAGGTAGGAGCTTTCCCTGCCCGCCGGGGGGGGCGTGGCCTGGCGCTCGGTTGCCTCAGGGGATAAGCCTGTTGGGACCAACTGGCATTGGGTTTTACTCACAGAAATGTAATGAAAAAAATGCATGAACATTATGGCACTGACCTTTAAAAGATTCTTAATCGGTTGATGTACCAAATATTGGAAAGAGCTTTACAGGGTTTTATGGAAACTTCCCATCGATATAGCTGTGGGTTACTTGGGTTCTTAAAGTAAAATGCTTCTGCTGTGATTCTTGTTAGTGTTTCCTTTTGGGCATGGAGATAAATATTTCTCTTTTCTCTCTCCTCCAAGATTAAAGAAGGGGAAAGAGTTGCAGAAAGCACAGGATATCAAAGAAGTCAAACAAAACATTCACCTCATCCAGGCTCCCCACGCAGGTGAGCAATGGAATCCAGGATGGCTGGAAATTCTTGAAGAGGCTTTTTTGGTAGGGTATGGCTAATCCCCTAAAACTCTGCCATGGCCTGATGTTTTCAGGGATTTGGCTGCAACCTCCTGGCTCACTGGTTCAGAAGCTGCATCTGCATCAGCATTCTGTGGGGAATCTGCTGCAATATTTTTAGAGATGCCTAAACCATTTGCTTACCTTTGATTTTTTTTCTTTCAGGCAAAGCCAAGCTGATGGAGGAAAAGATGGTCCAGATGCTACAGGACACAGTGCCCATGGAAGATTCTTGAAGAGTTGTGCTGTTTGGGTCCTGGGCTATTTAATTTGGGAGGAGAGGCTGGGGCCATTGTTTATAGTTTGTGAGCTGCAGCTTCAAGGGGAATATGTGTAAACCAAATATATGGAAATTAGAAATAAAATAGTGGCCAAAAAATGATGATTCAGTTTAAACATTTAAGGCCAATTAGATGATTAGAACTGCTGGCTGCATAGAGTACCCTTGTGCATGGAATTAGTTGGCCTAGTGAACAGTTATTACCTTAAGAAGCAGGAAATGGAGTGCTAGGACGTGGCTGGACCATCTCCGGTGTAAGCATCTAAGATGCTGCCTGGCAAATACCTGCAGAGGGCACTGCCTTGCCTCCAGTAGAGCCAAGTCAAGGTTTCAGCCCCATCCCACCCCTTATGCTATAACACTCTATATTCTTGGTGATTCCAGTCCTCTTGGAAATGCATTTTGTAGCGATCATTAAAATGGAAATGCAGGCATGCACCTGTGTGCCTCACAATTTTTTCTTCCTCAAAGAAGGATGAAAAGAGGTCAGCTGTTCTCCAAGACCCCTTGCCTGCTTCTAGCAGAACATTGGTGTGTGGTTCCCAGAGAGGCAGGGCTAGCACCAGAGCACCTTCAGCATCTCTGCGTGGTTAGGATAGCCCACCAGGAGAGGCCCAGGGAGGAGTTGATGAACAGCACAGAGGCAGCCAGCAGCCTGAGACACAGCTGGCTTAAATAGTAGTAGCACTTAAACTTATATATCTCTTTGTTCTTTACAGCCCTCTCTAAGCAGTTTACAGTGTCGGGATATTGCCCTGAACAATCTGGATCCTCATTTTACCGACCTCAGAAATCACAATTGCACTGCCTGCTCTTCTCAAATGTTGGTGAATGTAATTTCTGGCATCTTATTAAAGATGGGGAGGTGCAGGGATGTCACGCAGGGTGGCTTCTGCGATGGCACTTGCTTGGAGGATCAAGGTAGGATCTGCCTTGGATCTCCCTTGGATCTGCCACCATAGTCTTTCAGTGGCATCATACTTTGGACAGCTAATTTTATTTGTAGGCTGATTAAAACTACCTATACCTGCTATTTTGGGTAGCAAAGGGACTTGCTTGGCAAGGCTTTTGAGGCCTATTTATTGGAGGAACCCTTGAGTTCCATTATTATGGCAGAACAAAAGCCAGAAACATGCATCTTTGTAAGTTCTTCTTTCGAGCAGGAACAGAGTTCCTCCTCTCCCACCCAGATGCCCATTTTCCCAACCGCCTTTCCAGGGCGATCAACAGCCCAAGAGAAAGATGCTTTCAGGAGAGGGTCATCTCAGTCTGCTAAAGGGCAGCAGAAGGGAAGTCACCCCTTTCATTGCCAATGCCGTCAAGCCTGATACAGCACCTAGAGTGGAAGAAGCCCAGCTGACCCTCATCCCTGTCTGTAACTTAATTTTCAGCAAATGCTTAAATGGAAAGCCATGTGTCTGTAGGTTTGCTCTAAAGCCTGGGGAGGCCAAGAAGCTGTTTTATATAGCATTAAATTAATTTTGTATAGATTTGCATTATCTCCATCCTGCAAGCCAAAGATTTGTTTCCCTTTGAAATAGAGCAGGGCCCTGTCTGTCCAACTTTCTGTCTGTCGAATCTGGTGCTCTCTTCTTCCCAGGCCTGGCTGAGCAGATGTGATGTCAAACTGCACTCGGACATTAATGTTTTGGAATCTGTAGATGTACTCCAGAGTAGAATTTACTCCCTGCACTAGCCATCTCTTTCCTGCCAGAAACTGGTGCCAATCTTGATGGCAGTGTACTGGGCATGATAAGGAGGGGAGTTCCCCTGGGCTTTGTTTCTCCTACCAAAGTCGCAAAACTGGCAGGAGAGCATCCAGTGATTGCGGTGGAGCAAGCAAGATTTGACCAATGGTCAACTGAGGCGTTCAGCCAGCTTTCAAAGGTTGCTGAGGTTAAAAGGTGGTTTTGCACGGATGCGTTCCAGGGCAGTGTCTGTTTTGCCGTGACCTTCCACAATTCCTGCTTTAGGCTGATCTTTGTTCTTGATGGGGAGAGCAGCAGAAGATCAGCATGAAGCAGAGCAAACCATTCTGTTTCAACTCTCTGTTATTCCTAAGATCCAAACACAAGATAAGGATAAGGGGATCTTTGCTATAGATTCCTGAATCAGGAGGCATCTGTTAAAGATCCACTTTTGTACAGGTAGTCCTCAATTACAACAGTTCATTTAGTGACCATTCAAAGTTACAGTGGTGCTGAAAAAGTGACTTATGTCCGTTTTTCACACGACCATTGTACCTGATCAAAATTCAGATGCTTGGCAAATGGTTCATATTTATGATGGTCACAGTATCCCAGGGGGATCACGTGCAACTTTCTGGCGAGCAAAGTCAATGGGGAATCCAGATTCACTTAACCATGTTACTAACTTAAGAAATGCAATGATTCACTTAATGTAGCAAGAAAAGTCATAAAATGGGGCAAAACTCGCTTAAATGTTTCATATAAATTTTGGCTCAATTGTCATAACTTGAGGACTACCTGTATATGTGGCCAAAGCAGTAACAAAATATAGCCCCTCCTCCAAATTAGTATTTAATGTCCAAGTTGCCAATAATTCAGGACAACAATGCTCATGTCATGGCATATCTTGATCAATTCTTATTTATTCAGTCATCAAATTTATATTTAAAATATTCTTATTTTAAAAAAATCACAAATTGCTTTTCAGAAAAACAGACTGTGAATCTTGGTGTAATCCTTTCTTCTTGCTGGGAAGGCCTGTTTTCATCCTGGCCTTTTTGTTCTGTCTCGTCTTTCTTCTTGACAGACCTGCTTATTTCACAAAGGTGATGGATACTAAGATATCAAACAGGCCATTAGCATTGCAGATGTCCAGGCAGCATCTGCACAAATGTTAGTGCACTTTGGCTGGGATACCATCTGGATGGCACCCTCAGGGCTGGAGGCTTCCTAGCAACCACCTGCAGAAGAGACATTATTCACAGCAGAATTAAGCCTCCTGAGGGTTGAAAAGATCAGCTGTGCTTTTGGAAAGACAGACTCCGCTTCAGCTACTTTTGGCCATGAAGGTTTGGGGGTTTCTCCTCTTTCTCCCCTCCTAGAGCAATTATGGCTCAATGCCCTCCTCTAATCTGATCAGAAACTTTTGGAGTCAGCTAGAGAGCGTCCATCTGAGATGTATCCACTACAATCAGCTAGCTAATCAGGATTGCATGGGATGTTTTCTCAAAGCCTTTGCAGAGATCTACTAAGAAAATTACTTGATCAAACGAGGTGAAGTTACTTGGGCAAGTTGTTTGATTCCTGATTATTTCCACTTCAGAACCTTCCCAAGACAATTCTGTTTGTCCTTTTTTAAAAATAGCAGCCATTTCCTTCAACCATCAGGGTCTTCAGGTTCCCCAGAAATTCTCCAAAGTAATATATGAAATATGGCCAGTTCATCATCAAGGGCCTGGTTGAAATTTTTGGCATCCTGGAGAGATAAACTCCAGGCTCTCAAACTATAAGTCTAGTCTCAGCCTATGAAGCTTTGGTATTGCTGGGCACGGAAGACTACATGGCAGCAGCCTGTTTGCTTGTTTTTTTGTGGTTCTGCCAAAGTCTTTTCTTTCTTAGCTGGAGGGCTGCATTATTCTTCACCAGGATTCTGGCTGGTTGAATCTCCCTTTTGTTTCGTTTTTTATTCTGGCACATAAGCTTCCTTCCATTACTGTAGAGATCTTTTACACACTTTGAAAAAATAGTCTCCCAACTTCACGTTAATGTAACTACAACAGATAAATAGCTGGTGATTCAACTTCCTTTTTTCACCCTCACTGTCCTTAGATTAAATGGTTGGTGAGATGGTGCAATTTTTCTTTCCATTTTTACTTTCATTTATCAAATGAGAAGAAACTTCATAATTAAGAATCTCTATAAGCAATAGATCTGTGAAAGAATAATACATTATCAAACTGTTTGCAAATTGCTATGTGGCTATCACTGAGTTGTTCGATGTGGCTTGAACAGTCAGGGAGGCACTGAATGAAAGGTCCGATTTAAAACCCAGCTGAGCCCATGTATCTTAATCACAGGAAGGGGAAGCAAGTATGTGAGGCAGGCTCCAGAGCCATGGGGAGCCAAGAGCTACTTGCCAGAGAATGGAAGCCTTGCTTTCCTGCATGGCCACTTGATATGTGAGGAGAAACCTCACAGTGAAAGACCACACCTGATTGCCTTCCTAGGAACTGTGAAAAGATACAAGTCCCAACCAACCCAGCGCAAATAGGGCCTACAGGGTGGCACTTCTGGCCAGTCGATTCCAGGGGCTGCCCAAGAAAGTCTCCCTCTGTATCTTGGTTTTCGAACAACTGAGTGCCTGGCACAGAAGACAGTTTTTGCTTCTTTCATATGTATATTTCAATGGGCATTTTGCTGGTGATGATTCTCATGGAATGTTAAGAAACATTACGCTTACCAAACTAGTTAAGAAATAATTAAGGAGTTGGTACTTTATATCTTTGGCATTGGGCATTTTTTCTGTTCCTGGAACCTCTGGAATGAGAGAGATTCTGCCATAGAAATCCAACTGTCATCCAATTAAGGCTTGTTCCTTCTTGTCCATGGAGGCAAAGCTCAATTGCCCATGTAATTGCGCTGTATTTTCCTCCTGCCACAAACTTAGGGAAAAAAAGACAGCAAAGGCTCACATTCTGCATCCCCACCTCTCCAGCAACCCCCAAACCATCATGGCGAAAAGGATTCAGGAAGGGAATGGTAGGAATATGCCCAGTAGACCACCAGCCACCTTGATGGCTTATGAGCTGTTCCTGAACTCAGCCTAATACAGAGCCTGGTGAAAGGATGCCAACAAGTCCAGATGGCTGCCCCATATTCCAAAGAGGAGCCCCCAGCCTCTGGACCAAATGCTGGAGCTGCCTGCAAGAAACAGTAAGAGACCAGCAAGGACTAGCAAATGCCAACTCAGCAATATTTCAGTGATCCATTGATTTCTGTGTTTCTCACAGTAGCATTTATTGGTAGCAAAGTTGATTCAACCAAGGCTGCAGCCCTCCACTCCAGCCTGCTGGTGGGGTGGGGTGGAGGGTCAGAACAAAAGATTAAACAACTCCATGATGCATCCTATGGAAGAACCCCTCCCTTGATTGATGTCCAGCTCTCTTTCTCTGTCCAGCACGTCATAATGTGCCCCACACCCCAACCAGGAACATTCTCTGGAAGAGAAAATCTTTGCCAAAGGCACAGCTTACGTCGTCCCCACCCCACCCCAAGCCCTCCCACGAGTTGCTGCCCCTCCCAGGAATTCATATGGATAGGGAATCCATGGGGATAGCAGAGTCTGGCTCACCCTCTTCCAGGGACTAAAAGACCGAGAAACCAACAGCCAAAAGGAACCCACCAGGAGGACAGTGTGGCAACTGCGTATAAGGAAAGGTTGGTCTCTCCAGCAAGACCTGATACAATTTTCCCCCACCCAACCTCTCCATTGGGCAAGGCTTGGGAGCTATTTCTGCATGGACCCTGTTGTGGCTAGCACCTGGTTGTGACTCCAGGGCTCTTCTCGTCTTGGGGAAGAAGACCCAAAACAGCTTCACTGGGTTGCTCCAGGGCCTCTAGGGAGAAATTGATGGGCCAATAAGGAACAAGGAGGAACAGCTTCTTCTGCCTTTATTTTACAATTTCTCACGAAATATATTTACATCACATGGATGTTTGCCTCCATGCAGGACATAGGCATATTGCATAAGTGGAAACTTTTATGAAAATAAAAATAAGAAAGCACTTAACTGAGATTTCAGCTAAGAATCTAAAATAAAATCTCTTAACAGCCAGAGTGAGAAATGTTAACAGCAAAATTGGTTCTTGGTGGAAACCATTCATCAATAGGCTCCAGCTAATTAACCCTGTATAATCCAACACCATTCACAGAACACAACCCTGGGAAACTAGTACACTATACTGAAGTTCACTCACCTGGAATCTTCCTCAGACTACCATCATCCTTTTGAGGCATGTTCTCCTCATTTCAGATATCCCACCCCGGGTGCCCTACTCAGAGAACCATCATGTCACTTGGGACCCATCGAGACCCAAAAAGCACTGAACCCAGGGACAGAATTACTCCTTAATAAAGGTATGGAATTACCTTGGTAGCTTTGGAGAACAAATGTATCTCAAGATATTAAAGATCAGTAACAAATGTGACCAGACTTCTTGAGAAGTTGCTCTGCCAGCTCTTCCTCACAGCGGTAAGTATGAAAAACTGGGAAAGGAAGGTCAGCACAAAACATTTCCACTTTTTAAAAGTTGTATGCAAAAATCATTTCTTTAAATCAGCAACTATAAAATTACAAACACTTTCTGAAGTAACTGCACCTGTAGATGGTAGAAAAAGGATTTCAAAAGCAAGACTTATATGGACTTTGCATAAAATGGGAGGGAAATAAGGCCAAGTGTCCAAAGTGATGCTGGAGAAATGGGTCTGCAGGTGCATGGGCTGTAGAACAGTTAAACAGGAAGTGACCACAAGGAAGTGGCTGTCATGAGACAAAATCAGTACATCTCAAAAGATGCCATTCATAATTTTGCTCTTTGCTGCAGTTTTGGCACTTCATTGGAACAGTTCTGTTTTTTCCTCAAGAATCTGAACATCGAGAAAAGATTAACAGCTCTTGGGCGCATCTTGCAAATACAGTAATTTATGTTCTGGCAAACACAGAAACAGAGTCAAACATTCCCACAGACTTGCACATACATGCATGAGTCAGACATCACAAGACAGATCAAGGATCTTGGGGCTGGAAGTTTGCATTTCCTCGCTGGAATTTCAGGCTGTTTCTTCAGTGGACCGTGTTTCTGACTTGAGCCGGACAAACTCCTTGGCAACTTCGTCGCTGGTCCTCTGAGAAAGGATCTGCAGGATTGTCAGCCCAGCCCCATCAACGCAGATGTTTCTCAGCAGAGGGTGCCACACAGGGCCACAGCCACTGCTCTCTAGGAGGGTCCGCAGCTGGACCACAGCCACCCCAATGAGCCGGTCTTCCCTTGCAAAGCAGTAATCCTTCACGGAGAGGTGCAGCTCGTAAGCACTGGGCCGCTCTTCGCTGCTCAGGAGACTAGGAAGAGGGGAGAGAGGGGTATTCAGAAAGAAAACCCCCAGCCCCTCAGGGAGGTTCATCCACACAGGCAGCAAAAGCCACTTACAACTGGAATGTCTCGTTATATTTTGGGGACCAGGTGTTGCTTTTGCTCTTGGTGCCATGCTTCCGCCGCTTGTTGCTCAGGCTGGGCCCCAGAATGCAGACCTCCACGAAGGGGCGGAAGGTGGCACTGGTCCGCCAGACAAGGTCCTCGATGGCTACAACTGCACACAGCAATGGAGACCACAAGCAGAAATGGTTCATCACATGGCAGGCTTATGGACCCACTTGCTCAACCTCTCCGCCTCATCTTACTTCATGTAAGGAGCAGCGGAGAGGATGAGCTGCCAGAGGCTGAAATGATGCTGACCCTTAACTAATTTCTGTATTCAGACAACACTGACCAAGTGACCAAGCAGTTTGTCTTGAGACACTGATTCTTCTGTGCTGGAAGCAAATGACCACAGGTCACTCAGTCATGCAGCAGCCATTTTTAAAGGCCACCCAGCCAGCACCCCCTGGCTTTGAACGATCAGAAAACAAAACTGAGTTCCAGCAAAGGAAAAAAGGAAATCCCACTCTCCCTCCCCATCCCTCTTGGGCCCTTTCCAACTGCCTAGAGGAGCCGGCTTCTCCACAGAGGTGGGGTGGATTTGGGACAAGGAAGCATTGCAAATCATACCTTTGACAGTGACTTTATGCTCGCCAGTTGCAGGGTGCGTTGCCAGATCCACCTGGAGATTAATCTTCCCCATGATGTTGTCCGTTGTTTGGCCTGCATCAGAAAGAAGATTGTGACTTGCAGACAGTGCCCAGAAATATGGCTTATGCTACAACCAAATGCTGGCATTGTAGGAAGTAAGTTCCACAGAGGCTCCTGAAAAAGTAAGAGCTCAGAGCTGAGACAAATGCACTGGGATGGAAAGGCCTTAGGAAGACATGAGTAACGTGAAAAATGTTCTTCATCAATATTCTTGTGTCCCTGTAGCAGAAAAGTGGTGCATGCAGATGAAAAGTGCCCTCAGGAGAAATGCAGCTTGGAAGCAAGATCCGATGAGTGTCCCTCTACAAAGGCAGCTGCTGCTGTTTCCACCGTCTTTCCCTCCATCAACAGAAGCCTAAGCGGCACCCATCCACTCCCTGCAACCACCAGGCTGAGCCCAATGATACTCTGCAGGAAGCCACACCAGCAGTTCAGGAAGGTCAAACTGATGGAACAAGTGGTCTGGCTGGAAGAGGCCTGTGGTGAAGGCAATAGCTCAGTGTATGGCTGAGCCCAGGCTGGGTCTTCCCAGCTTCACAGGGGGGGATTGTCTGGCTCCTTGGCATAAGCATATTTTAAAAGGAAGATAGTGGAGTGGTCCCTACAATCCAACCACATTGGATGGGAAAGAAAACTCCGTTCAGGGAGACCGGTTTTTCAGGCCAATCACAGCAGAGGTGAGGCGGGGTGATGCCCAAAGCAGCCCTCCCCACCTGCTCAACAGCCGCTGCTACTGCTAATTTAGAGGCACAACCTTTTGTTGACAAAATTCATTAAGGCAGCCACTCTCTCCCGGCCAGAGCAGGGTTCAGAACTGGATGTGAATTGCAGGGCAGGCTGGGGAGAGAGGCCTCTGCCACAAGCACCATCTTTCCTGTTCAAGACTGAGGTGCTGATTTAACTCACCCTCCAGGCTGCAGTGGCGGCACCCATTTCAGCAAAGCCGACAGACTTCCCTGGCACAGTTTCACAGCTGTGGAACTGTGCTGGCCCCACTGAAATGCCACAGGGAGCTGGGCCTGAAGGGGCTTGTCCTTCAGGCAGCATCAGGCCTCCCTTCCCCAAGCCTGCTTCAGAAGAAGAACTCAAGGGCAGCAGGGCTCCAGGGGCTGCTGGGGCAGAGGGATCTTTAGAAGTCCCCTGGGCAGCTCCTACCTCTGCATGCAGCCCTTCTGTCTAGGGAGGAAGGCTCCCTGATTAACTGGACATCTCTGCAACTTGGCAGGCAAGAGGGCAGACTGTCTTAAAGGACCTGACTTAATTACAGGTAGTCCTTGATTTGCAACCATTCATTTAATGACTGTTCAAAGTTACAATAGCACTAAAAAAGTGCCTTATGACTGTTTTTCACACTTAACGACCATTGCAGCATTCCCATGGTCACATGATCAAAATCTGATTGATTTATTTACGACAGTTGCACTGTCCCAGGGTCGTGTGATCCCCTTTGGTAACCTTCCCAACTGGCTTCCATCAAGCAAAGTCAACGGGGGAAGCCAGATTCACTTAACGATTGTATGAGTCAATTAACTGCAGTGATTTGCTTAACAACTAATAAAAGAGGTCATAAAATGGGGCATAACTCACTTAGCAACTGGCTTGTTTAGCAACGGAAATTTTGGGTACCATTTTGTAGTTGTAATGAAGGACTACCAGTATTCTCCCACATCGGAATATCAGCTTAATGCAAGTGGAAAACAGAGAGTCCCGTGGCAGCTCTAGTGGGGGCAAATGGGTCCTGGGGAAAATGCATTCACAAATAAAACCACAACCGAGCACCCACAACGATGAGAGCTTTGCATCTAACCTGCTAATGTTGCAATAATCTGTTTGACCAACTAGGGAAAGCATAAGCAATTTGGCCATAGAGCAACAGAAAACTTTACCACAGCATCCCTGATCCCTCCTGTTGGATTGGAAGAGACAGATCAGACTGCTTATGCAGTCACCAACTCACTCACTTTGAGAAATCTGGCTGTTGATGAATTTCTTGACCAGAACATCTGTGGTCTGTGTGTACAAATTCAGGGCATACTTGAGAGACTGCAAGTTTGGACTTTTCTCCAGGAAGCTCTTTTTCAGCCCGTTGCCTCCAGCATGAAAATATTGCTAAAAAAAGGCAAAGAGATGAGAATTCATCCACCTACTCTCTGGTCCTCCAAGATGATTTGAGCAGCTCAGGTGCCAGAGGCATAAGCACTAGGCATAGGAAGCCAGTTGCCCTCATAGGAAGCCGGTCACCTTAACCGAGAGTTAAACCGAAAGGTTACTTTGGAAGATGACAGATGCCCACAGCCAGAAGCACCTGGCTGACATGACTGACTCAGCCAGGTACTGTCTGGGGGAAACACCCTCACAGATGCTCTGGTCAAACTGAGAAATGTGAAAAAGATGGAAAAACCTATTTTTGTAAGATTCTATCTGAGGGAGGCTTAACTCTCCATTAAAGCATCCCTCTTTGTATGAAACAGCTGACCAGGGAACGATGGTTCAGCTACAAGCAATCCCCACCTGTTTAGCATTAAACACAACTTCCTGCAACCCTAGAACTGGCTGGATGTAGCTTTTTACTCCACATACTAGCCCAATTCCCATCCCCTCTCTGCCTCCCCGCCCGATCTAGGGCACAAGGCCTGCAAACTGGGTCCCTCTGTGCTTGACTGAGCCCTGTCAAAAATGGACCCATCAAGGCCACAAAACACATTTGACGGCACCCTCAAGTACGCAATGAAAAGCATAAACGCGGAAGGCCACGACCAAGAAAAGCTGTCATGCAAACCAGAGTGGTTATGCAAGCTGGCTTGTAGCCCTCTGAAATTTGCCGTCAATTTGTTGTGTTTCTCTGCTAAAGAAAAGAACAAGCACTGAATTTTTCCCTACCCGTCTCACTGCTATTTCTACTACATCTTCAAACATACATGGCAATTCTATGTTCTTCAACTTAATGAATTTCATAATGCAAAATGAAGAGTTAGAACAGCTTTTAAAATGAGTCTTGGGAAAAACTGGGTAACATAAAAGAGATTCTCCCCCAATGAAGACCTCATCTCTTTCCCTCTTAACCACAGTATGAGGAAAGAAAACTCTTTTTTATCCTGCCAGGCTTCTCAATTGTCCTGATACTCTTGCCTCCAGCTGGGGCTGATGTATATTTAAATTGACCAAGTTTAGTCTCCTCTTGCTACTAAAAGAGAAATCTAATTAATGTATGGCATTTTTAAATGGTTAATTATTTTTGCCTTTTCAAATCCAAGTCAACCCATTTTCCAGGTCCAAGGGAGGGCAGCCTGCTGCGCTGGTGCTTGAGAGTGTCAGAGGCTGGAGGCTGGACAGATGGAGAGACAGACTCGTTTCCTCCCCTCCTCACTGCTGTTCCTGTCCCTAACCCCAACCCACTGGGCATACCCTGCTGCCACTCTACCTTGATGGTGGCCAGAACTGCTTCCATTATTGCACACTGCCTCAGGGTCAGGCTTTTTGCTTCTTCTCGGATGACGTGATCCTGGGAAAAACAACAGCAATTTGCATGTGAGACATCTTCCTGCAACGACCATACCCTCTACCTCACGTATGCAACAAGCCTTCTTGCCATGGGAATACTCCAACAAGGTGGCCACTTCCCTCTTTCAGCAAAGGCTTCTCTGGAGAGAACATCATCCTCACTGCAGAGTCTGGAGTCTCTAAGAAAAACCTCCCCAGGCTAAGATGGAGGAGAAGTTGCGCCAGGGCCATCAGCCTCCAGGTTCAGGTGCTATCCCCGAATTACAGTTATTGGCCAAAGAAGGCCATTGTCTCCCACCGTGTCTTGGGGTTCTCAGAGACCTCTGGTCAGCCTGGCTCTTGCCCCTCTCTGAAAGGCAATAGCAAGCACAGGCATCTTCTGCCCCTCTCTTCCCTCCCAGGCCGGCTTACCTTCAGCTTCGACAGCTGGCTGAAATCTCTGGCTGCACTGAGAATCATTGGAGGGCCCTGAGGAGAAGCCAAAGGGGGGAAGGTGAGGCACAATTCCCAAGCCATCCTCATCTCCAGGCATGGGGCAGGGGAGGCCCAGTGGAGTCTCGGGACCCTCAGGCTCTGTGCTTGAGGGAAGGATGCAACACAAAGAGGGCACCTGAAGGCCGCCAGCTGAGTGCTCCAGAAGAGTGTCCACCATTCCTTCTTGCAAAAGGAGCTTCATCTTTGGAACATCTGCCCTTCAAATGAGTGAGGGGCTAAATACCTGAACATCTCCCTTGTCAGGGTGGGTAAGCCACATTTTTACAGCTGAATGCAGGAGGAGCTGCCCATGGATTGGGGTGGCTTGGAGACTCACAGTTTGGTCTGCCAGGGGTGGGAGCACAATCTGCCTTTCTATTTTGTTCAAGACCAACTTCCAGAGCTCTTTCAAAAGCCGCTTCAGAACAGTCTTCTCACAGATTTTTGCTGAGGTACTTAAGCTGCAAAAAATAAACCGTTTCTGGTCTTGTGATGCAATGCCTATTTTACCCATGTCAGCCAGCGGCATCTGCCAGCAGGTGAGCAGCACACCTGGATGCAGCACACTCGATGAGGCCTTCTCAGGAAAGCCCAGATGCTTCCCCAGCCCCCTCCCCAAGGACTGTGCAGGAGGGAGACTCGGGTCCAACCCTCTGCCCAGGGAGGGAGGGCCATTGTTTCCAGCAGGAGAGCCTGGGTCTCCTTCTGCCCCAGGAGCAGGCCAGGGGAGCAGGAACAGCCAGGAGGAGCTGTCACTGAAACTAAGCCAGAGGTTGGGGGGAGGGAGCAATGAAGAGAGGGTTGGAAGAGCAGGAAGGTCTCATCTAGAAGGCATGAGCATTAGGAGGATGCTGGGCAGAGGCTTCCTGCTTAGCATGGTGCCCACCCTTCCCCCCATTCACCCCGGCTGTAGCACCATCTGTCAAACGTGTGCCAGTTCATTGGCACCCGCCTCCTGTGCTTACGTTTTGTCGAGGAAATCCATCAAGGGGCGTAGCACAATCTCAGCCTGCACGGCGCTGTGGCTGCTGGCTGCTCCATCTCCTCGCATCCGATTTAACTCCAAGCTCATTTGGGTCACACACTCCTCAATGAGAAGCTGGAAACTAGGAGAGGAGAGGGGAGGGGATCCAGATGCCTCCTGCTGCTGCTGACCACCATCTCTGTCCTGCTGGGGCTCTTGCTGCTGCCCTCCTCCCCTTCCACAGCTTTGGCTTCACCAAGTGAGCCAGATGATCTCATGGGATCGGCCAGGGATGGGGGAGGAGAGAAGCTGCCTTGGGTCTGGGCTTCCTAGGGCCACTTGGACTGAAAGCCCTTTACGGAACAGACACACCTTCTTTTCCACCCCTTCCTACTACTTCTACTGCCGCCTCCAGGTCCCTGTTTCATCCCCCCTTCTCTTCCCATGGTTGCCAAAAAAACAGTTGTGTATATATTATTGTTAAATGGAATATATTGGTAATCTGACTGTTAGGAAAATCCCTTATCAGTCAAGTTACTAAAATTGGAAACAATAGCACATAAACGCATAACAAAGCCAGAATCACAGAATGCAAAAATCATCTAAAATTTATCCAGACTGAAGCTTATTGTACAGCCACCACCAAACAGGAGCTATTGTCAAGCACTCCAAGCTCCATTTGTCTTAGAGAAGCCTTGATCCTAACCACATCGCCCCTTAGAGGCACACGGGTTCTCCAACCGAGGCCCTGGGCTGCCCTTTCTCCTTTCTGCAGGACTTTTCTGGGCTCAAGGAACAGGTGACGTGGCTGTGGATCTAGAGGAGGAGGAGGAGGAGAGGCCCATAGAGAGGAGCATGTCCTTACCTGGCACTGTAAGTCAGACCAAGCTCATCTAGGACGCTGCTGAGCTTGGTCTGCAGCTCTTTCAAGATCTCACTGGCCTCGGGGTCCAGCTGAAAAGAAGACAGGGGCGAGATTAGCCACTCTTCCTCCCCGCCCTTTGGTCTATTCTCCAGCATAATCAGCAGTGAAAGAGAGAAAAATACCCATCCATTAGATGGCATTAATGGAAAACGAACGTGGAATCCAGCACATCCTGGGCCGAAAGGGGAATATCCCAATGCTGCAGGTAGCACCTTCTCAAGACACTAACAGGGGCCGCCTTCCCCTTTTCTGCCTTCTGTGGGGCCACCTGGAAGGTGAAGTGAACCCATCCAAGGTCCGGAGGAGTCACCTCTCAGTTGAGTCAGGGATCCCACACCCAAGGGCTCCACAGAGCAGCCCATATCTCCCCCTCCACCCCGTTTGGAGCTAGTTGGATCTCAAGAGGGAGTTTCCACGCTGTTTTGCATTAACAGTGGAGAGAAGCCAAGCACCCGGCAATGAAACATGTGCAAGGAGCCCTTGGAGGCCATGCCAGTTCTCGAGGAAGGGCTGCGAAGAAGAAGCTGTTGGTGACAGCCCAGGAAGGGTGTGACTGTGCCGGCTTTGTCCCCAACAGAGCTTGGCAGCATCTGGTATGCCTCAGGCACACTTGGTGCCACCTGCCTCCTACCCATCTCTCGGGCACACCGGAGGTAGCAGTTCTCAGCAAGCGCAGAGTGCCCTCAGGAAGGGGAGGGGACACCATGCAAACCTCCTGAAACTGTCATGGAGATTGTGCGGAGTGTTGGGAGATGGGCTCAGGAACCTCACCCTCTGCCTCACCAAATTCACTGATAAACAGCAGTTGGGGGACGGGGATGTCAACAGCTTCTTGGAGAATTCCCAGTTTTGTCCTGGTGTTCCCTTCAGGTGTGTGCCTGTTTGTGTGCCAAGGGACACTGGAGGATACTGCCTAGAGCTACATGTGGTGAGGTGGGGGGAGCACGAGGAACTGAATCCATCAGACTGAAATGGTGGAGGCCCTTTAATCCCTTGACAAGTTTCTCGCAGCCCCCCCTAAACTCCAGAATGGATGTGGCCCAGCCAGCTCTCGGGCAACTCCATCCTCCCATCCATGGCTGCAGGAGACCAGCTTCTTGCCCTGGGCTCTGTGCCCCAGGCTCTCCCAGGGAGCTTCTGCTGGGGGTCTGAGGGCCCCTCCTCTGTCTCTTAAGGCTGAGTGGAGAGAGAAGGGGGTTGCTGTGTTCTGCAGTCCTTTAGTGAGGCTGGTAGAGATTGGGGAACTGATCATCTCTCACCTGGACACAGTAGAGGGGAGAAGGTCAAATGTAGCCCCCTCCTGGAAATGTTGCAAACAACGCTGGGGGCCACTTGGTGTGCGTTTGTGTGGAAGGGAGAGCGAGGGAGCCTGTGCACATATATAGCTGCTGCCGTTTACCCCACCCTCATCGTGGGCCTTAATCTGCACCATCTGAAGCTGGCTTTTTCCTCCTTCCTGATCAGTTCTAGAAGGAGTCAATCAATTGAAGTCTGAGAGCTTCAGATCTACCAGATCATTTTGAAAGCCAGCCGCCTCATTCTCTGCACCCAGAGACCCATTTTCTGCCCACAGAAAAATAAGCGCACAGATTGGGCAGCCAGGAGGATCTTTCTGATGAATGCACATCTCTGCAGGCACCCCTTTCACACACAGACCCACAGACCTCACCCACGCAAGTCTTCTGCACCCAAACAAATGGCTGGAAACAGGACACGTGACAACATCACAAACCTTGTAGGAAAAGTGTTTGCCTTCTTGCTTCTTCTCGATGGCAAATTAAAGGCAGTAGACAAAGACAGGATGACACATTACAGACAAACATAGGCACCTCCACTCTCCCGCCCCGAGCTATGATTGGCAGGACTGGGAACAAATCAATTCCATGCAAGGTGCCCAGAGGAGGATAACCTAGACAGGTGGCTGAACTTGCTTACTGGGTGGCTCTCCCCTGCTTGCCCACGACAGGGCACAGCAGAAGAAGAATCAGGGAATGGGGTGCAAGGCTGGGCTGGCATCGTCTCTTTCTCTCAGCTTTTGGCCAGGAAAGAGGACCAGTTCTTTGGGCCTGGGATGGCAGGGAGCTCTTAGGTCATCATTGCATTGGGAAGGGGCCAATGACTCTAGATCTGTCCTTCTCTGCATTTGGGGGATTTGAAAAGGCAAAAATAGTGCCATTTTGCCCTCCTCCAAATAGAAACACTAGCAATGTGGGGGGAACCACTCAAACTACCTAGTCCCCATTTCAAAAAAGCTAGATCTGACATCTTTACAGAAGGAATAAATGGGGAAGACTTGCCTGTGGCCTCCTATTGTTGAACCAAGATTAAATAAGCTGACGGGCTCCCAGCCTGTTGGAGGAAGAGAAGCCCCTGGCTTCATCACAGCAAATGCGGTTGCTCTACCCCATGTCTACAGATCCATGGCTGTGGAAGCCAAGAAGACTTAGAGACAGGCCTATTCAACATCTGCCAGTCATTGGCCACTTCCAAGGCCCTTTCTATGGCAGATGCTGCCCTCCTTTCTCTTCTTAGTCACCCAATGCTTGGGAAGAGTTCAGTGTTCAGTTGAAGGTGGCAGCCGACACTCACCTCTTTCCCACCCATGGCTTCAAACATCTTCTCAAGCTGTACTCGCAGTTGCTGAATGTTGTTCATCAAGATACAGGGCTGGAGACCACAAGGACGAAAGTTGTCTTAGCTGCTGGGAGAGAACTGACTGGGCAAGAGAGCACAAAGTGTGGTGAAAGGAGCAAAAAGGCTGGTTGAGTAGTCCTCAAAGACCACCTCGAGATTTGTAAACCACCTGACTAAATGAGGCGCTGGAAAGAAGAGGTGCATGGTGGCAGGCACACTGAGCAAAGGGCTCCTCTGTTCTCACATTATTTGGCCAACCCATTCTCAGCAGCAAAGCCCTCCCTTTCCCACCCAAGTGATCAGCTTGACTTCGGTGCCATTTCTCTCTCACTGGCAATTTCCACCACCAGGTACACAATTCTGATTCTCTTCTTCCATGCCACTGAGCCTGCCTCTTGGACTGTGAGCTAAGCAGAGCTCTAAACATATCATTATGGCTATTTTTCTTCATTGGATGGCAGGTATCCTGAAAGCCAGTTCCCCTTGCCCTTGCCTCTTCCTTCCAGGGGTAGGATTGAAGAGAAGAAGGAAATTCAAGAGGAAAGGCAGAGTGGAAGATGACCAAAGGAAGGTTCTCCATCACCATGGCAAAACCAGTATTGCACCTGAGAAGAGGGGATGTTCTTTACTTTTCTAGGGATTATTCTGCTCATGGCAACTACCTTGATGCCTTCTGTCCACTGTAGGAAAACAACTTTGTGTACTGAAAAACACCCCAGCCTTTCTCTGGACCCACCATAGTGTTGAATGTCATGGATTCCTAAGAATCAGAAGACTGACCGATGGAGAAGATCATCTGGCTCTCCACCCACCAGACAGCTGTGTCTGCTGATGTGACAAATTGCTATGTTGGAGAGAGAGTGAGAATGTGCAGCTCTTGGCCAAGTACCCAGTCCTAAAATTAGATGACTGCCATAAACATCAGGCCAAGACAATCCTCCTACCTTTTAGACAGGAAGAATCAAGACTTCATGAAACATGGCTGGAGGATGAACCGTACCAATCATTAATTCTTTGACTGACATGTCAGTCCTTAGCAAATACTGGGTTCTTGGGCCTCCTTCACATCAACTGGACCTTGTTTTTCTGGCAACACCCCCCCCCTCTCCTACAATTGGCCTCAGATTAATATCAGTTGGCTTCTCCGAGCTCAAATTGCTTGGTCATGTTTCCACTAAGGTTTGGGAAGAGGTGTCCTCAACAGATGGGCTAGCTTTTATTTTGGGGAAAAAGGATTCCCATTCCAAGGAGTTGTAAACCCCTCATCAGCTGATCAGCAGCCTCAAGATGCATGGTGCCTGGACAATATCTTTGGTTAGCCAGTTGCCAAAGGCTCTGGAAAGGAAGGAGATGGCATTGCCATGGCATGGCTAGCTCTGATAATCATTGCCATAGCAAGGCTGGGTCTGGCTTAGGCTGGCTGTTGTGAAGGGTCCCTGGTTGCTCCCTTAGCCTGCAAAACTGCCTTTTAGGCTAACTGATCAGTGAAACAAAAGAGATCTCAAAATACCAAGGAAGTGATTGCAGAGCACAAGCTGATAGGATCATTATGCAACAAAGGAGAGTGGAAGAATTTACCTCCTCCTCTTTCCCCTTGTGCTCTTTGATTCCCTATTGATCATGCAATGGTTACAAAACACAGTATTAAAGTTGAAAAAATAGCAATTAAACTTTGCTCACCACATTTTCCTTATCACAGTAAGAACTGAAATCCTTTGTTATAATTGCAGCATATTGAGTAAGCACTTTGTGGATTATCTAGAACAAAAGAAACAAGTTACTGTGGAACAGCTACTATTCGAAAAGATGACACCATCTGGGCTATTCTGGGAGTCAGAGGAAACAAAGCTAAGACCACCCTCAGAAGAGCGCTGAGATCATTGCATCCTTCTTCATGTCAGAAGCTCTGAGACAGGCCTTCCTATAGAGATGGCAGTTATGTTGACATTTTTAGAGCTTAATGTATCCTAAAGAGCAGTTGCTGGAAAATGATTTATAAAGAAGGGTACAAGAAGATCTCTAAAAGTATATCTCTTCTAGCTAAAACTGCTGAAGCCCAAGGAAGTCATTTACTAAAACTGAATAGGGGTGGGGGAAGAGTTGGTGGAAAAAAGGTGCATCACAACAGCCCCACCCTAGAGAGACAAGGGAGTGCTTCAATCCAATAAATGGAAACAGGCCATTCCTGGTAGCTTCTCTGAAAAGCTGGCCTGGCATCTCTCCAGTTGTCAGGTGAAGATGCTTCTGTTCATTTAGACCTTTTTATAACTTCTCATCTTGACCTCTCCTTTTAAAATTCATATGTTTGCATTTGTTTTTTCTTCTGAGTGGTAATGTTACATTTCATGTTGTTTTATCTTTGTTACATTTAAACTCTTATTGCTTTTATCTCATTTGGTTCTCTAAGCTGCCCAGACAAACCTATTATGGGGCTGGTGGCTTCAGAAAGAAAAGAGATATTAAAAATGGCATATGGCTTAATAAGAACCCTAAAATGCCTCCCAGTTCAAAGGCCACCTCCTCATGTGAATTGGGCAGTGGGGCACAGAGCAGGAAAGTTGGTTTCAGGAGGACTCTGGATTCCTAATCCTGTTTGCTCTCGTATTCTGGGTTATCTTATTTTTCTTCCAATGGAACAACCTGGCTTCAATGGAAACCACATTAAAAACCCATGTCTTTCTGGGCCTAGATGGATCCAAAGAGATTACCTTGCTGCTGAATCTCAATGGGAGTTCTGTCAAGCTGGTATCTTTGACTTCTTCTCTTGAAGTCTCCAAGAATTTCTTATGTAACCTATGGATTCCTAGTTTTCTAGACAGATCACAACTAGCTTAGAGAACATCCTTTTTGCCCTCAGATTTATTTTGATATGCCACAGAGAAAGATGAGGTACTCTTTGATGGGACAAAAAGCAAAAAAGTCTCAAGGCAGGACATCCATTTTATTCTGTGGTGATCTGCTCTCACATGCAGCTCAGGCTCCACTACAAAGGCATCAATGCAACACAAGAGCACCCACCTTTGCAAATTTTCTCATAAGATGAGAAAGTGCTGCAGGATTAGGACATTCCAGCTTCTTTATGATCTCAAAGCTCTGATTGAGCTGTGTGAAGATATCCACCACTGAGCAAGAGAAGAGTGCGTGATCTGAGGTGGGCTGGAACTGCAGGGACAACAAGAAACAACACATGCTGTGCAGAAGCCTGGCGTGAGGAGCTACCTCTTCTCCTGCTTGAGCGGGGGACTGGACTAGAAGACCTCAAAAGTCCCTTCCGGATTCTATTCTATTCTATTCTATTCTATTCTATTCTATTCTATTCTATTCTATTCTATTCTATTCTATTCTATTCTATTCTATTCTATTCTCTTCTCTTCTCTTCTATTCTATTCTATGATGTGCTGTCGCTTCAGAATAGTAGTCTTCCAGGACTGGATTTGAAGAAAGAGGGCCCTGGAAGTAACCCAAGTCTATCGCTTAGAGAGGCTACAATGCAGTGCCACCCAATGGATACTCCTGTTCGGGGACATTTAATGATATAACAGCAGCTCCCTTCCCTTTGTTGGGATGTGGCCACAGCTCCTGTTCGTTCTAACTCTCTGCTGTCTTTTTATGGGAAAAGGGCCGGCAACATCTAGCAGGGGTTAGGGTGATGAGGGTTTTGGCCTTCACTTCTTGATGCTGCTCACCCCATCTTTCTTGTCCCTTCCCAATGCGCCGTGGAGGAATTCCATGGAGACATCCTCATTTTCATCTAGCCACTGCATGACAAATGGCTCAAACCACCTAGGAGTGGACACACACGTGTGGGTGAGTTTTCCAGGTAGTCTTTTCTCTTAAAACCAGATTCCATTAAATTCATATTAGGACTGTACACTCAGAGTAAAATGGATTGGTGTAAATCCATTGCTGGTGTAAATGGATGTGTCTTCTCTTAGACATAAAATCTTGCCCCTTTCCACCATGATGGCACATAGATAAAGAGAACTGTCTTTTGCAAATGGGAGCAGAAATCAGGTTAGTTTAGTGGCCCTTTCAATTGTTCTGTAAATGGTCACAGAAAGAAACTGCACCTTACATTTTTGGGGGAAATGGTCTGAAAAAGGAAATGCCATGCACAAGTGAAGGCTGGGAACCTGCTTTCTGCCTCCTGCAACAATGAGGGCTGGCTTGATCACCTGGTCTGCTGCCCTCTTCCCCTGTAGAATCTTTTCAAACTACCTTCTGTTCATTGCAATGATGGAAAAATGAGCTATCATTTCTCCCTGGCATCTTTGTGGGAAATGAGGAATCAAGGAAGGGGTTGGCCTTCTTTGAGTTCTAAACGCATCCCAGCTTTAAGGGGTTCCAGTTTGAAGACTAAGCTGGACAAAGATTGAAAGTAGTCTGCATTCAATTTTCAAATGAAAGCTCAGTCCAGCCCTCCCTTTCCCCATGCAACCTCCATCCCAACCTCACTTACAGAGAGTATTCAGGCACCGTGTCTCTGAATGAAGGGAGCTCTTGCACATATTCATTATAAAACCATTTCACTTTGAAGTGTAAATTCATATAGTCTGTGCTCTTGCATAACCTATGCTTTTCATGCTCTGTAATGGACACAAGACAATACAAAGATCGAATAAAGCTGCAGCCATAAATAAGATTATGGTCTCCTGGCACACATTTTGGCTCCAAAAAAATAAATCATACTGGACTTTCACAACTGACAGCTGCTTAATTTAATAGCCTGAGTAAGCGAGCCACTACCCAAGACAACAGAATATTCTGCGATATTCCTCTTCCCCAACTGTAATCCACAGGCTCGGCAGGAGCTGCACATGATGAAATAGGATTCTACATTTTGCTTTCAGAAGTGCTCAATCCATCCTCCTTTTGAGTAGACTGTGACCAAGCTGCCCTTCACCTCTCTGGTGACCAAAATTCTTGTCAAGTATGGCAAACAACTTGAATCCAAGTTCTATGAGGTTTTTGGAAGCCCCAAGTTACAGTCAACCTCTCTTCTCTTAACCAGACCTATTGCCAGGCATGGAAGATACATTTCCTTAGGCGGGCATTTTGCTTCATCTGAAACCTAATACTGACCACATTGTCTGGTTCCCTATCATCCCCTTCCACCTCCTATTACAAAGATTGTTTTTGGAGGGGAAGCCAAGCATCTTCAAAGACTCTTCCCAAAAAGGGAAGTGATTGGGGCTGAGTGGAATTGTCCCTCCTCCTGCCCCAACAAGCACACCCTGAAATTGCAACCTGCCTGACCACCTCTGCTCCCCTTACCTTCCAGAGCAAATTTCATATCCTGTGCAAAGAGGATCCACATGACTTCTGCGCTGACTTTGCCCATGTTCAGTTCCTGAGGGAACCTGCAAGAAACCAAGCAGGCGCAATCAGCTCTTCCAGCAATAGAGCAACCCTTTCTGGCTCCTTGATGCTTCCCAACTTGAAAGTCTGGGGTCTTAAGTCAACTTGGGCAGAGAGGAGGAACCAGGGATGTTTTGCAGGGCCAAAGGAGAGGTGCCCAAAAAGTGACTCCAAGGCCCCTTTGGCAACCATGAAGAAAGGAACACAACTGTTGCTGAGGGAACTGATGCATTCCTCCCCTTGAGAGGATGCAAGGGTGGGTATTCTAAGGGACTCCCAATACACTGGAGTAAGTTGCAGAAAAGCCTCAGCTTGTAATATGAAGTCAGAGGCAAGTGGGAAGGGAGGTAAGGGATCTTAGCTCAAGAATGTTGGCCTTTCTCGCCTTACTGGTTCAGGACAGGAGTGTAGGTAGCTCCGTCTTCATCAATGATGGTGATCATGAGGGTAATGAGCTGGGTCCAGAAATCCAGATTCTTAATTGTTGGACCTTGTTCCTCCCGAGAAATATCTTGCTTCTTACCCTGTTAGCCAAAATGGGGAAAATGCTGCATCTGAGTTTTTCATTTCCAATGCTAAGCAGCGCTGCAGAAAAGACTTTCCAGGATTGCTATTCTTGGCAACTCCTCCTCCTCCACCATCTCTTGACGCCTCAGAAGAATCTCTGCATAAGTACTTGTCTGCTCAGAAACTTCCTCTTGAGGCAGAGTTCTTGTCTTAGGTGAGGAAGTTGCCCAGCTGGACTTTGTGCTTGTTACATTTCCCTTGCATGTAGATTTTGTTTATTGCTGGCCAATTTGTCAGAGTGCCAGTCTGAGAGCTGCCAAACAATCTAATGGTAAACAGCCCAACCAAAGAATCACCAAGACCATTAGAGTTCAATAGACTAACCAGGACCTTAGGAGAAATTTAATACTGCCCCACTCCTTGGTCTTCCAGTATGGATAATTTAGTTGCCAATTTCCCATTTTTTGTGGTCTTTAAAGCTGCTATAAAGGTAGGACAGGACCCAACCTCCCTCTAAGCACACCTGACGCCTCTTGAGCAGAAAAAGTGAGGAAAAGGCACTCACCTGGTCTATTAACTGAGCATAGAGGTCATGGCAGTTATCAAAAATATATCTGTACGTGGAATCCAAACAGGCCCGGACACAGTCTTTCACAACAGTGCTGGCTCGAGGGGGACTCGGCAGCTCTAGAACCTAGACAGGGAGACACAGAACTGACTTACAGGCTTCTCCACTATTTGCAGCAATTACAGTTTTGGCAATTTATCAGACATGGGAGGTCTCCAGCAGCAAGGAGATAGTTCCCTTCCCTTCCATTGGCTTTATTCAAAATTTAAGACCAATATAAAAAAAATCTGGAAATGTTGTGGACTTAGATTCTGGTATGGAAACATCTAGAAGGGAGTTGAACTTACTTTCAGGCGAAAAAATGCAATGCTTGTCAGGAGATCGACAGTTGATTTTAGGTCCTGAAGCCTCTCAGGACTGCTGGCAGGAAAATTATCCTGTAGGTGGGCAGAACCAACAAACATAAAAGCCTGTATGGCAGGCAGCCCCTTTAGTCAGAGGGAGAAGCCCACCTTGCCCATCAACAGTGGGTAGAATAACTGCCCCACACTTCTGGATAAAAGCCAAGACATCCCAATCTAGTGCCCCATTACAGTTCCCCTCCTTCTCAGCTGGCACAGCTAATCAAGGTTTTAGCCCAAACCTGCAACCTTCCCATGAAAGGGGGGGCATAGCTTCCAGTGCCCCCATATGTCCTACATGAGTCAGCCAGACTTGGCTGAGTCAGACTGTTCCCCCAAATCATCTTCCTCCCCATAACCAACTTTCTGCTTTCTCCCTGAAGAGAAGGAAATGAAGAGCTAAGAGTTGAGCTGGGCTGCGATCAAAAGGGCTGGTTCTCCAGAGAGTGGGGAGAGGCTGCAGCCTTCTATGCAGAAACACCCATGTGCTCTGGAAGAAGGAAAGCATACCTACCCTGTATTTAGAGAGATCAATCCTCAAGGAATTGTGCAACTGATCCAGGAGTTTGATGAACTTTTCTCTCTGCATGGTAAACACATGGAGCTGTCAGCAGCAGCTGAAGAGAGGGCTATAGTGGTGGCCCACTGACTAGGAGCTCCCTGGAGGGTGTATTCTATCCTGTTATCCCCAGGAAGAAACAGCCTGGGAAACAACAGATGTGAACACCTGCCCCAATTCCAATGAGAAGCGCCATCTTCCTTGCTATATCAGCCTCTTTTGTGGAAACTAGGTTGCTGGCTATAGTTGGTTAAGACTGTGGTTGGAGAAACAAAATCCCAAGTCAATAGTCAAGGTCGGGAGCAGCAGTGGGCCTCCAGGAAAGCTCAGATGGACGTATCATATTTTCCCCACCCAATGGCTAGGCTGAAGTAAGTATTTCCTAAAGTCGCAGCTGCCTTCAGGCTTTGGTTAAAAGGTTGTCCTTTAGAGAAAAAGTGCTTCTTCAGCACTCACCATGCCCTTGCTGCAATGCTAGAGAAGGCAAGAAGCCAAGAGAATATATTCCCGATCAGGGGATATCAATAGGGGAATAGTCTATAGCAGGGGTGTCAAACTGCCGGCCCGTGGGCCGGACTCGTCACGTGGAAGCCGCGCCCACCCCATTGCCGGCAATGGCAAAACCAGCCGGATACATTGCGCGACATCACATGACGTTGCGGGTTTGACATGCCTGGTCTATAGGACAGAGATTTGAGAAGCATGTGAGCAGGGCTCAGCCTGGCAGTCCTGAGCAGGGACAGCAACTGAGCCAAAGAAGAAACTGGTCTACTCTCTTATGCCCGTGATATCACTTGCTCATTCTCAACCAGCCTGTTCCCATGTGGTCTGTGGTGATCAGTCAGAAAGAAAGCGAACACCTCAAGCAATGGATGAAGCAATGAAAGCCAGCCTCCCAGGGGACTAACATCTGGAGGGCTGCCAACTGTTTCTGAGATAAAAGGGGCTGCGCCTTGATCAACATGCTGAACAACCAAGAAGGAAGAGCATTCCTTCAAGAAGCTTCTGCATCAGCTACAAGAGTTAATTTCTGTCCTTACTCTACTGAGATCTAGAGGTTGTATTTTCACAGAGGTGCCATGATGTCATGATTTCTAGGAAGTCTGTGCTCTTATGCTAAAACTTTTTTTTTTAGCAAGAGATAAATTTTAATTTATCTGAATCAGGCATCATCTGACATGAAACATGTTTTTTGATTTGCATTGGTAAGCCAACTTAATAATCAAACCAATTCAAGTGAGATGACATTAAAGCCATTTCTGTACATCTCCCAATAGATCCATCTGGTTAGATCTCAAGACACAAATCTCAAGACACTTTTGGATCAAATATCTAAAATCAATATTTGCAAACTCATTATATTCACACATCTTACCCATTGCAGTGAGCAAGGCTAACAGTTTTGGAACTGCATAAATTTCCTTAGAAACTATGAAAATGATCAATGTTTATTTCCCTGAGTTTAACAGTGCCATAATGGCTTCTCCATGATCCAAAGCTGTTAACTAATTTACTGTATTCTATTGATTGATCATGTGATTGATCAGTCTCAGGATAGCAAGCATTCCCTCTTTCATCCTCCCTCAACAACCACCCATTAGGTAGGCTGGAATAAGGAGAAAGACGCTCTTCTTGCGACATGAACAGACCAGGACCTGGTGACTGCTGAGCTCCCCAAAGACGCACATTTCCCTAATGTTGGCTGATTATAAGTGGGGTCTTTCTCACACTGCCCTCATCTTGCTGGAAAGGCAGGCTTCTGCCACATTCAGCAGGAGTGGAAAGCATAGAAAGTCACATTGCAAAAAGAAAAATGCTTGCTAAAATATATAAACAACACTAAAGGAAAAGCATTTGTCCCTCAAAGAGACAACACATAAAATTACAGCTTCATCGTAGCACTTCTACAAGGCCCTGGAAGGGCATTCTTCAGACCAGGACAAACTTTTTCAGGAAGCAGGACTGAATCCTTTAGGGTTAACTGAATTGATCTTAGTAAAAGGATGTGTTTTAATGGATTTGTTTTATTCTCATGGATGAAAACTTATGACTGTTTTCTATAAGTTTTTAATTAATGTTAGAGCTTGGGGAAAAAAACAAACTTTCCTGTATTCATAAACTGGAATACTGACTGTGAGGAGCAGTAGAGGAAAATCACACTTACCCCAAAGTTAGTGGCAGCAAATCGATCAGAAGCAGAGACACTGGTGGTGGCTGTGGTGTGAGCATAGAAAGCATTGATGTTGGCTAGCAAAGTACTCATAACAGCTGGAACACCAGGGCACATGTATTTGGAAGACAGGCAAGAGAAGTGCCTGAAAGACAAATCAGGGAGGGGGATGCTATCCAGAGGGGCCAGGTATCTCTCGGCAATAAGATCAAAGGGCTTAAGTACCTTAGGCCTGCAGAAACACAGCTTTCTGTTGGAGCTGTCCAATTTTGTTCTTACTCCAGGCTTTTGAAAGTTCTCCCCTGCAGGGCTTTGGATCAAGACCTGCTTGTTCTCTGAGTAGAACCTTGCCAGAGGATGGTCCTCAAGCAGGCTGCAGACCTATCTTGGGCTCCAGGTTGGCTCAGCCCGTACCCCCCAGAGCAGCAGGTCTGCCTAAGGTTGCCTTTCAGCCACTGAGCACCCAAAAGAAATCTATTCACAAGCACAGCAGGGGGCAGGATGTGTGTCTCTTTCTCATCTCTGGATCAAAGACTGTAAATGCTGCCCGGCACCAGCATTCAAAGGCTAAACTGTAACAAAGCTTCCCTTTGGGTAAACTGCCTTCTGCAGTCAGCCAATGTCTTTGGTGGAAGTGCTGATTAGGAGGGGCTTGGTTGCATTGAAGAAATTCATTAGTATAACCAGAATAATTATTTAAAATGATAAAGCCTTTACAAGGAGCTTTATCATTCTCCTGGGGACAGCTGAAAGGGTGTCATTCAGAACCTGGGCTTCAAGATTGAAATAAAATAATTTGGTGTGTCAAAATCCATTTTTCAAAATGGAGGCAGGCAGACTTCTTTACCTTGCTGGTCTCCCTGAAATTCCGACAATTTGGGCTGTGTGTGGACATCATGAATACCTACATGTTGAGAACCCACCAAGAAACCTCAACTATTTCCATTTCATCTTCTTGAAGAAGATGAGGATGATGAATTGGAATTTCAGTGCTGCCTTCTTGTCTGCTTCTAAATGTGAGCAGCCACACTCACTCCATTAAAGTACTGAGAGCTCTGTAAATGAGCTCGATAGAGAGGTCTTGCTCAGGCTAGGTAATATGGGCCAATTCATGTGAAGGAGCAGGACGTCTCCCTTGAACTGTATGAGAGGTTTCTTTAGGCTTGATAGGGTGAATAGATGCCTGCTTCCTTCTCTGAACATCTCCCTGTCAAGTGGGTGTTCTCAGCACAAGCTTCCACCTGATCTTTCCAGATGACAGCATCAAGGCCTTGCCAAAGTGAGCAGCTGACAAGGCTTGCCATACTCTTGCAGACTCGATCAGTGAGATATACACACACACACACACACACAACACTTCACACTTTGAATGCTGCCTCATGTCCTAGCTTGGATAGTGTTATCCTCTGCACTGGACTATTGAGAATCTGGGATCCTGAAGGGAGGATACAGTTTGGCCTAAAGAAAACAACTGAGGATCAGAGGAAAGAGAGAAATCTGCGTTTCCACATCTACAGAATCCCACTGTGACTGGGCAGGCTATTCACTCCTGTGCTAGGGACTTCCAAACCAAGATTTGCTCAGCCCTGTTGGAACCTAAGGCAGACTTCAGTAGTCAGTTGCTCTCGCTAAAGAGAAGCCTTTGGAAAGACCTGGAGGCAATCCACTAGCCCACTGATTGAAGATGGGATGCTACTTGCGTCATTGCTTGGTAGATGTTTTCAACTCCGTAGCGCATAGCAAATTCATCCACAATCTCTTGTGCAGAATCATCAAAGTAGACCTTCCAGGCATCCTCTCCTCTGACTGCTGGGATCTGAATAGCTCCACCTGCTTTCACCTCAGTCAAGTAGTGGAAGAGGCTCTGAAAGAAACACATTTTTCATTTCAACCAGAAATCTCAACTGGCTACTATCAGAGACAGAATTACAGTATACTTAAGTTTTCATTTTCTTTTGTTGTTGGGCTAGAAGTGTGCTGGGCGCCCTCGATTCTTATCTTGGGAACTTGGGGGAAAGCACTCCAGTTTCCAACCGTCCTTGCAATGTCTGCTCAATAGCAGCAATAGCACTGCCACCCCAGACAAAGGACAGGCAAGAATGCCTGCAGGAGGCCCTCTGCTCACCCTGGACTTTGCTTGGGTGCTGGCCAAGGGCTTTGGCCCCTTGGCCTTGCAGTGAGGCTCAGCCGTGCCACCTTCGGCCATACTCTACCCCAGCACTTCTCCATACCTAGCTGGGATGCTCCTTCCTCCCCTTACCTATCAGGTGGGGGCTATAACCCACAGAAGGGTGACCCAACTCATTTCCACCAGCTGCCTCTTCTCAGACTCAGGGAAACCCCAATGGAATATAACTGCAAGGGCTCTCCATGAGGATGGGCTGAAGGAAAAGCCATTCCTACCACATACCTCATGTAAGCAGGTGTACTGCATGTGATACGGAGCGACCTTCTCTTCCCCTTTGATTTCAACATTGAGTTTCAGCCGAATGGCTCCAGAAACGGCAGATTTATCAGTGCGCTTATCTGGCAAAGAAGAAGAAAAGGGATACAGTACATTGGCTGTCACAAAGACCAGAAAGAAAAGAAAGAAAAGTGCCCTGAGGCAAGCTCCAGGTTCTGGGGTCAGGGAATAGCATGGCTCTCTAGAATTTCAGGAAAAGGGTCTCCCCAGATGTTGTGGGTGGCTGTGAGAAAAGGGCTGGACTCCTTTCAGGACAGGAATCACCTACCCAGATTGTACCAGACATCCATTTCCCCACTCAGAGTTCTGACATCGATGATAGTTTGTCCCAAAAAGTCATCCGATTCTTTTTTAAAATGCTGCTTCACTCGTGACTTAATATCATCATCTTCATCCCAAACTCTGACTTTTATTCTGTCTGTGGAATTGTGGCATTCACTGCAAAGGAAAGGCAGGGAAAGTTCAGGGGCTGGCCAAGAAGAATCCTCTTCCCCTGCTCCCTGGGACTCTGGACTCCATCACTTCTTTACCTTTGTTAAGGAGTTCCCACGGACAACCAGCACCATGGCTGAGGGTATAACCAACCAGGGCCAGGACAGACAGGTGCTGGGTGTAAGGACCCACCCCACTTTGCATCTTAAGAAGACAGAACTCTTGGAATAATTCTTCCAACAGGAATCCTTTATTAAGAGAAAATGGTTGCAGGCATGCTAGACAGGACTTGGGGTTCAAGCTCTCCATTCAAGGTTTTAAGGGGTTCCCCAGTAGTCCCACCCAATCAACCCCCCTTCCAGTGATAGTTTCAAGTATCACAATTCCACCCCCTTTCTTCTTTCTTCCGTCTGAATGGAGACTTCAGGTAACTACATGAAAGGCAAGTATCCTGCTTTGTTATGATAAGGTTCTCTAGTGCTAACGCTTTGATGTTACAATAAACACACATTCAGCATTCAGCTCTTTGAAGTGTACTGAAGGAAGTGAGGGCCATAAAGCCCCTTTGTTCTCCCCCTTCTCTCCCTCTTATGGCAGAATCCAAAGAAGGCAGAATTGGGAGTTTCTATATTTGATAATTAAAGATGAAATATGATTGGATTCTGACATCCGGCCCCTCTTAAAAATAAGAGAGATCCACCTGAAAGAAAACACAAGTATAAAATTTAGTTAGGCTTGTTAGGATACTCTGTGTGAAACTTCTTCAATAGCTTCGGGGCTCTGACATGACGTTTATGGACCCACTCATTTTGTGAGGGAGGGAGGTGTTTCCAGGCAACTAGGTACTGAGTTGCTCCATGATATCTCCTAGAGTCAAGGACTTCCTTTATTTCGAAGTGTTGTTCACAATTCCACCAGTTCCCTTTTGCGTGGGGTCAGGGAGCGTCCTGTGGAATCTTGGCCAAGAAGTCACATTGCCCCAGGAAGGGCCTGGCCTGACAACTCTTTGAGTCCAAGCTTTCGAGACACTCGACCCATCTCACAACATGGGGGGGGGGTGTCGAAGGCCCACCCTGACTGGGCGTGACAAGCAACTACTGCATGAGGCTTCCTAAACACAGGAAAATTTGGGGGACATGTGGGCAGAGAAAACCAGAGCCAGCCTATCGGGTTTGGAAAGCCTACAACTGGAATCCAAAGAGAGGTAGGCTGGGCTGGGCTGACAAAAAGCAGCAAACACCCTCCCTCCCAGTCAGAAAGTTTCCTTGCATTTTCTGACTCGGCATCTGGATCAATAAATCCAAAGGAGCTAATTGGAGCAAAATGCAAATGTGTTTTGGTTTAACTCTTGATCTGTTAGGGGAAAGAATTTGTGTTTGCTTATTTGTGGAAAGTAATGTATGTCCTGTCTCACCCAAAACATTCAGAGAACAAATCTAGGTCACTGCATAAATAACTCCATTACTGCGGTTCTTTCCAGCCAGTTATCATTAATTAGACCTGTGGTCTTCCAACAACCACATGTCTTTTTTAGCCCCAGGCATGGCTCTCCAGATGAGGAGGTGGAAGTTTCAAGGCCTAGGCCTGAGAAGGAGAAGTGCAAGCGACACACACACACACACAGAGAGAGAGAGAGAGAGAGAGAGAGAGAGAGAGAGAGAGAGAGCCCCCAAAGGTTTCTGTATTGAAATGCTGACCTGGACATCAGCCTTGTGAAGTTCTGGGAGAACAGAGTCCTTGTTGACCAGCTGCTGGCCTGTCCTGGATCCCTTTGCTTCAGGGGCTCTTTGTGCTGCACCTGTCTCATGGATGCTATTCAAGGGCCAAGCTCCTAAATGTATTTATCCCTCAGAGTGCTGGTGCTGCTCCCTTCTCCCAGGATTAGCAGCATTTTTGCACAATCAATTGTTCCTCACAATGAATAATTGAAGAAGAAAAGACTGCATTTCTACCGTATCTGGCTGAATACTGGTCTAGAGGGAGCTACAGCCAAATGGGGAGGAACTCTCGCTCCCTTAAGCAGACCAGGCAGCATCCTTACTGTTGTATACTTCGTTCGCGTGCGAATGATGAAGACAGATGGCAATGCTGAACAAACACTTTATTCTCCTTCTACAACAACCAAGCAAAAGCAAAAGGCACCCAGGCCTTTTTATATGGCCAGAAGCCCGGACAGTGTCAACCAATAGGAACAGAGTGTTTTCGCGCCTTGCGCATGCGCACAAGGCCTGTGCCGCTCTGTCTGGTCCTGGGCAGCTTTTGGAATGCCCAGGACCAATGCAAAGTCCCGAGCCTGCATTTGCAGGCTCAGGACACAACACTCCTCCCACCTAGATGGAACATACTTCACGTACACACATGTACGTCGTGCATTGGGAAGAGTGGCATATAGTTGGATTATTCAAATGCAAAGTGTTGTGTCCTGAGCCGTTGCAATGGTCCCGGGCTGTTTCAAGCTGCCCGGGACCAGACTGAGTGGCGCCAGCCTGTGCGCACGCGCAAGGCGCGAAAGCGTGCCATTCTGTGTTACCTTTTTGCCTGGGGATTCTATTTAGAGGCAGAGAGGCCTGCGAGCCTCTGAAGTGTGTCGGAGAGAGCTGAAGAGAATAAAGGCTGTTACAACTATCAGAATGTGTGCTCTTCTTTTGCCATTGACTCGAGGACTCAACACTGGCGACGAGGATGGGATTGCTTACAAGATAAAGAAAGAAGACTTGTAAAGCTTACCCAAGGAGTCCTGGAGAAAAGGAAGATGGCGTTAAACTCAGCATCTGGCCTGCCAGTACAGCATTACTCACCCAGAAAGATGGGAGTCTTATGTCGCTAGAGTAGAAAATTACTTTAGAGTGAATCAAGTTAGAGAAGATGGCTTGAAGGCCACTACTTTGCTGTGTGTCTGTGGTCAAGATGCATTTGAAATTGCAGAAAATTTGGCAGCCCCTGCTCCTCTTGAGTCTGTCACTTATACAGACTTAAAGAAGTTATTGAAGGAACATTTTCAGCCCAAGTTGTCTGTCATTGCGTGGAGGCACACATTTGAACAGAGGGATCAAAGAGTTGGTGAATCAGCCAAAGAATACATTGCAGCTTTGAGAAGAGCAGCTAAGCCCTGTGATTTTAAAGATTTAGAAGAAAGGCTGAGAGACCGATTTGTATGCGGGTTAAGAAACAGAGATTTGCAACAGAGACTCTTTGCAAAAGAAGATATTTCTTTCCAAGATGCCTTGAGAGAGGTCACTGCAGAGGAGGCAGCAGGTGGGGCGATCAAGAACATGAGGCCCATCAGGAACAACCCAGAAGCAGTCTCTGTGCACCATGAGGGAGTCCAAGAGAGCTCGGAGGAAGATCCTGAAGATGAGGTGGATCATCTCTACCCATCCAAAGAAAGGAAGAAGAGAGAAGGCAAAGAAAAGGCTCCAGCTGTGTCCAAGTGCTTCGGGTGTGGAGGTCGCCACAAGAGGGCCGACTGCAGGTTCCGTTCTGCAATCTGTAGAGCGTGTGGAAGGCAAGGCCACATAGCATCTGTTTGTCTGGGCCATCAGAAGGCACAACCTCTAATCATACAATCTTTAATTAATTCCGTTTCTGAGTCCAATTCGACTAGCACCCCATAAATTCTCTTAATATGGGCTTGTCTTTGATCCTTCACTTGCTTAATAAGATTTTCATCTTCTCTAAGAAAGCCCACCTTACAATCCACCTTCCATCTATCTGCTAATTGCCTATATTGAAATCAAGAATAAATAATATTTTCTTGTGCTAGCTCCTCCCGTAATTTTAATTGCCAATTTTGTCCATCCCATCTGAGTAGCTGTCTATAAGACACCATGTCCATTTTAACACCTCTTTTTATTCCCTCTATCGCATGCCAGGATATAGCCCATAATGGTACTTTAAAATCACTTTTATAATATAATATTTGGTGAACCAGTCCCATTGGATACATGGGAAACCATTTGGGTAAGAAATGTCAAATTTACACAGGCACAGAATTTAAGGGAGAATTTTTATAAAATGTTTTATAGATGGCACCTTGACCCACAAAAAATGTCTTTCATGTACCCGGACTTACAGCCTAAATGTTGGAGATGTGGTTGCTTGGATGCCACCTATTATCATATTTGGTGGTTGTGAAGAGAGATAAAAGCATTTTGGATTAAGATATGGTGGAATATTCAGAGAGTTTTCAGAAGGAGGGTAAAATTTACTCCGCAGTTATTTTTGTTGGGTATAATTACTGATTGTGATACAAAGGAGGTTATATTGATGTTAAATTTGATTACAGCCGCAAGGCTGTTAGTAGGACAATATTGGAAGAAGGAATCCTTGCCTACACTGCAGGAATGGTTTTTCAAAGTGTCTTATCTGGCGGAAATGGCAAAGATTTCGGCTTTTTTAAAGGAACAAACGCAAGAGAAATTTCTTGCTGTTTGGGATAAATGGATAGAATTTATACAATTTAAATTGGATATAAAAAAATATCATATTGCTTTTTCATAATATTTATATATATATATATATATATATATATATATATATATATATATTTCAGTCTTAATTTTTTTTTCTTTTTTATATATAATTTTTTAAAATTCCTTTTTAATTAAGCCTATATTCTGCTCTGGGAAGCTCAGGGGGGGAAGGGGGGGTGTTTTGGGGGGGGGATGGGGAAGGGGATGTTATGTTTAGTTTTTTGTATATGTTGTTTTTTGTTTTTGAATCGTTGTATTTTTTTTTCTGTTTTTTTGTAAAATTTATAAAAATTTTCAATAATAATAAAAAAAAAAGAAGGCACAACCTCGAGAAGAATTGCGTCTGAAAGGTACCAGGGTCCCCAGCCAAAACAGGGTGGGTTTCTGCGCATCACGCAGAAGTATTTGTAGAACAGGCACACACAAACCACTTAAGAAGAAACTGTCACTTAAGGTGAGGTTACAAGGAGTTCCATTGGTTATGGAACTGGACACTGGGTCTGCTCTTTCAATCATTTCTATTCACACTTTCAG